GGGCAGAGGGGCTGAACCCCCGAACGTCTCTGGGACATGTCACAGGCCCCTGACGTATGCCTCGGCACCCACCCCTCGTCCTGGTTGCCCTGGCCACCCCCCCCACCACCCCTTACACACCCTCCTGGTTGCCTCGCCCAATCACACACACCGTCATGATTACGGTCCAGGTTACTGAAGACCAAACGCAGGGCTTTCTCGTGTTGCCGCAGGTACTCGGTGAACTCGGCCAGATCCAGCTGCCCATCGTGGTCCGTATCTCCCACTCGCACAATCTCCTGCAGAGCAGAGAGAGGAACAGCGTCAGCAACAGTGGCTGCCCCCCCATCTCCCCATTCCACTACACCCCCCTTTCCAGGCTATCCCTGCTCCACGGCCCCCGCTCGGCCCAGCCCGCCCCATCACTGGCGGTCAGGCCGGCAGCATCTTTACTCCCATCCCTTGGAACTCCAGCCCACAGTCCCTTTGCCTCGCTCCCTCCCCTCAAGGCCTTCCTCTTTGGGTGAAATACTGATCTCCTTGGGGAACGTTTCCATGATTCCCACACTTCTGTAGCTGTGACACACAGCGGGAAACACCCGGTGTATAACAGCTCCCCCCCCACCCCCTCCTCCCACACACACACACCACACACACACACAGACAGACACACACAGAGACACACATACACACAGACAGTATGACAGGGCAGCGTGACCCCCCCACCCACCCACTCCGAGCTCCTTGGATTTAGAAAGTTGAAAAGGCCACTGAGTGCAGGATTAATGTTAATCATCCACCTGAGCCAGCAGCTAAACGTAAAGACTCTTTCTCCTCTATCCCTTCGCCTTGCCCCTCCTTCACCATGTTCAGGTCACACCTGAAGAAATTCCCATTCGACCGTGCCTGCGGTCACCTCCCCACCCCTACTCCCTCCTTCTCCCGGCTCGGAATCTTGCTCCGCCACTGTCAAGCGCTCTGGGGCGCCACCCTGTGCGAGGGGGCGCTGGGTAAATGCAAGTAGTTGTTGCTGTAAAGAGAATGGATTTTCTACCTCCCCTGACCCACAATCCTCCCGATTAATCGCTCGTTTGCTGGCCACGCTTAATAATAATAATAATAATCCTTGCATTTGATACAGCGCCTTATCACGTTTTCAAGACGTCCCAAAGCACTTCACAGGAGATACTGTATATTTTGTGGGCAAAACACGGCAGCCAATTGCGCACAATAGCGTCCCACAAACAGCCGTGGATTCAAGTGACCAAATTATTATTTTTTGAAAGGGATTATTACCCCCAGAAAATGATCCGCCAATCGACCTACAACCGGGTTCCCACTTACTGTTCGGTAAAGAGAGATGTGCGTGCGTGTGTGTTGTGTGTGTTGTGTGTGTGTGTGTGGTGTGTTATGTATGTGTGTGGTGTGTGTGTGGGTCTGTGCGAGTGGAGTAAGAAAACTTGCCTAAGGTTTCGCCCTGACCTGACCTGACTGGAAATCGAACCTGGTTCCTCTCGCTTGCTTGCGAGACGAACGCTCTAACCGCTGAGCTACAGGACTCCATGCAGCACTGAGCCGTGTCGCTGTGCTCAGCAATTATTAATGCTGAACGAAATGAAATACTGTGCCTGCTCGGAGTTGGCTTGCAGGAACAAGCCCATGGACCTCAATCCTTCCCCCAGCTCGGTCACATCCACCCGTCCGTCCTTGTTAGCGTCCAACTGCTCAAACAGCTCAGCCCATTTCTTCTCCCTCTCCGAGCGGGTCTCCTCGCCGGCCCCTTGAGCCCACGCCACCCTCCCCCTCCAGAGGAACCGAGACATCTCCGACCTGGTTTCACCTGTCGGCACGCTGCAGGGTCCTGGCGGGGTTCAAGGCTGGGGGCTTCCCCATGTTGTGCCGCTCGCACAGAAACCCCAGGAGAGAGGTCTGAGCAGATAGGGCAGCTTATGATCGCACGCGCTACTACGCCACACTGCAGCTCCGTCAAAGCAAACCTGTTTGTGCTGCTCAGGGAGGAAGCTCTGTCATGCAGTGCAGCGCAGTGAGCAGGCTGCTGGAGAGAGCGGGCTTTAGAACATAAATCACCTGTTTTCTGTCGCCTCCTACCCTGCATTTAAATACGCTTCCCAGTTCCTTCCCTCCCTTCCTCCCTCCCTCTTGGCAGCGATCCCGACAAACACTGCTCAGTAACATAATCTTATTACGTTACACTCTCTCTCGCTCTCTCTTCCTTTTCTCTCTCTCTCTCTCACACATCTAAGTCTCGAGGGATTATTTTGATCTGATACACACGGAAACCCATCATCAAACCAAGCTGAGAATTCCAAGCCTCCCACCGACACACGGAAATCTCAGAGAGAGATTGTTGGAATGGAATGCGCTCTCTCTCTCTCTCTCTCTCTCTCTCTCGCTGTCGGGACGCCTCCTGATTACCTAATTCAGGAGAGTATTAGGCACAGGTTGGCAAGAGCCAGGGATTGTGGGGGGAGCCCAGAGTGCGCAATGGATTCTAACCAGCTAAAACCGCATAGCTTGCAAACGTGGAGTCCTGCAGCTCAGTGATTAGAGCGCTCGCCTCGCAAGCGAGAGAACCTGGGTTCGATTCCCACCAGGGAAAAAACATTGAGCAAGTTTCCTTACTCCACACAGACACACGCGCCTCTGTTTACCCAGCAGTAAGTAGGAACCCAGTTGTCAATTGGCAGATCGCTTTCAGGGAATAATAATCCTTTAAAGAATAATAATTTGGTCACTCAATCCATGACTGTCTGTGGGGACGCTGCTGTGCGCAATTGGCTGCCGCGTTTCGCCCACAAAATACAGTCAGCTCACTTTACAGTATTATCCTGTGAAGCACTTTAGGACGTCTTAGTGACGTGGTAAGGCGCTGCATCAAATGCAAGGATTATTATTATTATTATCCTGTTAGAAATGAGCGGCTGTTTCTGCCTGTGATCTCCCTGACAATTCTCTGGATATGCTTGTTTCACGGCTGTGTTTACAGTGGCTCTCAGTGGTTTCCCTACAATTACACAGTCACTACACTTTATGTCAGAGATTCCCCGCGAAGCGCTTGGAGACGTTTTGACGCTCTCTAGGCACAAGATCTAAATCCAGGATTACCAGGATAAGGAGGATGTGTCCGTTGTCTCGGTCCAATATAGGACAGGGGTGAATACACACATCAGTACCTGTCTCGTTCCATCATCTGTTCCGTATCCTCCTTGGGAGGGAGGTAAGTGGGGTTTCCTTGAGGCTGAACTGGCTCCAAGGTGACCTGCCAGGCAATGGAAGGTGGGAATGGAGCCAGGCCTCTGTGACGGTCTCTAGTCCCCGGTCCCTGAGCCAGGAGGGTCCACAGTATCCCAGGGCACTCACTGCTGCTGACAGCACAGCCCGGCCCGGCTCATCGGCAGGACCTGGAAGGGCCGACCAGTCATCCCACTCAGCTCCTGTTAAGCCTGTAGGGTAGGGTGGTCCTAGCTGGACAAGCAGCGGGAAAGCTTCCATCATCTGAAAGATAAAACGCAGATTTGCAGAACTATAATCTATTCCGTAGCTCGACCGATCGCACTGACCTGGAGTTTGCAAAGAATTCCAACCTCCCGCATCCGAGCTTTTGTTCAGACACCAGCTTGGGAAACGCAAAATCCATCTCATACCTTATCTCCTTGGCTGCAGACTCCATTGGACAAAGAAGTGTAGAGGACACACCCCACTCACACACACCCTCACACACACACACACCCCCACACACACACACCAACACACCCCACACACACACACCCACACACACCACCCTCACACACACACCACACCACCCCCCCACACACACCCCCCCACACACACCCCACCCCACACCACCACAACCCCCACACACCACACACAACCCACACCCCCCCCACACACACCACACCCCCCCACACACACACCCCACACACACACACCCCCCACACACACATTTCACAGAATGTACTGTAGAATATGCTGAATTGACTATTTTGTGGGCGAAACGCAGCAGCCAATTGCACACAGCAACATCCCACAAACAGCCGTGGATTGAAGTGGTCAAATTATTATTGTTATTTTATTTAACGGAATATTACCCCCAGAAAGCGATCCACCAATCGACTAACAACCGGGTTCCTACTGACTGCTGGTAAACCGAGGCGTGTGTGGAGTAAGGAAACTTGCCTAAGATTTTGCCCGGACCTGCCCTGGAATTGAACTCAGATCTCTCACTTGCGAGGCGAGGGCTCTAAGCATTGAGCTTCAGGCGCCACGTAACGGTGGGTCTGCGCCTTTGCTCACAGAGCTGCCTTTGTCCAATGTTCCCGTCTAGGCTCGCATCGAGCGCATGGAGGAGGCGAAGAAAGAACGAGAGGAGTTCGAGAAGTTAGCCACAGATTGCAAACGCAAAGTGACTGATTGCCAAAAGAAAATGAAGGCCCTGTCGATGGTCGGGACAGACGATGCCAAGAGAGACTTGGAGAAGCTACAGGAGGACCTGAAGCTGCTGAAGAAAGAGGAGAGGGATTGGCAGAAGAAAGAGAATGATTTGCAGAAGAAGGAGAAAGCCATGCCCTGGAACGTGGACACACTGAGCAAAGAGGGCTTCAGTAAGGTCAGTGTTGGGGGCACGGAGCCTTGGGGGGTATGGAAGCCTCTTGTCTGTGGATCCCTGACTGTCCAGCGCCTTGGTGACATCTCCTGATATGAAAGGTGCTATACATATGTAATTTGTTGTTGTTGTCTATTTGTCTGTATCTCTCGTCGGAGAGAGGATACCGGGAATGGAAATGTCACCAGAGGGAGAATATAGTAATAATAATAATCCTTGTATCAAAACGCTTCAAAGGCTATACTGTAAAGCTTAGTGACCGGATGTTTTGTGGACGAAACGTGACAGCCAATTGCACACAGGGTGTCCCACAAACAGTCGTGGATTGCGTGACCAAGTTATTATTACCTATATTATGTATATATATGTATATATAAATAACGCCCGGCTAATCTTTCCACCTTCTCTCTGCCCCCTCAGAGTGTCTTCAACAAAAAAGCAGAGACGAGTGAGAACGAAACCGAGGAGGAGAAGGAGAAGAAGCACAAGACGTTTGTGGAAAAATATGAGAAACCGATCAAGCACCTGGGTAAGTGAGGGAGCTGGGTCTGGGGACTGTGTGCTGGGGGGGCCATGAGCTGGAGCCGGGCCTCTGGGACACATGGCCTCCATGGTGCCTTTCACCCCTGCCTGGGGCTCTGTGGCACGAGCCGTGTCCCGCACACGTCTTCGTTCTCGCCAGGCTTCACTGATTTAAATCCCTTTGGAACTCCATCCCACAGTCCCTTTGCCTCACTCCCTCCCTGGCTCCCACAAAGCACATCTTAAGACTCTCCCCTTCAATGGCGCCTTTTGATCTTAGCCTGTGTTGCGATCCCGAGCCGAGAGCACAGCCACTGAGCACAGCCTGGCACACAAGTGCTTTGGGAAGCTACTGTACGCGAGGGGCGCTATATACATGCAAGTTGTTGTTGGTCATCCATGTTTCCTGAATGTCGCTTAAACTGTGATGGAAAGTAACTCTGTGGTGTGTATGCGGTGTGTGTGTGTATGCGGTGTGTGTGTTTGTGCAGGCATGCTGAGACGCTGGGATGACAGCCAGAAATACCTCTCGGATAATCCGCACCTGGTGTGTGAGGAGACGGCGAACTACTTGGTGATCTGGTGCATCGACCTGGAGGTAGAGGAGGTACGGTGTGAGTGCTGGGAGATGGCCTGGGGATTCCCACACAGAGAGGCTTGCTTGGCTGGGGTGCCATTGAGGTTGAGGTTTCCCAATTCAGAGGGATTAGGAGCGGGAATCGAACCCAGGTCCCGGCAGGACGAAATGCTGGGCAGATTTCCTTATTCCACACACACGTCTCAGTTTACCCAGCAGTAAGCAGGTGCCCTGTTGTTAATCGATTGGCAGATCCCTTTTCCGGGAGTCCTTTAAAAAAAAACTAAATTGGTCACTCAATCCACGACTATTTGTGGGGACGCTGCTGTGCACAATTGGCTGCCGCGTTTCGCCCACAAAATACACAGACCATTTACTTTGCAGTGTATCCTGTGAAGCGCTTTGAGACCTCTCGAAGGCACGATATCAAACGCGAGGATTATTATTGGTGGTGGTGTTGTTGGTGTAACTGTGCCCGGCTTTTCCTCGCTGGCAGAAACACTCGCTGATGGAGCAGGTGGCTCACCAAACCATTGTGATGCAGTTTATCCTGGAGTTAGCAAAGAGCTTGAAGGTGGACCCCAGGGCCTGCTTCCGACAGTTCTTCACCAAGATCAAGGTACCTATACTTTACAACAACAACAACAAGATTCCATTTATAGAGCGCCTTTCACGTCGGGAGGACGTCCCAAGGCGCTGTAATCCGATCGGCCCACCTATCAACCGATTCTCTGTGCGTGAGCTCGGGAGGGTGGGAGGAGAAGCTGAGTGAGGTGACATGGGTTACACAGTTTTACACAACTCCCAGTAGCCAGCCCTCCGTGATAGTTTCTGGTCGGGTTCCTGAGCCAGGCGCATCCTCAGTACTCCAGGGCGCTGCTGATGACGGCATAACCCAGCCTGGCTCATCAGCACAGCCTGGCTCATAATTTTTATCATTATCGGCACGACCTGGAAGGGCTGACCTGGGGCAGGGAATCCTCCCACTCAGCTCCTGTTAACCCTGCAAGTCAAAGCCCTAACGGGTAGCGTGCTACTAGCTGGATAAGCACTGAGAAAGCTTGCCGGATAGTGCTCTCAATGGCAAGCTATGCGGTTTTAGCTGGTTAGACTCCCAACAGTTACCCCCAACGCACACCTTGGGCTCCCCCCAAGCCTTGGCTCTTGCCAACCTGTGCCTAATACGCTCCGGAATTAGGTAAGCAGGCTGCGTCCCTTCAGAGAGAGAGAGAGAGAGAGAGTGCATTCCATTCAATCTATCTCTGGGATTTCCATGTGTAAGTGGGATGGATGCAAGGAATTCTCAGTTTGGTTTGGAGATCTTAAGCGATGGTGATGGGTTTCCGCGTGTGTCAGACACCCACCCAGCTGGGCAAATAAAGTGTCACGCAGTCTGTAACCGTTCTCTCTGCAGACGGCGGATAAACAGTACATGGATGCCTTCAACGATGAGCTGGAAGCCTTTAAGGATCGAGTGAAGGGCCGTGCACAGGCACGGATAGAGAAGGCGATGAAGGAGTATGAAGAGGAGGAGAAGCAGAAACGTCTGGGGCCCGGGGGCCTGGACCCAGTGGATGTGTACGAGAGTCTCCCTGAGGTGAGCGCAATGAGGCCCAGTGGATCGGCTTAGGGAGAATGTGAGAGATTGCGTTGTGTTCAGCCCCTTGGGTGACCGAAGGCGCGGTCAAGTGTCTTGTGATGAGCTTCGGAGAGGGCGAGGGGAAGGGACTGTGGGATGGAGTTACAAAGGGTGGGGCCAGAGAGGCTGACGGCCCGACCGCTGATGGTGGGGGGGACAGGACTGGGGACGTGGAGCAGGCCGGAGTCTGTTGAGCGGAGGGAGCGGACAGGTCGATGTGGGGTTAGCAGGAGCAAGGCCGTGACAGGCAGACCTCACACAGCAGACGTGTGGTTTGGCTTTGATGGACCTCTTGCTATACAAATGTAATCTTGTTATTGCTGTTATGAGTATGGAGGCCAGCGGCTCACACTGAGCTCCTGTGTCGGATTGCCATCTCACTCCATTTCCCTGTAACAACCTCTCTCTCTCTCTCTCTCTCGCCAGGAGATGCAGAAATGTTTTGATGCGAAGGACATTCAGCAGCTGCAGGAAGTTATCAGCAAATTGGACCCAGCGGTGAGTACCTCCTTTGCCTGTGTGCGAGTGTGTTCGACTTGATACAGTGCCTTATCGGGTCGTTCAGACGTCTCCGAGCACTTCACATGATACGCTGTAAAGTGTAGTGACTGTGTATTTTGTGGACGAAACGCAGCAGCCAATTGCGCACAGCGATGTCCCCACAAACAGTCGTGGATTGAGTGACCAAATTTTTTTTGTGTTTTGGTGGAGTGATTATTACTCCCGGAAAAGCAATCCACCAATTGACCAGCAAGCAAGTTCCTAATTAATGCTGGGTTAACAGAGGCGCGAGCGTGTGTGGAGAAAGGAGACTTGGCAATGGTTTAAATCGAACCCGGGTCCTTTCGTTCGCTTGCGAGGCACGCGCGCTAACCACTACGCTTCGAGAGAAGAATAACGTCAAGATGAATAGCACGCAGTCGGTCAGTGTGTGAACATACGTGTTGCTTTCCACAGGACGCCAAACACCACATGCAGCGCTGCATCGACTCTGGGCTCTGGATCCCAAACGCCAAATCAGCGGCGGAGGAAGAGGCGGAGGGGGAAGGGGGGCAGAAGGCGGGGGCGGAGGAGGCCCTGTACGAGGAGGTGAAGAAGGAAATTGCCGAGGGGAATTAAGATCACTCCGTTTTCATACGTGCTAGTATTTACGATCAGTGCTACGTTCAGTTAGACAGACTCCTGAACCACAGACACAGTTGGAAATCACATTCACAACCAAACATTCAATCAACACATCCCAGCTACTGACCCCGAAGCCCAGATTCCTGTCAAACCAGCTTTTTCTATCCCGAGTTTAGGCTGATCCTCTTCACTTCCGCCTCTGTGTCCTGTGGCTTCTGTGCGAGGGATTATTACCCCCGGAAAGCGATCCGCAAATCGACTAACAACCTGAGGCACACAGCCGCATGCTGACTAGCGAGAGGCTGGGTCTGTAATCCTCTTCACACCTCACCCGCCCTGACTCAGGACCAGCCTGTATCTATTGAGCCACGTGACCCATAGTTTAATCCAGGGTGGTCCATTTTTCATCTCCCCCCCATTTTATCTGCCCGCCCGCTCCTCCCTCCCTAGCCTGTAAATGTTATCTATGTTTCTGGAAGGGAATCACTAAATTATTACTTATGTGGCCCCAGGCGTTTCTCAAATAAGGTTTTCCCTTGGACTCTCTCCCCACCCGGTTAAATCGCCGGCCAGGGCTGAGTTAGCTGATCTGAACCACGGTGGTTAGTGTCGGTGAGGGAGGGCAGCACGGGAAGGGGGGACGGATGGGGTTGCAATTGGCATTCACATCCCAGCACTGAGGTGAGAGCAAATCAACCAGGAAATTTACTCGTTAGTCTGTAAACTTGGGCTCAGTGTCTCTCGTTCCCAGTGAGAGGCATCACCCTTGACACGGGGGGAGTGAAAGGAGCAGGTGGTTCATTAGCAATCCCGTCAGATGTGGAATATCCACATCTGTTGGGAACTCCTCGGCCAGGGATGGGGGGGGAGGAGAGGGTGTGTGGGCACAAAGAGGGGGTGCGGTGGGGGAGAGGGGCTGTGTGGGGGAGGAGAAGGGGTGCTGGGGGTGGGAGAGGAGAGAGGGAAACCCAGGTTTGCAATTTTATGAGAGTTTCAACATCGAAAGCTTTGGATTTGAATCGTTTCCAAACCTTTTACAGGAGAGAAAGAGAGAAAAGGGTTTAATGAGCAGAAGCTCGGAATACCAATGACAAACGGCCCAGGAATGACTGACTTCAGGTTTCCGTTCTCTTGTCAGTAGCTGGCTTGTTTTCATGCGTGTGTGGGGGTAAGGGGGGAGAGAGAGCACTGCAGTTCTGTAGACTGGAGATTTTTTTTAGGCTAGGTTTGGTTTTCGTTACTAAGTTAAGGTTGATTCGGGGATCAGAACGGAGTAAGTTAGCTTTAAACGTTTGTTCTTTTGCTCTCTGTGGCGATTCGTTATGTCTCGCCAGCCTCCGCGCTAGTCACTCTGTACCAGTATTTTAATAAAAGTTGTGGATTGCACAGACTGAAGCTAAGGAATTGCTGTCTTATTGAACCGTGGAAATCCCAGAGATAGATTCTTGAAATGGAATGCCCACTCCCCCTCTCTCTCTCAGGAGGGATCCATCCTGCTTACCTAATTCCGGAAAGTATTAGGCGCAGGTTGGCACGAACCAAGGGCTTGGGAGGGACCCCCTAAGTGTGCGTCGGGGGTAACTGTTGGGAGTCTTAACTAGCTAACGCCACATAGCCTGCCATTGAGAAGCGCTGTCCGGCAAGCTTTCCCGTTGCTCGTCCAGCTGGAGGACCGCCCTACCCGTTTGGGCTTTGGCTTGCAGGGTTAACAGGAGCTGAGGGGGGGGGGGGGAAGGAGTGGGGTGGTGAGGGGGAATTCTATATTATAATCCGACAACAACAAAATTATTACTGAATAATAATAATCCTGGCATTTGATACAGCGCCTTATCACAACATTTGAGACGTCTCAAAGCGCTTCCCAGGATGTTGCTGTGAAGTGACTGGGTGTTTACTTGCAATGTGAAGGTGGTGATTGATTGATTGATTGATTGAGTGTGTGTGTGAGAGGTGTGGGGGGCGGCGCTGGTCACGTGGACCACGTAGTGAGACTACAACGCCCAGCGGGCGCCGCGGCAAACATGCGTCACGTCCGGATGCGGAACAGGAAGTGGGCCCGAGAGACGGCGGCGGGAGGGCGGGAGCGAGAGAGAGGGGTCGGTTCTTTCTGGTCGCAGGAGCCGCTTATCCGCAGCCCCGGGACCCCTCACACACACACAGGTATGTACATACACATATACACCTGATCATCCGCACACACCGCACATTCGCAGCCCCACGTTACCAGCCCCAGTACTCCACCCCGCGGCCCCGGGACTGAGGCCTTCCCAGGTGAGAGACCAACTGCTCACACTCACCACTGCTCACACTCACTGTACACACTCACTACTGTACACACTCACTACTGTACACACTCGCTGTACACAATCACTACACACTACTGTACACACTCGCTGTACACAATCACCACACACTACTGTACACACTCACTACTGTACACACTACTGTACACACTCACTGTACACACTCACTACTATACACACTCTACTATAAACACTGTACACACTACTGTACACACTCACTACTGTACACACTCACTACTGTACACTCACTACTGTACACACTCACTACTGTACACTCACTACTGTACACACTCACTACTATAAACACTACACACTCACTACTGTACACACTCACTGTACACACTCACTACTATACACACTCACTACTATAAACACTGTACACACTCACTACTGTACACACTCACTACTACACACTCACTGTACACACTCACTGTACACACTCACTGTACACACTCACTATGATACACACTCGCTGTACACACTCAACGTACACACTCAACTCACTACCATACACACTCATTGTACACACTCACTGTACACACTCAACTCACTACCATACACACTCACTGTACACACTCACTGCACACACTCACTGCTATACACACTCACTGTACAACGTCACCACCATACACACTCGTTGTATACGCATTCAATGGGCACATTCACTGGACACTCATTGCATTGCACACTGTACACACCACTCCCGCATTACAGGTCTCGAGAGAGAGTTTCACATTGAAAGTCAACACCCAATCAATTCACTTTACAGTGTATCCTGTGAAGCGCTTTGAGACATCGCAAATACGTGATAAGGGGCAGTGTCAAGTGCAAGGATTATTATTATTATTACTGTACAGACACCTGCAAAGAATCTGGGACAGGGAATCCACCCAATTAGTTCCTGTTACCACGACAAACCCAAAGCCTCAGGCCTACCCTACACTCATTATACAACAACAAATTACATTTGTATAGCACACACTCACTCCGCACTGTACACAGTCATTGCACACTAGACTCCCTGGGTGCACTGACTGTACACACTCACTAGACACACTCATTGCACACTACAGACTCACTAGACACACTCATTGCACACTGTACACACTCACTAGACACACTCATTGCACACTGTACACACCGATTAATTAAATTAATAATCCTTGTATTTAATATAGTGACTTATCACATCGTTGAGACTCTCAAAGTGTAGTGACTGTGTATTTTGCAAAATATGGTGACTCTGTGTTTTGTGGGCTCCATAAACATAGTGTGTATATTGTATGTGCTGTGCAGTAGAGAGATGCCGGAGGTGGGGTTTGGAATAACAGATGAGAGTGAGGTGCAGATGAAATAGAGACTTGCTGTAGAGTGAAGCCAGGATCTGGGGGGAAATCCCCAGAGCTGAGTGTACAGGATACTGTGCCTGCAGATGAGTCTCAGTCAAACAACCATTGGTAAACCCAAAGGAAGCTGTCAAGATTGTGGTTGATCCTGTTTTGTAACTGTGTAGACGGTTTCAAATAAGCTTCATGGATGGCTAGTAATGCATTAAACACACAGCAACAAGCAGGGCTTCTCATTGGTGTGATGATTGATTTACTTATTAATAATTCCTTTGTGGAGTCCTGTAGCTCAGTGGTTAGAGCACTCGCTTTGCAAGTGAGAGACCTGAGTTCAATCCCAGGCAGAGGGCGAAACCTCGGGCAAGTTTCCTTACTCCACACAGAGCCTAATAATAATCCCTCCAAAACCAAAAACAATAATAAATTGGTCATTTTCAATCCATGACTGTTTGTGGGACATTGCTGTGCGCAATTGGCTGCCGCGTTCGCCCACAAATATACAGTCACTTCACTTTACAGTGTGTTCTGTGAAGCGCTTTGGGACATCCTCCCGACGTGAAAAGCGCGATATCAAATGCGAGGATTATTATTATTATTATTCACTTCTTGCTTTCTGGGGATAATAATCCCTGCAAACCAAAATTGGTCACGCGATCCAGATAATGGAATCCTTACTGAAGGAGGTAATAGAAAAACATCTAGAAACGGAAAACATAATAAAGAATAGTCAACACGGATTTCAAAAAGGAAGGTCAGGCCTGACCAACCTCATTGAATTCTTTGAAAGGGTAACAGGAAGAGTACACAAGAGTAGATGTAATATATTTAGATTTCCAAAAGGCGTTTAATAAGGTACCATACAATAGACTAATGAATAAGGCCAAAGCATGTGGAGTCGGGGGAAAATAGCAGAATGGATAGCAAACTGCTGCAAAACAGAAAATAGAGAGTGGGGGTAAAGGGTAGTTACTCAGACTGGCGCGGGGTGGTGGGGGGGGCAGTGGTGTTCCACAAGGATCAATATTGGGACCCACTGTTGTTCACAATATACATTAATGATTTGGATTTGGGAATCAGCTGGACAATTTCAAAATTTGCGGACGACACCAAATTGGGGGGGGGAGCAGTTAATACAGAGGAGGACGGCAACACATTACAGCAAAGACATTAATAAACCTGCTGAGTGGGCATTTACATGGCAAATGCATTTCAATGTAGAAAAGTGTGGGGTGGTACATTTTGGTAGAAGGAATAAGGAAGTCACGTACAGCCTGGAAAATAAAAACCTAAACAGGGCAGAGGAGCAAAGGGGATCCAGGGGTACACATACACAATTCACTAAAAGTAGCAACGCAGGTTAATAAGGCCGTAAGAAAAGCAATCCAGGCATTGGGTTCATTTCTAGAGGGATAGAAATGAAAAGCAGGGATGTTATGGTAAACTTCTATAGAACCTCGGTTAGACCACACTTAGATACGGCGCAGTTCTGGTCCCCACATTATAGAAGGGATGTAGAGGCACTGGAGAGGGGGCAAAGGAGATTCACGAGGATGATCCCAAACCTGAGAGGTTATAGCTATCAGGTAAGGCTTTTCGCTGATAGAGGTCTTTAAAATAATGAAAGGTTTTGATAGGGTGGACATAGGGAAGATGTTTCCACTTGTGGTCGAGACCAAAACCAGGGGCCATCAATATAAAATAGTCACAGATAGATCAAATAGGGAAGTGAGAAGAAATGTCTTCACACAGAGAGTAGTGGGAAGGTGGAACATGCCGCCACAAGGGGTTGTTGAGGTAAGTAGCAGAGGTGTATTTAAGGGGAAGCTAAATAGGTACATGAGGGAGAAAGGAATAGAAGGTGATGCTTGAAGGGTTAGTTGAGGAAGGGCAGGAGAGGCTCATGTGGAGCATAAACACCGGCACAGACCAGTTGGGCCGAATGGCCTGTTTCTGTGCTGTACACTCTAATGGATTCTAATGTTTGTGGGGCATTGCTGTGTGCAATTGGCTGCCTTGCTTCGTCCACAAATTAGGTATTCTGTGAAGCGCTTTGAGACGTGATGAGGCGCTGTATTCAAAGGCAAGGATTATTATTAATGAATAAATATATCACTAGGATATGCACTCCTACAACTGCCTTATTGTATGTCTGTCTGCACAGTATCTCGCTTCCTCCCTAGCTGCGTGTGTCTGTCTGAATGTCTCCTCTCTCTCTCTCTCTCTCTCTCTGCTGCTCTCTAATTATCTGTGTATGTGTCTGTGTTCCTCCTATCCTATATGATCCAGTCCTATATAGCGTCTCACCCACAAAATACACAACCACTCTGCTGTGCAACGTATTCTGTGAAGCGCTTTGAGACGACTCGACGACGTGATAAGGCGCTACATCAGATCATAAATAAATGATACAGCATCTTATCATGTCTTCGAGACATCGCAAAGCACCTCACAGAACACACCATAAAGTGAATGGACTGTATATTTTGTGGGTGAAATACACGGATTGTTATAATAATTCCTGCATTGTTTTCGGGTTCCTGGCGATGATGGAGACCCAGTGAAGTGATTGTATCAGTGCTTTACCAGGGATTGTTGTATCCTCTGTTAGTCCTGTCCGACTGTTGGGGTGAGTCAGTCGGGTTGTGTGACTGTTTGCTGACGTTCTCTCATCTCGCCTCTCTCCTGGTGATCTGAAGGTGGTTTGGTTTGTCTGTGAGTGATGCCAGACCGTGTAGAAAATGTACTTTTATGATCAAACTGCCTACACTGAGCTCCAGCTCAGGTGTTGACGCACCCTCTGACTGAGGCTGAACCAAAGATATTATAATTACAATCCTTGCATTTGATGCCGCATCAATCTTATCAGTTTCATCGACATAACAGCAACAACAACTTCCATTTATAGTAGTGCTCTTCATACTGCACCTCAGAGCGTTTGAACACACAGTCAATTCACATCACGGTATATCCTGTGAAGCGCTTTGAGACGTCTCAAAGATGTGGTGAGAGGCACTGTATCAACTGCAAGGATTATTACTCTTATCTGCGGCCAGGACCATGGGAGGGCAAACTCCCTTCTCTCGTCGAATAGTCTCTGAACTGGGCACAGGTGGGGGAACTCGGGGCAAACATCTCATCGTGAAGCACAGCGCCTCCAACAATGCAGCACAGCGCAACCCCGCGACATGCATTGGAGCATCAAACCAGACCGAGCTCAAAGTACTGACGTGGGGCCTGAACCCACAAGCCTTCTGACTCGAAGATTTGAGTGTGTGTGATGTTGTCGGGCGTGTTGCTGAGCGAGGAGGTGTGATGAGGCGTGTGTGTGTGTGTGTGTGTGTGTGTATGCCTGTGGGTGTGTGTGTTGGACAGGCAGCGCTGATGGGCGTCGGAGGCATTTGTTGACACGTCGCTGTGGCCTGTCTGGCGGTTGGAGAACGCTCGCTGTCTGCAACTCGGCTGTTTGTGAGATTTTTTGGCTTGCAAATTTGCTGGGCGCTGGTGCACAGGGCAGGCAGTGTGCGGGGGGGGGGTGGGGTGGGGTGGGGGGGACAGACAGACAGAGAAACAGGAGCTCACCGCTCGGCTCAGCAAAGCGAGACAGTCACGGTAGAGCTAAGATAAGGATAACCGAGCCTTACGGTGACATGGCATCTTTCACAGGACTCGCTGTCCTCTCTCCCTCGATGCTTCCGCCTCGCTCCCTCCCTCTGCACTTGCAAATCCCGCCGAAAGACCTTCCCTTCTGATCGCGCTCGCGGTCACCTCTCCCCGTCTCGGGGTCAGACTCCTCCACTGTCAAGCGCTCCGGGACGCTGCCCCACGTGAGGAGTGCTATTACAAATGCTCGTTGTTACAACAATAATAATAATAATCCTCGCATTTGATACAGCGCCATCTCACGTCGTGGCGATGCCTCAAAGGCGCTTCGCGGGGTATAACGTAAAGTGGAGTGACTGTGTATTTCGTGGGCGAAACGCGGCAGCCAATTGCGTGCAGCAGAGTCTCACAGATGGTAACGTGTAGTGACTGTGCGTTTGTGTGGGCTGGCGCAGGATGCCGCCCCTGGAAACAGCCGCAGAACGAGCGAGAGAGAGAGAGCGAGAGAGAGAGAGATAGAGAGGTGAATGATATTTTCATGTTCTGGAGGTTGAGAACAGAAAGAGTCCGGTCACTCGACCTTTAAATGTTTCCGTTTCGGTTTGTGAAGAACGGAACTGACTGCACAATAACATCGATAGGGTTTTGCCGGTAGTGAAGCTTTATCGCTTTATTAAATCTCCCCCTCCACCCCCACCACCACCACCACCACCACCACCACTCGTCTTGTACTCCCTTCATGCCCCTGGCACCCCCCTACCTCTCCCACCTGCTCACTCCCCAACCTACTCACTCACTACCCACTGCCTCCACTCGACTGGCTCCGGCCCCCTGCTTGGGCGCTCACGCCCTCCACTCCCCCCTCCGCTTCCAGCCACCACTCCCCAAAACTCAGGAACATTCTCCCTCTGTCCCACCCCCTCGCCCCTCTCCTTCCCCATTTTCAGGTGGCGCCTGAAGACCTTCCTCTTCGACCTATGGCCGCCTCCTCCCTCCCCGCCCCCGGCTTGGCGTTGAGCTCCGCCACTGTGAAGCGTTCCGGGGCCGCTGCCTCGCGCGGTGGTGGGTGGGCGGGGGGGCGTGGGGGGGGGGTTCGTTGTGTACATGCAAGGATTATTATTGTTAATATTTCACAGCTCGTTGCAAATGCTCACGTGCAGAGCAGGAAAAACTGGTGCAGCATGGCTGCTGAAGGCTGTTGAGCTGCCGGGTGCTGGAATGTGAGGTGGGGCTGTGGGTGTGCGCGTGGTTATTTTATTCTCTTTTGCAGAATTGTTTTGCTCTGCCGGATTTTTGGTGTTTGGGGCTCGTGAGCTCGCAGTCCAGCATGGGAGGGGGGGGAGCGAGCGAGAAGGAAGGAGGAGGGGATGAGCGAGGGAGGGAGGGAGGGAGGGAGGGAGTGGGGAGATGTAAACAAAAAAAACGGTCCTTCCCATCTCTGCCTGTTCAGGTGTGGCTCGATCGGAAAAGAGGAGGGTGTTGTTCCCTGTGTGGGTTTGGGTTTGAGAATCCCATCTTGATCAACAACCACTTGTATTTACACGGGACCCTTTCAGGTAGAAATCCCCCCCCCCCCCTTCACCCCCCCAAAAAAAGAAAAGCAATCCAGGCAGTGGCGCAACATTCGAGCTTCATAACAAGAGTGGAGGCGAGGGCAGTCACGTGAACATTCACCTCACTAACAGGAAGTTAGTCGAGGCAGTGTAGGAAGGCTGTTGAGCTGGGTTTGAGTCTCGGGCAGCGAGGGAGGGAGAGAGAGAGAGAGAGAGAGGAACCTTGGGGAAGACGTACAGTTTGCGGCCTTGCTGACTCACACAGACAGATTAAAAACAAAACCAGGAAGCAAGCCGGCGGGATTGCAACATTTGATTTAATCCTCTCTTTCTCATGAGAGGTCGATGCAGATGAGAGTGAATATGGTATGTGTGTGTGTTTGTGTCTGTCTGTCTGTCTGGGGTGTGTGTGTGTGTGTGTATATATGTGTGTCTGTCTGGTGTGCGTGTGTGGGTCTGTCTGTCTGGTGTGCGTGTGTGGGTCTGTCTGTCTGGTGTGTGTGTGTGTGTGTGTATATATGTGTGTCTGTCTGGTGTGCGTGTGTGGGTCTGTCTGTCTGGTGTGCGTGTGGGTGTTGGGACATCCGAGAAAGAGAGAGGAACTCCATTCATAATGAGACGCAATATCAAATGCAAGGATTGTTATTATTATTAAAAGAAGAAGAATCTCTTATGGATCAATGACTCCGAGACCGATTCTGATCGAGTCTCGGTCTTATTTAAACGTCCAAATCCCCGACTGTCCTGGTCCAGCGCCTTTGGACTTCCTCCCGATGTGAAAGGCGCTGTGTAAATGTTGTGTGTTGTTGTTTGTTCTTATTTCCTGCCTGCTGAATATCTCTCTCTCTCTCATATTTTGCAGGACAAATGCTGAAGCTGAATTAAGTGCTGGCCTGGGTTGAGGACTGGGCTGAGCAGGGCTGGGCTGAACTTGGCGAGGGAGAGAGCTGGGCTGGGGGCTGGACAGCTTGGGGTGGGGAGGACATGGCGCTCTGCCCTTGCACTTTGAAGCCCAGCGAGGCGGAGCTGGAGAGGTCTGTGTCTCCCGCGGGGCCGGGGCTGTGGATTCACCTGTACTGGAGCCCGGAAGGGGAGCGGGACCTGGTGCTCACTGAGGGCGAGGTAACAGCCGAGGACATCTGCATCGCAGCCGCACAGAAATGCTGTGAGTGATCAAGGGGGGACGGGGGGGACTGACCCTGGGAGGGAGGGGCTGTACTGGTGGGGGAGGAGCCACACTGACCTGGGGGGAGGGGCCATATCGTCCTGGGCTGCTGCACTGACGGGGGGGGGGGGAAGGGCCACAGAGGGTGAGGGGGAGGTGTAAGTTTGGGTGCTAACCCCCCTTTCTCTCTCTCCCCCCCCCCTCTCTCTCTCTTGCAGCCATCTCGCCGCTGTGCCTGAACCTGTACGCCCTGTGTGACCTGCAGGAGAAGCTGTGGTTCGCTCCCAGTCACGTCTTCAAGATCGACCACGACCTGAGTCTCAGCCTCCACTTTCGCATGAGGTACGTCCGTCCCTTCACTGCGAGGGTGGGGGGGTGGGTTACTGTGGGAACAAGGGTGGCTGAGAGAGCTCTGTATTGGTGCTGTCATCTATCGGATGCGCGATGGAGTCCTGTAGCTCAGCACTTAGAGCGCTCGCCTCGCAAGCGAGAGACTTGGCTTTGATTCCCGGGTCAGGGCGAAACGTTGGGCAAGTTTCCTTACTCCCCACACACACACACTCACACACACACACACGCCTCTGTTTACCAGCAGTAAGTAGGAACCCGGTCGTTAGTCGATTGGCGGATCACTTTTCCGGGGGTAATAGTTCCCTTAAAAAAAATTGGTCACTCAGTCCACGGCTGTTTGTGCGCTGCTGTGCGCAATTGGCTGCCGCGTTTCACCCACAAAATATACTGTCAATTCACAGTGTATCCTGTGAAGAGCTTTGAGATGTCTCAAAAACGCGATAAGGCGCCGTATGAATTGCAAGTATTATTATGGTTGTTATTCTGAAGCAGCGTCTCGGTTGGTGTCTGTGCCGTTCCAGGTTTTATTTCAGGAACTGGCACGCCATGCTGGAGCAGCAGCCTCGTGTTCACCGCTACTCCCCCAGGAAGAGCGACTCCCAGTACAGCCCCGGCAAACCAGAGCAGGGCAGCCCGCTGTTCGACCACACCTCCCTCAGCTATGTGTTCGCACAGGTAACCAGCCACCATGTGGGACTCCCTACTCGCCCGTCGCTGTGCCGTGTTTATACCAGGGCTCCTCACAGCTGTGATCCTGCCTACCTGTAGGATCACCGTCTGTCCATCTGTATGTATGTTATTGATTATTGATCGCCTCACTGTGTGTCTGTGATTGATCACCTGTCTGGCTGCGTGTCTGTGATTGATCACCGTCTGTCTCTCAGGGGAAACATGACTTTATTCACGGCGTGGCCCCACTTCGGGAGCCACAGACGGAGCAGGATCTGTACACCTTCCGCAACGAGAGCCTGGGCATGGCCGTGCTCCACCTGTCCTACACCGCAGTGCAGAGCGGCCGCACGCTGGAGGACGTGGCCAAGGAGATCAGGTCTGTGTGTGATAGACTGTGTGAGAGAGAGAGAGAGAGAGACTGTGTGTGTGAGAGAGAATGTGTGTGTGTGTGTGTGTGAGAGAGAGACTGAGACTGTGTGTGTGTGTGAGAGAGAGAGACTGAGACTGTGTCTGTGTGTGGGAGTACCTGTGTATGAGACTGACTGTGTCAGTGCCTGTGTGTGGTGTGTGATTGTCAGTGTCTCGCTCTGTGCTGCTCACACTCCCTCCCTCCCCCCTCCCCCTCCTCCTGCCTCTCAGCTTTAAGCGCTGTATCCCGCGCTCGTTCCGGGAAAAGATCGAGCACTACAACTCTCTGACCAAGCTGCGGCTGAAGCGAGGCTTCCGGAAGTTCGTGCGTACGTTCAACCTTCCGACGAGCAGCGCCGGGCGTGTGATCCAACACGACATCATCTTCAAGTACCTTTCCACCCTGGAGAATCTGTGCTGCCACTTCGGGGGCGAAGTGTTTCGTGCCCCCCGCCTGGAGGTCCTGCCCGAGAGCAGCCGCTCGGCACATTACATCAACAACCGCTGCCCACCACCCACCAGCCCCCTCGCACAGCACTGTCAAGTCCTAGTGTCTGGCAATGAGGGCATCCAGTGGAGGGTGATGAGGAAAGAGGTGAGCGGGGCGGCGGGGGGGGTGGTGGGAACGAGGGGAATGGGGACAAGGGGGAGGGAGAGGATAAGGGCAGGGGTGAGTGGGATGGGGGTGTGAGAGAGGAGAGTGGGGGTGAGTGGGATGAGGGAGATGAACGGTCGGGTGTACCACACTACTGCTGAGCTCCCCCCCCGCCACCCCCCAACCTTGACGGGATTACACAGAGGTTCCCCATCTGCCTGTTCTCTCTCTCTCACACTCCTACACTCTCTCTGTCTCTCTCTCGGGATGGTTTGCCTGTAGAAGCCGGTGACAATGAAGAAGTGTGGGTGGCGAGGCCGAGAGGACGTGAGCCGCAAACTGAACTCAGTGGGCGAGGAGCGAGAGCAACCGTGGAGCAGCTTCTGCGACTTCAAGGAGGTGACGCACGTGGTGATCTCCAACAACAGGGTGTGCGTCCATCGTCAGGACAACAAGTGCCTGGTGAGTGTGTGTGTGTGTCTCACTCTGTGTGTGTGTGTGTCTCACCCTGTGTGCGTGTATGTGTGTTTGTGTTTGTGTGTATCTCACTCGGAGCTGAACTGTCTCTCTTGTTGCCGGCAGGAGCTGGAATTGGGGTCCCACAGGGAAGCCCTGTCCTTCACAGCCCTGATTGACGGCTACTCGCGGCTGACCACAGATGCCCATCACTACCTCAGCCATGAGGTGGCCTCTCCCAGGGTGGTCCTGAGCATCAGCAACGCCATTCACGGGCCCATGCAGTGAGTGACCGGGGTCTGGGGGGGCGGGGGGAGTGCTTGGGGAAGGGGTAAATGTGAGAGTGATTGACAACCCTCCCCCACCCCCCCCACCCTACAGGCCGCACTATGTGACCAATAAGCTGAGGCGAGAGGAGAATAAGGAGGGGGCGTATGTACTGCGCTGGAGCGCCCTGGACTTCAACAAGATCATCATCACCGTCGTCAGCAAAGAGAAACCTGAGGTGGGTCTGTGTGCGCGTGTGTGTGTACATGTGTGTGCATGGTGTGCGCGCGCGTGTGTACGCGGTGCGTCTGTGTGTCAGTGAGTGTGTTGGTGTATATTAGTATGTGTGTGTCTTGAGTGTGTGGTGTGTGAGACATGTCTGTGTTGGTGTATATGAGTGTGTGTGAATGTCCGAATGTGAGTCTGTGTCACTATGTATAAATGTGTGTGTGTGTGTGTATATGAGTCTGGGTATATGAATGTAATTGTGTGTGTGTGTGTATCAGTGAGTGTATCTGTGTATGTGTCAGTGAGTGTGCTGTGTCAGGGTGTATGTTGTGAGGACGTGCCTTGCTGTCACGGTTTGCTTCCTGAGTAGGAAATAGGCCAAGTCTGACGACTGGGCTGCTGTTAGCATTGTGACTGATGGTAGTCTGATATGGGGCTAATTTGCTGACAGAAAAGCTCTTTGGTTTCTCTGAAAAATAATCTCAATACAAACAGAGCCAAAGTCAACTCTTAAAAGCCTAGAGACCCGGCCCCAGAGACACTGGATGCTGTGTGCCAGAGTGGTATTGTGTTGCGCACCGCGGGAGTGGGAGGGGGGGGTTGAGGCTGTCTCACCACTAACCTCTGCTGTCACCTTGGACAACAACAGCAACAACCACCACCACCACCACAACAACAGCTTGCATTTATATAGCTGGCTCTCGCGCAGGACAGGGTCCCAGAGCACTTACATTGCCTAACAGGGAAGGGGGTTGGAGTGATGTGACCCCTGACATTTGGGGAAAGGAGAGGGGTGGAGTTATTCAGTGTCCCTTGCTGACTCTCTCTCTTTCACTGCCCCGCGTGGGGGTGAGGGAGTAATCTCTCTCTTTGTCTGTTTCTCTCTCTCCTCTGACTCTCTCTCCCTCTCTGTGTGTGTCTCTCTCTTTTTTCCCGTTTGGGGATGCGGGGGGAGTTAATCTCTCTCTCTGTCTGTCTGTCTGTCTTGTCTGTCTGTCTGTCTCTCTCTCTCTGAGGTGCTGACACTCTCTCTCTCTCTGCCTGTGCTGACAGGAGTTTAAGCAGTTCCAGATTGAGAGGAAGGGGCCGGAGGTGTATGTGCTGCAGGGCTGGGACCGAAGCTTCCCCAGCCTCAAGGAGCTGCTCGACAGCCTCAAGTTCTGCGTCCTCAAATCTGGGCCTGACAGCTACATCATCAGGAAGTGCTGCCCCCCCGTCCCCCACGGTAACCCCCCCCACACACGCTCACACACACACGCGGAGTAACATACACACACTCACACAGACACACCCAAACAGTAACCACACACACACACACACATCTCCACTCCGTAACAGACACACACACACACACACAGTGACTCGCTGACTGACCGACCAGGTGTGGCTGTGACTGACGCCGTGTTTGTGGGTTTATGTTCTGCTCAGAATTCTCTAACCTGCTGGTGGTGCGGAGGCCGGACAGTGAGCTGCGGCCACTGACCGTACAGCTAAACCTGAGCCAGCTCAGCTTCCACCGCATCCGCAAGGAGGAGATCGTACAGGTGAGGGGGTGGGGATGGGTGTGGGGGGGTAGTGGGAGAGGCTGCCCACTGTACTCCACCTCAACTCTCACCCGCTTCCCCCCCATCTCTGTGATCTCATGTACACACACACACACACACACACAGAGTCATCCTGTGACCTGACGCTCACCTCCCCAGACACACAGGTCTGTGACCATCTCTCGACTGTAGACTCCGGCTCCCCCTTTTTGCCCCCTTGCCCACCTCCCCAGTCACTGAGCTCTCTGCCTGTTGTGGTCTGCCTTAGGAACACCACCTGGGTCGGGGGACGCGGATGAACATCTACTCGGGACGGCTGTGCGTGCGGGAGGACGTGGACGATGAGGACCTGGAGCAGACGTGCAGCTTGGGCAGCCAGCTGGCCCGAGACATCAGGGTGGTCCTCAAAGTGCTGGACCCCAGTCACAGGGACATCGCTCTGGTAAGTGAGGAGCCTGACAACCCAGGCCCCACCGCCTCTCAGCCCATCACACTGGTCAGTGCGCTCTCCCTCAGTCACTACGCTTAACTGTGGTTAGTGGAGTCCCGTAGCGTAGTGGTTAGCTCGCTCGCCTCGCCAACCGAGGGGACCCAGGTCCAATTCCCGGTCGGGTCAGGGCGAAACCTTAAAGGATTAAATTACGAGGACATGTTGCATAAACTTGGTCTCTATTCCCTTGGGTTTAGAAGTTTGAGGGCTGATCTGATTGAGTTGTTTAACATAATAAAGGGATTCGATAGAGTAGCTACAGAGAAACTGTTTCCTCTGGTGGGGGAATCCAGAACAGTGGGGGGTGGGGGAGGGGGGCATCATCTTAAAATTAGAGCCAGGCCATTCAGGAGTGAAATCAGGAGGAAGTTTTTCACCCGAAGGTCAGTGGAAATCATGTACTTTCTCCCTCCCCCCAAAAGGCTGTGGATTATGGCTGTGGATCCATTCACATTTTCAAGACTGAGGTGGATAGATGTTTGTTAGGTCAGGGGATCAAGGGATACGGGGCAAAGGGTGGGTAATTAGGAGTTGAGGTACAGACCAGCCACGATCTTACGGAATAGAACGGCGGAACAGGCTCGGGGTGGGCTGAATGGCCTCCTCCTCCTTCTATGTTAGGCAAGTTGCCTTACTCCGCACACACACGCCTCTGTTCACCCAGCAGTAAGTAGGAAGTCAATCACTTTACGGCGTATTGTGTGAAGCGCTTTGAGACGTCTCGAATGCCAAGGATTATTGTCATTCCTACAGTGGCTGTGTCCACGTGGTGCACCTGTACTGACCCCGCGTCTCTCTCTTGTCTGTCTCCTCCTTCAGGCTTTCTTCGAGCTGGCCAGTTTAATGAGTCAGATCTCTCACGCTCACCTGGCCTTTGTGCACGGAGTCTGTGTGCGAGGCTCTGAGAGTAAGTTCCGTCTCTGTTAGCGCTTCCTCGCAGTTCAGACACGTGCCTATCCCTGTGACCCTAGCGCCCCCACGCTCACCCTCGCCCGGCTCCTCTGGCTCCCCATCCCCTAGCGGATAGGATACAGTTCAAAATCTTGGCCTTCAAAGCCCTCCACGGCCTTGCTCCTCCCTACCTCTGTGACCTGCTAACCCCGTGTGCTGTGTACGGGGTGGGTGGGGGGGGCTGTGGTTAGTGTGAGGGCCAGACTGACTGGCTGACTGACTGCTCTGTGTGCCGGCAGATATCATTGTGGAGGAGTACGTGGAGTTTGGGCCTCTGGATGTGCTGCTGAGGAAGGAGAAGGGAAATGTGTCTACAGAGTGGAAACTCACTGTCATCCAGCAACTGGCCAGTGCCCTCAGCTACCTGGTACACTCTCTGCTTTTCTGTCACTCTCTCTCTTTCTCTCTCTCTCTCTCACTCACTCACTCACAGACTCACCCATTCTCTCTCACTCTTTCTCACTCACTCTACCTGGTATACTCTATGTTTCTCTGTCTCTCTCTCTCTCTCGCTCACTCACTCACGCATACTCTCACTCACTGAATCTCTTTCTCACTCTATCTCTCTGTTCTGTCTCTCACGGTGATTGTCTTCTTATTCTCATTCACTCCCTCTCTCACTCTATCTCTGTGTCTCTCTCTTCTTCTCTTTCACTCACCCTCTCTCAGGAGGATAAGAACATGGTGCACGGTAATATCTGCGCCAAGAATGTGCTTGTAGCGAGGCGAGGGCTGGAAGCCGGGAGCAGCCCCTTCATCAAGGTCAGCGACCCTGGCATCAGCTTCTCCGTCCTCACACGGGAGGGTGAGTTTGGCCCCAGTGAATGAGTGAGTGAGTGTATGAGTCAGTCGGTCGGTGTGTAAGTCAGTGAGTGAGTCAGCGAGTCAGTGAGTGAGTGAATGAGCGAGTGAGTGTGTGAGCCAGTCGGTGTGTGATTTCCTAACTGAAGTTCTGTGTGTGTGTGTGTGTGTGTATGTGTGTGAGACTGATGTGCTCAGAGAGAGAGTGTATGTGTGTATGAGGCTGAGCGCTGCCCTCAGTGTGAGTGTGTGTGTGTGAGGCTGACTGCTGTGTGTTGCCCCCCTGGCAGAGCGGGTGGAGCGTATCCCCTGGATCGCCCCCGAATGTGTGCAGGATGTGGGCAAACTAGGCCTCGGCACCGACAAGTGGAGCTTCGGGACCACTGTGCTGGAGATCTGCTACAGTGGGGAGGTCCCCCTGCGAGAGCGCACACTGTCAGAGGTACGTTAGTGAGGTGGGAGGGGGGGACTCGAGGGCTGTCAGTGGGAGGGGGTTTCAGAGGGTGGTGGGGGTGGGTGGCTGTCAGAGGGTGGGCTCTCAGGGCAGGGGACTCTCGGGGGAGGATGGGTGGTTGTCAGAGGTGGGGGGGGCTGTCGGAAGCGCTCCAGGACGCTGCCCCACCTGAAGAGCACAATATAAATGCAAGCTGCTGCATTGTTGTCGTCAGAGAGATGTTCCTGGGTGGGGGAGGCTGTTGAGTGTGTGGGATGGGGGGGGGGGGGGGGGGGGTGCAGAATGTCTGTCCTCATTGTGCCGTTGTTTTTACAGAAGGAACGCTTTTACGAGATGAAAGGGAAGCTTCCGGAACCTTCCTGCAAGGAGCTGGCGGAGCTGAACAGCCAGTGTCACAGCTACGAGCCAAACCTACGCCCGTCTTTCCGCACCATCATGAGGGAACTCACCTTACTACAGCAGCAAAGTGAGACACTCACTCACACACACACACACACCATACACCACACACTCATACACACACACTCATACACACACACCATACACACACACCATACACCACACCCTCGTACACCACACACACATATACACTCACGATGGGTAAGTTTCCTTACTCCACACTCAAGCCTGTTTACCTAACAGTGAGTAGGAACCCGGTTGTTAGTCGATTGGTGGATTGCTTTCATAATAATAATAATTTAATAATTCCTTAAAAAAATAATAACTGGTGACTCAAATCCACGACTGTTTGTGGGACGCTGTTGTGTGCAATTGGCTGCCGCGTTTCTCCCGCAAAATCTATAGTCATTTCATTTTCAGTGAGTGACACTGACTCTTGCTTCTCGCTCATAGATCCTGATATCACATGTGACAGTGCGGTGCCCGCCATCACCGACCCCACGGTCTTCCAGAAACGCTACCTGAAAAAAATCCGGGACCTCGGAGAGGTGAGGCCTTCACTTCCAGAAGGGGGAAAGAGAGAGAAAGAGAGACTTTCAGAGAGACAGAGAGAGAGATGTAGAGAGAGAGAGAGAGACTTACTGAAAGATACACAGAGAGAAAGAGAAGAGAGAGAGAGACTCACACAGAGAGAGATGCACAGAGAAAGAGACTCACAGACAGAGAGAGAGATATACACAGATTAATGGTTGCTGTTCTGACAACAGCTTCCCTTCGACAGAGCTCTTAACATTGCACAGCGCCTTCCGACGTCCCCCTGACGTGAAAGGCGCTGTACAAATCTAATTTGTTATTGCATAAGGGAGGGCGGGGTTGAGGCGAGGGTAAGGCCAGCAAGGGAGAGATGTTGGGACAGCAAGGGAGAGGTGCTGTAGCTCACCCTGTGCTGTGTGTGTTGGGCAGGGCCACTTTGGCAAGGTGGGGCTGTACCTGTATGATCCTGACAATGACGGAACGGGGGAGGTGGTGGCCGTGAAGTCGCTGAAGTCGGAGTGCAGTGTGGAGCTCCAGAGCAGCTGGAGCCGCGAGATCCAGATCCTCAAAGCCCTGTATCACAGCAACATCGTCAAGTACAAGGGCAGCAGCAGCGAGCAAGGTACTGGGGGTAGTGGGGAGCGAGGGGAGCGGGCGAACGAGGGGAGGGGAGAGCGCGGGAGGTGGGAAGGGGCGGCACACAGGCTGGTCTGAGTGTACTTGTGCACACATTACTGTGTGTTGGAGTGTCAGATGAGTATGTGTGTAACGCAGTGTGTGTCCCTGGTAGCAGGGCAGATTGTGTGTGTGTGTGTATAACACTGTGTGTCCCTGGCAGCAGGGCAGATTGTGTGTGTGTGTGTGTATAACACTGTGTGTGTGTCCCTGGCAGCGGGGCAGATTGTGTGTGTGTGTATAACACTGTGTGTGTACCTGGCAGCGGGGCAGATTGTGTGTGTGTGTGTATAACACTGTGTGTGTGTCCCTGGCAGCGGGGCAGATTGTGTGTGTGTGTGTATAACACTGTGTGTCCCTGGCAGCGGGGCAGATTGTGTGTGTGTGTATAACACTGTGTGTGTCCCTGGCAGCGGGGCAGATTGTGCAGCTGATTATGGAGTACCTGCCGTTGGGCAGCCTGAGGGATTATCTCCCCAAACACAGTCTGGGCCTGGCTCAGCTCATGCTCTTCGCCCAGGAGATCTGTGAGGTAAGCACTGCGCCTCCACACGCTTGTTTGTGTGGGGGGGGTGGGGAAGAGGAGAGATTAGTCTTTGTGGGTGTGTGTGGGGAGGGGAGAGATCAGTGTGTATGGGGGGGGAGGAGTTTGTGGGGTATGTGGTGATGGGTTGTGTGTGTGTATGTATGTGTTTGTGGGGGGTGTATGTGGTGGGGGGGGTGACACTGCTCCTGTCACTGACGCCCTGTCCCCCGCCCCTCACCGCCCCAGGGTATGAACTACCTGCACTCCCAGCGCTATATCCACCGGGACCTGGCGGCCAGAAATGTGCTGGTGGAGAACGAAAACGTGGTGAAGATCGGGGACTTCGGGCTGGCCAAGGCCATCCCTGAGCACCAGGACTATTACCGTGTCCGCGACGACGGGGACAGCCCCGTCTTCTGGTCAGTGTCTCTGAGGGTCAGCTCGCCCTGAGCTCAGCCTCGGCCTCACAGCCCTGACTTAGGGGCTCCTGCTCGATCTCGCTTTCTGCCTCTCTGTGTGTCTCATTCTCTCTTTCTCCCTCTCTCTGACCGTCTGTCTCTCTCGCTCTCTGTCTCATCGGGAAGTCCTCCCGACGTGAAAGGCACTATACAAATGTAATTTTTTAATTGTATTTATCTCTGTGTCCCTCTCTGCCTCTGTCTCTCTCTCTCTCTGTGATTCTCTCATTCTCTGTCTGTCTGTGCCTCTATTTGTCTCTCTCTCTCTCCCTCTCTCTCGGTTTCCTCCTGACGTGAAAGGCACTATACAAATATAATTTTTTATTGTAAATGTCTTTCTCTCTGTCCCTCTCTTTCTCTCTGATGGTCTCTCTGTGACCGTGTCTCTCTCTTTCTCTCACTCTCTCTGTGACTGACTCTCTCTGTCTCTCTCTGTGACGGTGTCTCTCTCCATCTCCCTCTGTGACGATATCTCTTTCTCTCTGTCTGTCTCTCCCTCTCTCCCCCTGACTCCCTGTGCGACGCCAATGCCTGACCTCTGGCTGTAGGTACGCTGTTGACTGTCTGAAGGAAGGAAAGTTCAGTTTTGCCTCTGATGTTTGGTCGTTCGGGGTCACGCTGTACGAACTGCTCACTCACTGTGACACCCGACAGAGCCCCCCAGCGGTGAGTGTGCGCTCTGGTCCCTCCCTTCCCCCTCTGCCCCCCACTTCGGCTCAATCCTCTTTCCCCCGCCCCCTCCTTTTTGATCGTGTTTATTACTATGACCTCCCCCACTCCCTCTCCCCCGGCTCATTGTCAGACTCCGCTACTGTCAAGCACTCCGGGCGCTGTGTAAGTGCAAGTTGTCGTACGTTACACACGTGTGTATGTGCACACGTGTGCCTGTTTGCTCGGTGTCCATCGCGACACACGCCTGCGCGCGGTTCTCAGACGCGCGTGGGACTGAAGTGCGACCCTTGTGTGTTTTGCAGAAGTTCCTGGAGATGATGGGATCAACGCACGGGCAGATGACAGTGCTGAGGCTGATCGAGCTGCTGGAGAGAGGGCATAGGCTCCCCTGCCCTAAGATGTGCCCCACGGAGGTTAGGCCCGAGCAGCCCCCAGCACCTCTCTCTCTCTCTCTTTCTCCCCCTGACTCCATCCCCCAACGACTGCCCCCCTCTCTCTCTGTCTCTCCCGACTCCAGCCCCCAACAACCTCCCCTCTCTCTCTCTCCCCTGACTCCAGCCCCCAACGACCACCCCCACCCCACCTCTCTCTCCCGACTCCAGCCCTCCCCCCCCACCCGTGACTTCTCTCTCTCTCTCTCCCCGCTCTCGTGACTCCAGCCCCATTGGTGACTCTCCCCGTCAGTGACCCCCTCTCTCTCTCTCCCTCCGCCCAGGTTTACCAGCTGATGAGACGATGCTGGGAGAAGGATGCGAGTGAACGGCCCAAGTTTGAGGAGTTGATCCCCGTGTTTCAGAAACTCCACGAGAGGTTCACCAAACTGGAGGCCCTGAGCATCATCCCGATTCCCTGACCCCGGCCACAGGACCTGGTTAGCGAGCGGCCTGGCTGCACTGCGCGGGTCTGAGACACAGTCCGTTCCATCTGTCTGTCTGTCGGCCTGTCTGCCCCCAACTATACACTTTGCACTGACTACAGGCAGTATAGGACAGGCTGCCCCAGCGCAGTTTCTTGCTGTATAAAGCTAAGCCTTCACTCTGTGTGTGTGTGTGTGTTTGCACACGTGCCTGGTGTGTGTGCATATTTGTTTGCGAGTATGCGTGTATTTGTGTGTCTGCACATGTGTGCGTACATATGTTTGTGTGCGAGCATGGGCTTGTGTACACAAGTTGAGCCAGAGGGAACGTGTGAGTGAGCTTGTGTTGTGCACGAGTGAGTAAGAACGTGAGTTGTATGAGCTTGAGTTGTATGGAGGTATGAGTGTATCTGAGTGAGTGAGTGTGTGATCAGTACCCCACCTTCTAAACATCTTAACCAATATCTCAGTGTACAACCCACTGAGGTGAAGCTGGGAGGGAGGGAGGGAGGGAGGAAAGTGTGACTTATTAAATTCACTCTGCTGTGTAATCAAATAGCAGTAAATATAACGCAGGCAACACTTTATATTTAACCTCTGCTGTGGGCTCTTGAGATGTTTCTCCCCGTCGCAGACGTAGCTTTTTCAGGTAGAGAGGAGATGGAGGGATTTTAGGAAGGAGAGCTGGAGAATGAGGTGGGGGGGACAAGTGGCTGTTAATAATAATCCTTGCATTTGATATAGCGCCTGATCACGTCTTCTAGACATCTCAAAGCTCCATATTCTAACCCGCCAGTAGTAAGTGCCGTGACCCCCAGTCTGGCCACACTGCTCGCGGCTTATCTGTCTGCGGAGACATAAAACCCTGAACTTTGTCCTGCTCGATTGTGTGCGTGGGGGAGGGAAGAGAGGAAGTTGGCTGCAGAGTGCCTATCACCCTTCACCCATCTGTCTCACTGTCCCTGTCTGTAAGAAAACTCCTACTCGGGCCATACAGAACTTAAAAGGGGGAATTGAGATAAATAAGCGTAGGGTAAAGTGATGTAAATAGTCTCGACTCGCTACTGGAAAGTATAATCCGATTCCAATGTACACAAAGTTTTTTTTTAATCTTCAGGATGTAGGTTATGTCTGTGTGTAAATTTACAGGGAAGTATATAATGTATTAAAAAGCCGCTGCACATGCTAAAAATAAACGACCAAAAGACTCTCTTTGCCGGGTGTCTGCTGTCACCTGTTTTCCAGCCGCAGTTTATTCAACAGCGGCGTCGGGAATCTGATCCGACTGGAGACGAGAGCCAATTGATCACCCAGGACTGCTCTGCCTTCCCCCTCCTCCCTCACCTCACAATCTCTGCCTTCCCGCCGCTGCCCCGCTACCTCTGTCCCGTTGTTTGTGGGACCTTTAAGACGTCCAGACGGGACCTCGGTTCGGCGTTCGCAATAGGTCGCCCCCGGCCCTCGCCGGGCGCCCTCCGCTGGCTCCCCCATCGCCGAACCGATCGGCTTCCCAACATCCTTACGCTCGCCTTCAAATCCCTTCACCACCGTCCTCTCCGGCCTCCGCTCGGCTGACCCCGGGCTTCTGCACTAAACCCCCCCCCACCCCACCCCCACCCCCCGTGCCCTCCGCACCGCCGTCAGCGGCCGCACTTTCAGCCACGACGCCCCCGAACTCTGGAGCACTCTTCCTCTATCTCGCCGCCGTGCCCCCTCCTCGTCCATCTCCACGTTGAGCTCCGCGCTGGGCCTCTGTGTGGGGGGCGGGGGGGGAGAGCTCCGCGCTGGGCCTGTGTGGGGGGGGGAGAGCTCCGCGCTGGGCCTGTGTGTGTGGTGGAGGTGGGGGGGGGGGAGAGCTCCGCGCTGGGCCTGTGTGTGTGGGGGTGGGGGGTGGGAGAGCTCCGCGCTGGGCCTGTGTGTGTGGTAGAGGTGGGGGGGGGGGAGAGCTCCGCGCTGGGCCTGTGTGTGTGGTAGAGGTGGGGGGGGGGGAGAGCTCCGCGCTGGGCCTGTGTGTGTGGTAGAGGTGGGGGGGGGAGAGCTCCGCGCTGGGCCTGTGTATGTGTGGTAGAGGTGGGGGGGGGAGAGCTCCGCGCTGGGCCTGTGTGTGTGGTAGAGGTGGGGGGGGGGGGGAGGGGGAGAGCTCCGCGCTGGGCCTGTGTGTGTGGTAGAGGTGGGGGGGGGGGGGAGGGGGAGAGCTCCGCGCTGGGCCTGTGTGTGTGGTAGAGGTGGGGGGGGGGGGAGGGGGAGAGCTCCGCGCTGGGCCTCTGTGACCGGCGACCAATCGGAGCGCGGCTTACTGGGCGGTCCGACGTCACGTGGCCCCGTCCCCTCCCGGCAGCCAATGAGTGTCGGGGGCGTCGGTGAGAGAGTGCAAGATGGCGGCCACCGTGTCCGGAGAGCCGCCGGCGCCAGAGAGGCGACAAAGCGACGACAATGGCGGCAATGGCGAACCCGAGGAGGTGCCCGAGGCCCAGAGCGACGAGGAGCCGGGGAGTGACCCGGAGCTGGAGAGGGACCCTGGCCGGGCCCCCGAGGAGGTGCTGCTCGAGCTGGAGGCCGAGGAGCGCGAGCAGCGGCTGGAGCGGACGCGTCGGGAGTTCAAGAACCGGCGCAAACTGCTGCTGAGGAACCTGCCGCCGGACGTCAGCAACCAGGTCACCGGGGGCCCAGCGCGGAGCTCGAGCTCACACACTCCCTGCAGAGGCCCAGCGCGGAGCTCACTCCGTACAGAGGCCCAGCGCGGAGCTCACTCTCTACAGAGGCCCAGCGCGGAGCTCACTCTCTACAGAGGCCCAGCGCGGAGCTCACTCTCTACAGAGGCCCAGCGCGGAGCTCACTCGCTACAGAGGCCCAGCGCGGAGCTCACTCGCTACAGAGGCCCAGCGCGGAGCTCACTCGCTACAGAGGCCCAGCGCGGAGCTCACTCGCTACAGAGGCCCAGCGCGGAGCTCACTCGCTACAGAGGCCCAGCGCGGAGCTCACTCGCTACAGAGGCCCAGCGCGGAGCTCACTCGCTACTGAGGCCCAGCGCGGAGATCACTCGCTGCAGAGGCCCAGCGCGGAGCTCACTCGCTACAGAGGCCCAACACGGAGCTTCCCCCAGAAAGTCCCAACGCGGAGCTCTCTAACCCCGGGGAGGGGGGGGGGGGCGATCTCTGTTAACTCTCTCTTTCCCTGTTGCAGGATGTCCACGAGCTTCTGGGTGAATTCGACCTAAAGTACTGCTTTGTGGACAAGTACAAAGGAACTGGTGAGTGTGCGCAGCGGCAACACTGAGCCGGGAAAGGCTCAGCTGCTTTGGGTTTGGGTCTAAAGTTCATCACCTGTCTAGTTACAAACCTGGTTTATCGGAGTCCTGTAACATAGTGGTCAGAGCCCTCGCCTCGCAAGCGAGAGGACCCGGATTCGATTCCCGTGCAGGACCAAATGCTGGACCAGTTTCCCTACCTCACACACACGCCTCTGGTTACCTCGCAGTAAGTAGGAACCCGTTTGTTAGTTTCCAGAGGTAATAATCCCTTCACTAAAAAAAATTAATAATTTGGTCACTCAATCCGTGACTGTATGTGGGACGCCGCTGTGCACAATTGCTGTTTCGCCCACAAAATATACAGTCCCGTACAGTCAATTCACTTTGCAATGTATTCTGTGAAGCGCTTTGAGACGTCTCAACGGCGTGATAAGGCGCTCCATCAAACGCAAGGATTATTATTATTTTTAATCTTGCCTCCCCAAATATCTTAATTGTCTCCTGAGCTCTGTGGCAGTGTGTTTACATTCTCACTGCCCTGTGGAGAAACATTATCTCAGCTGATTCCTCACTGGCGTAACTAATGATTTCCCTCCCCCCCACCCCCCCTCCTATTTTGGATCTGTCTAGCAGCTGGGAATGCACAAGTCTGATCTGTATAAATCCGATAATCACCTAAATCGTTCATCTGCCCGAGTCCTATTGAATTTCCCGTACAATTTATGCAAGTTTCACATAACTCGTATTTGGATAAGTCGTAGTAAATGTATGATCCCAACTGATACGACTTATAGGAGCAGGAGACTGCCATTCAGCCCCTCGAGCCTGTTCCGCCATTCTATTCTATAAGATCATGGCTGATCTGTATCTCAACTCCAATTTCCCGTTCTTGCCCCACATCCCTGGATACCCTGACCTAACAAACATCTGTCCACCTCAGTCTGGAAAATGTGAATGGATCCAGGATGTGGTGAGGTTTACTGTACGTCCAAGCAGTAGACGGACAGATAGTGAGGCAGGAGTTTACGCCTCATCTGAATTGCTGATCGCTCACACTCCTTCATTCACCTTTTTGCTTTCTCCCCAGCATTTGTCACCTTGTTGAACGGAGACCAGGCCAACAGCGCCATCGAGAAGTTTCACCAGTCGGAGCTGCGGGAGCGGGAGATTTCAGTCCAGCTGCAGCCCACAGATGCCCTGCTGTGCATTGCCAACCTGCCCCTCTCCTACAGCCAGCAGCAGTTTGAGGAGCTGGTCCGTCCCTTCGGGAACCTAGAGCGCTGTTTCCTGGTGTATAGCGAGACGTCCGGTCACTCCAAGGGCTACGGCTTTGTGGAGTACATGAAGAAGGATTTTGCCGCCAGGGCCAAGTCTGAGCTGCTGGGGAAACAGCTGGGGACCAGGGCCCTGTACGTGCACTGGACAGATGTCAACCAACTGACCATGGACCTGCTTCACTCCAAGTGCCTGTGTGTGGACAAGCTTCCGCATGATTACAAAGACCTGGAGCAGCTCACGCTGGCCTTCAGCCAGGTTCAAAAGCCCGTTTTCTGTCAGGTACGGGAGGAACGTTCTGTGTCCCAGGGAAAGTGGGGAAAGGCAAGAGGGTGGGCTCTCAGCCCATCAAGGATTAGTTAGCGGAGGAAAGCTATCCATCAACAGGCGGGGGGGTTCCTCCTGGAACTAGTAATTGTACTTATTTCAATATTAAATGGTTCTTCGTAATCGCTGTAATATTAATTGGAGTTGAGGTACAGATCGTCCAAGATCTAATCGAATGGTGGAACAGGCTCGAGGGGCTGAATGGCCTCCTTCTGTTCCGAGGCTAGGTGTGGCCGGCTCCCAGTCAGTGCCTGGTGCCCTCTTGTTAAAGGCAAGGGAGTTGAATCGGACGTGAGGTCAGAGTAACATGGTAATCGTGCCCGTCGCTCAGTGCAAGTGACAGCATAGGCACAGGGTGGGAGGTGGTGAGGAGGGGGAGATGGATGAGCAGAAGTGTTGCTCTAACACAGACGTTAGGAGCTGTACCCAGACTGGGTTCATTCCGCCATTTTGTTCGGCTGCAACCACCCAGCGTCTCAGAGCTTCCCGGAATAACTAAACGTGGGCTGAGAGATTAAAGCAACTCATGATCAAAGTGATCGGTGAGGAGTTTGTCTGTGTCGCTGGGTTGGGTAGTGAGAGGCCGGCCTGTGCTCATCTCTGTTCTCTCTCCCCTCCTTGCGCTCTCTCTCTCTCTCTCTCTCTCTCTCTCCCCCACCTCCCCTCCTGGTGCAGCTGGCTCAGGGCCCTGACGGGCAGTTCCGAGGCTTTGCGGTCCTGGAGTACGAGACGGCAGAGCAGGCGGAGGAGGTGCAGCGCAGTGTGGACGGTCTGCACCTCGACGGCAACCACATCCGCGTCCTGTTCTGTGCCCCCGGACCACCTGGTCGCAGCATGTTGCCTGCCCTGATAGCAGCACAAGCCACGGTAAGTACAGCGTGAGCGCATCAGCCCCTCTGCACACCCAACACAGCCAATACAGTGTGTACACACCAGTCCCTCTACACACCCAACACACCGCAGGCCACAGCATTGGAGGCAGTGAGATGCTCTGCTCTCTGCTGGGCTCTGGGAGTTGATGTTATAGGGTCGGAGAATCTTACAGCACAGAGGCCATTCGGATCATCATTCATTGAAAGAGCCATCCAGTCACTCCCGCTCCCCCGCTCTTACTCTTACCCACCAGAACTACAAGCCTTTCCTCTTTAAGTACCTATCCCATAATAATAATAAATTGGTCACTCAATCCACGACAGTCTCAGAGATATGATAAAGCGCTAAATCAGACGGGAGATTATAATTATTTAATTGTGTTGATCGGGGGGTGGGGTGGTGGTTGATAAGTTCTGGGACTCTACCCTGTGTGAAGGGCGCTATAGAAATGCAAGTTGTTGTTGTTACTGCAGTGACTCCTGACCCTGACTGACTGTTGTATCGCTTGTCTCTGTGACTCAGGCCATGAACCGCGGCAAAGGCCTCCTGCCAGAGCCCAACCCCGTGCAGATCCTCAACGGCCTGAGTAACCCGGCCACTCTCCGGCTCCTCCTCAACCCCCTGCTCCCCGGGGCCGGCAGCAGGCACCAGGGGGGCGACACCCGAGGAGGCTCCCCATCCTCCCGTGAGTTACACCTGGTCTCTCCTCTTCCTTGCCCGAGTTGGTGTTTTTTTTAACTGAGTATTTGGAGCCCTGTAGCTCAGCGGTTAGAGCGCTCGCCTCGCAAGCGAGAGGATCTGGGTTCGATTCCCGGGTCGGGGCGAAACGCTGGGCAAGTTTCCTTACTCCTCGCGCGCACACACACACACACGCCTCTGTTTACCAGCAGTCAGTAGGAACCCGGTTGTTAGTCGAATGGCGGATGGCTTTCCGGGGGTAATAATCTCTTCAAAAAAAAATAATAATGATAAATCTGGTCACTTCAATCCATGACTGTTTGCGGGGACGTCGCTGTGCGCAGGTTGGCTGCCATGTTTCATCTGCAAACTACACAGTCGCTACGCTTTACCTTTACGCTTTAAAGCTTTACGCTTTATCCTGTGAAGCGCTTTGAGACGTCTCGAAGACGTGATGTTGCGCTGTGTCAAATGCGAGGCTTAGTATTATTATTTACAGTATATTCTGTCGTGCGCTGTGAGCTCAGCTCCTCGGTCTCAGAGTGAAGCGTGGGTCTAGCGGAGTTAACCCTTTGTCTGCCGTGGCTGAGCCTCCCGGCGGTGGTTGGTGACCGAGTGCCTTGTTTTGCCAGGGATGCTGGGAGCCGGCCCGGCGATGCCTCTGCTGGGGAATCCGGCTCTGAGCGCGGCTCTGCTCAGGCTCGTGCTCCAGGGACAGAACCAGGCTCAGGCCCAGGCTCAAGCTCAGGCCCAGCAGGTGAGTGAGTGAGTGAGCGCTGCTCGCACTGGGCTCCGGGAATCCCGGTCACTGGGTAGTCATTCCTCCCCGAAGCTTCTCTGTTCTCTCCTCAGCGGCTGCTCCTTCGCCAGCATCACGTTTCCTGTGGTATAGAGGTTAGAGCCCTCGCCTCGCAAGCCACAGGACCCGGGTTCGATTCCCGGCCAGGCCAGTCAGGGCAAAACATTAGGCAAGTTTCCCAGAGTACCACTGTCCTTTATGTGGGGAAAAAACAGTGTCGTATCAGGTTGTCGATGTCGCGAAGTGCCTGTTAAAGTGTGGCCTGTGCTGTCTCTTTCAGAAGCCTGGGCTGCTGGGTGAGTCTCCTCTGGCTGCCCTGCAGCACAGCTCCCTGGGGCTCACGACCCCCCCACTGCCAGGGAAAGGACTCCTGGGAGAATCGCCAGCAGGTATATATGGCGCACACTAACCACAACCGGGGGGGGTGGGGGGGCACTGAACAACAACAAAATGCTTCTGTATAGGGGGCGAAGAGAAAGAGGTGGGGAGAGAGAGAGGGGGGGCGAAGAGAGAAGAGTTTGCTTGTCTGTGGGGTGGGGGTGCGGATGGGAGTTGGGGGGCAGAGTGGGTGGGGTGGTGGTAAGGACCGTGTGGTATTAATGCTGGTGTCTGTCTGTCTCTCCCTTGTCTGTCTCAGGGCTGGGTGCTGAGATGCCCCTCAGACAGTCGCAGTACGTGGGGGACATGCTGGAACCAGCTTCGGGGTCGAGGGGAGCACATTCCCGGCAGGTCACCCCTCCCCCCGTCACCGCCGCTGCCCTCCAGGGCATCCCCACCTCCATCCTGGGCTCAGTGCTCAACGACCTGAAGAGGATGAGGAACCGGAGCCAGGCCTCGGGGGAGAGTGCCACCGCGACCTCAGGGGTAAGAGAGCACCGTCAGTGTAGGGCAGCGGAGTGGGGGGGGTACGACCCACAAAACATACAGTCACTGCACTTTACCGTGTATCCTGTGAAGCGCTTTGAGACATCTCGAAGACGCGATAAGGCGCTGTATCAAATGCCAGGATTACTATTATTATTATGGCTGTTGTGCCCCATGGCCACGGGAGAGTTTAATGCTCTCGTCAGTCGCTGACTCCCTTCTCTTTCGCTCCCGTGTTGTAGATGTCTCTGTTGGGGGAACCACCCAAGGACCTGAGGATGCCTCAGAACCCGTACCTGAACCTGCACAGTGTGCTCCCGCTGCCAGGTAAGGTCCCCCCCACCTCCCACAGTGGTCAAGTGCTCTGGGGCACTGACCCTGCGTGAAGGCCGCTGGGTAAACTTACGTTGTTGTTGTTGTTACTGTTGCTAGCTGCTGCTGCTGCTGGGAGACCATGTTACCCAGCCTGACACCACCCGCAAGTCCACCTCAGGGACTCCTGTGTAGAATCAGGCCTCGTTTTTTGTCGACGCATTTTTTTCCTCTCTCTTTCTTCCCCCCCCCCCCCCCCACCACCACCTCCCCACACACACACAGTGCACTGTAATTGCAATTGACTGGCTGCCATGTTTCACCCACAGTGCACACAGTCACTACACTTTACAGTGTATCCTGTGAAGCACTTTGAGACGTCTCAAAGACGTGATAAGGCGCTGTATCAAATGCCAGGATTATTATTCTGCCCCCTCTCTCTCTCACACACACACACACAACTCTTTGATTTCACCATCGATGAAGGTCTGGAGCCTAAGACCAAGAGCGGAAGCTCAGGATGGGTGGGCAGTGGGGGGCGGGAGGGGTGGCTGGTGGTGGTTAGTGTGACCCCTGCCAGCGGGAGGGTGGGGTGGGTATGGCGGTGAGGGGAGTGATGTACTTCAGGGCTGACGATGTCCTTTCTCCCCCCCAGCCGGAGGCAGCAGTTCTCAGGGCTATAACCAGTCGCCAGGACTGCTGGGAGATTACCCCGGGGCGGGGCAGGAATACCAGGACCAGGCCTACGCCTATGATTACGAGCAGTACGGCTACGGCCAGGGCTACGAGGAATACGATCAGGAATACCAGTACGAGCAGTACGACCAATACGATCAATATGATCAGTACGAGCAATACGACCAATATAGTCAGTATGAGCAGTATGAGCAGTATCAGCAGTACGATGAGGTAGGTGCCGAGGGTTTGTCTCGCGCTGACGTTGCCTGGGATCCAGTCTTCGGGTTCTGCGAGCGTTAGGCTGCGCCTGTCCTTTCTCTCGTCCCTATTACACCGCTCGGGCCTGTTAATGTTTCACGGAAGAAAAGTGCCTGTGTGTGCATCTGTCTACGTGTGTGTGCGTCTCTCTCCCCTCCTCCCCCACCACCATCTGTGTGTGTGCGTGGGTATCAGTCCGTGTGTGCATCTATCTATCTGTCTTGTGTGTCTTAATGTATATGTGTGTGCGTCTCTCTCTGTCTCTCTCTCTATGTGTGTGTGTCTCTCTCTCCCTCCCCACCCCACACCATCTGTGTGTGTGTGTGTATTTGCCCGTGTGTGCATCTATCTATCTGTCTTGTGTGTCTTAATGTGTGTGTGTGTGTGTCTTTGTCTGTGTGTGTTTCTCTGTCTCTCTGTGTCCGTGTCTGGTGTAGAAACGGATTTACTTTGTGTTTGCAGGAGGCTGGAGAGCCACTGTACCAGTCTGCCCATGACCAAAGTGCGGCAGCTTACAGTGCCTATAGCAGGGCTGGGACTGAGAGGAGTGAGGTGAGGGTTGGGATTTTTAATCGGGAAAATTCAGACGACTGAGCAACGGAGGGAGGGAGGGTGGTATTGACGGGGATAATACTGGTCACCGCACACTCTGTACTGACTGCTGCTGTCATCCCTCTTTAAGGCTGTGGCTTCCGGCTATGAAGAAGCAAGCCCGGCCGTGTACACTGGCTCCCCCACGTCCTATTTTACTGGTAGCTCAAGGGCAGGACTTCGACAGGGCCAGTCCTCCAAGGTAAGGCCTCGCTCCCTCGCTGGTCAGGTTGTGTTTCGGTGTAAAACTGTCACTGAGGAGAAGCTGCACTGGCAATCTGGCTGATGTCTTTGCCCCGTTCTCTCCTGTACAGTAATTGAGCTTATTGTTGCACTCGCTCAGTCACCGAGCACACACCACCCAAACCACACAGTGTCACACACACACACACAGAGTACAGTGCTCTCACTCACTCCTTTCCCCTCTCTCTGTTACAGGCAAACTCCGGGGCAGGACTCCTGGGGGCAGCTCCCGCTGGCTGTATGCTGAAGGTAACTGAATAGAAATTAATCGCATAGTCTTGGCTTCATCCTTGTTTGGGTGGTTTGGGGGCGGGGTGGGTGGGGTGGGGCAAGCTGAGCGAGTTGGGGGGTGGGGGTTGATTCTGCGCAGCCTGTCTGCTCCCTCTGCTCAGCGGGCTCTGCTTGCTTTGTGTCCCTCGCTTTGCCCCCCCCACCCCCACCTTTGGCAGTCGGGCCTTCAGCCTCTCCACCCTCTCCATCCCTCAGTTCCTCTGCCTTCCCTCCCTCGCCTCCTTAAAGACCCATCTGAAGACCCTCCTCTTCGACCGCACCTTCGGTCACCCTCCTACACTTGCTCTCCACCCTCTCCTGATCCCAACCACCAGCTCGGGTCCAAATCCCCGACCGTCCAGCGCCTTGGGACATCCCCCCGACATGAAAGCCGCCGTGTAAATGTCGTGTGTTGTTGTTGATCTATTTCCTTCCCTTCCAGACGCCTCTGATCGGCCACAAGCGCGGAGCCTCCCACCTGATCCCCTCTCCCGAACCCAGCCCTGAGGAGGGCTACATCGGGCAGCACTCTCAGGGTCTGGGAGGTCACTACGCCGACTCCTACCTGAAGAGGAAGCGTATATTTTAGCTGGAGGGAGACCGCAGAACCTGGTTACTTTTCTTTGCTTTAGAGTGTAAATCTTGTACAGACAATTTTTAATCCTGTGTTGGAGAAAAACCTTTTCAATTAATTTTAATGTTGGGGATGTGGGTGACTTGTATCTGTGAATTGGGGGGTGAAACGTGGACTGAATGTCCTAAACTGAGGTGTGATCTCTCTCTCTCTCTCTCGCTCTCCCTCCCTCCCTTTCCCCCATCCCTCTCTTTACTCTCTCTCTCCCTCTCTCTCCTCCCTCCTTTTACTCTCTCTACTCTCCTTTTACTCTGCGGGGGGTTGTGCTTGTACATGGTGGACATTTACTGGGTGGTGGGTGGGGGGAAGAAGAGGAGGAGACAGACCTGTGAAGGACGAGTGTAAACCTCCTCATCTCCCCGCCTCACAACCCCAGGCAACCGGGTCAGAGAGAGAACGAGGCACAACAAACAGTTCAGTGTTGAGAGACGCACCAGATACCACCATAACCTTAACGTGAGTGGTTGAAATTATTTGACGACAAAAAATTGTTCCTTTCTTTCCCTCTTGTTTTTCCACTCTCTCTCTCTCTCTCTCTCTCTTTCTCGCCCCCATCCACTCCGCACAGCCCAGGGTCATGGGAATTGTCTGAAAACCAAGTGAGGTACTCAGGGACCCTGTCTTGCTTGCTGCAGTGTAACAAACGCAGTGTATTAGACGCCAGAGCACTTAGATAGAGTGAGAATCGGTCTGTGTGTGTGTAGCCGCGCGCTATCTTGTGTCACATCTGGGCAGTGCCAGATCTGCGCTGCTCTTTGTGTTTCCAAGACAGTTTCCTACTCCTTCCCCCTCCCTCCCTCTCTCTCTCTCTCTGTGTAGGGTCTACCACCCGCCTGGCTGTTTGGGGCTCAGTCCGTACCCCACCCCCTCACGTTCACCGCTGTTCATTTCTGTGAAACCTGATCACTTCCTTTTTTTCAATCTTAGAATGATTTTTTCTTTTCGCCGACATCCCCTGAGGATCAGTGGGGAGGGAGGGGGGAAAACCACTCTGCTCCCCTCCCCCCCCCCCCCCACCCCATGCCCCCATTTCACAAAGAAAAATCTTTTTTTCTGGTTGCTTCCTTATCAATTTTTTTTTTTACAAAATCGTAATTTGGGAGGGAGAGAGGGAGGACTTTCTCTTACGTTACGGCGAGTCTGTGTTTTGTCTCCTTCTTCGCCGCTCCCCCCCCCCCTCACTCCTCCCTCCCTGGCAATTCCGAACTTTGTCCTGTTCAAACCTATTTTGACAGTCTGAGGTTGTTTGCGTTTTCTGAATTCATGTCAGTCTCGGCCTGAGGCCCTCTTCCCCCAGCCGCCCGCCCCCGTTCCCCACCCCCGTCCTGAGTAGTGTGTTTAATCCGTCAACCCCGATATGTCAGCAACTGACTGAGCTCCCTCGTGACGCGTGTTCAATCTGTGGAGCCTGGCGTGTTCGGCCTCCTGTCATGTCCTGTCTCCACGTTTGTAGCGAGTGGCGTTAGAGGTTTTGAAAAAAAATTGTAAATAAAAATGTTTTGCGGTTTGTTGCAGAGGCGGCTGCGTTTGTGCTGCGATGTGTGTTATCCTCGGGGTGGGGGGGGGGCGCTGGGCTGGGAGACGGTGGGGGAGGGAGAGAGGCAGGTTTTGTTCTCAATGTCTACGTTCTCTTATTTTTGCACTGGATTCGATCGGTCACGTCTGGCCTCAAGCAGCAAGTCCCGGCTCAGCCGCTCGCGCTCTCGCTAATGGGGCAGAAGGTTGTGGGTTCAAAGCCATTTTACCCTCCTCTCTCTCTCTTCCTCTTCCCCACCCCCCCCCCCCCCCCCCCCCGACGCGCTCCTCACACACACAAGGACTTGAAGCGAGTTTCCACCTGCGTTCTGTTCAGGTGAACATCACAGACCTACTGACACTATATGGGGAACAAGGGCAGCGCGCAGGCGTTTCATTCCTCCCACTGTCTGCGTCGCAAAGGTCTGGGTTCAGTCTGCAGCACATTAGCGAGTACATCAGTTAACTTTTTTTAAAAAAAAGTCTAGCGATAGAGTGGCTGTCGAAGAAGAGGGAAACTAATGTTGGTAATAAATCTGTGTGTGTGATCAAAGAGCAGTGAGGGGGGGGACCTGAGACGGGGCAGTGATCGGCCATCGGGAAACAGTGAGAGAGAGCGACAGAGAGATAGAAGCGGATCAGACGGAGGGGGCGTAGCGGAGGAAACCTCGGGCGAGTTTCCTGACAGCGCACACACACGAGCCTCTGTTTACCGGCGGCACGTCAGTAGGAAGCCGCTTGTTAGTCGATTGGCCGACGGCCCCCCCCCCACCCCCAGAAAAATGATATTAATAGTAAATTTGGTCACTTCAACCCACGGCTGTTCGTGGGGGCGGCGTCGGGCGCAATGGGCTGCCGCGCTTCGGCCATGAAACACATACACACACACACACAGTCACTACACTAGCGCTTTGAGCCGACGTGACGGGGCTCCGGGTCAAAGGCAGCGGTGGGGGTAGTGGGTGTGTGGTGGAGGGGGCGTGGCTTCGAGCAGGTGGAGGGGCGTGGCTTCGAGCAGGTGGAGGGGCGTGGCTTCGAGCAGGTGGGGGCGTGGCTTTTTGTCGGGTGTGGGCGGAGCGGCCGCGTCACGTGGTGTGTGGGGCGGGGCGGCTGTGTCACGTGGGGCGGGTGTGCGCGATGGGGTCACGGGTCAGGGAGTCACGTGTCGCTGTCATGGCGGCGGCCAGCGGGGTGCGGAGCCTCGGCTGCTGTGTGCGCGCTTGGAGCCGAGCGGCGGGGCCGGGGCCGGGCCTCTGGGGCCGGAGCGTCGGCCTCTCCCTCCCCACAGCGGCGGGGGGGCCGAGTCCGGCCTCGGAGCGGCCGTCACCGCGGCACAAGGCCTCGCGCTTCCTCCACAGCGGCGGCGGCGGTGAGTCTGAAGGACAGAAATAATAATAATAATAATAATGGCTTTTGATCCAACGCCTCATCACGTCTTCGAGACGTCTGAAAGCGCTTCACGGGATACACTGTAAAGAGGAGTCCTGGAGCCCAGAGGTTCGAGCTCTCGGGGCCCCCGGGGTTGGTTGGATTCCCGGCGGGTCAGGGCCTGACCTGACTCCACACCCAACAATACTCCTCCAAAACAAAACCATAGTAATTTGGTCACTTCAACCCGCGGCTGTTTGTGGGACAGACGCCGCTGTGCGCAATCGGCCGCCGCGTTTCGCCCACAAATATACGGTCACTTCACTTTACAGTCGATTCTGTGAAGCGCTTTGAGACGTCGAGAAGACGTGATAAGCGCTGTATCAAGTGCCGGGATTGTTGTTGTTGTTATAAAGTGTAGGGACTGTGTATTTTGTGGGCGAAACGGGGCAGCCAATTGCGCCCGGCGACGTCCCCACAAACAGCCGTGGGTTGATTGACCATATTATGATTATGATTATTATTTATTCATTGAGGGGATTATTACCCCCGGAAAAGCGATCCGCCCATCGGGTAACAATGGGTTACCACTGATTGCTGGTAAACAGAGGTGTGTGTGTGCGCGCGCGAGTGTCTGAGTGCGTCTGCGTATCTGCGCGTGTGTATGGAGTGAGGGAAAACTGCTTTAAGGTTTCGCCCCGAACCAACCCGCTCAGGAATTGAACCCGAGTCCTCCTTCCTTACGAGGCGAGCGCTCTCACCGCTGCGCTAGAGGGGAGCGGAGGGATACGGTGCAAGTGCTGCCGCTTTTCCATTAAGTTCCATTCAGTTTCCCATCGGCGCTGCGCGTGCTCATAAAGTGTGTTTAAGCGCTCTGAGACTCAACCCTGCGTGGAGGGCACTATACTGTTGTTGTTGTTGTTTCGGCTGGGGCTGGGGGGAGACGCAGACCGACTTTTTAAAATTTTTCCAGTAATCACCTTCTGTCATTTTTCAGGATCCGGTCAGAGTGAGGACGGAAAGCGGGATCCGGAGAGTGAGGATGATGTGTACGTACAGAGGTCACTTCATTAAGAGCCTGAGACTGAGAGCAGGTGCTTCCAGAGAGGAAAGAGCGCACATGATGGAGAAGGGAATAGTGGGGTGTAGGTGAGGGGAAATGGAAGGTGTGAAGTATAAACACCGACAAGGACCAACACACCTAGACCCTTGACACTACCCCAAAATGTTGCTCATGTGAATGGCACAACATTAATGTAATCTGTAAATCTGCTATGACTCACTCACTGAGACATTTATATATAAAAAAAATCAATTTACTGAAGAATTGTTGTGTAGGACCAGCCCCAGAGTGTGAATCCCTGGGGCCACAACTAACTGAATACAGGAACAGGAGGAGGCCATTCAGCCCTTCGAGCCTGTTCCGTCATTCTATTAGATCATGACTGATCTGTACCTCAAGTCCAATGCCCTGACCTAAGAAACATCTATCCACCTCAGTCTTGAAAATTTGATCCAGCCATAATCCACAGCTTTTTGGGGGAGAGAGAGAGTTCCATATTTCCCCAAATTCTAATTTTGATTTAAAATGTAATTAAATTTGATGATAATAATAATAATAATCCTGTATTTGATATAGCATCCTTAGGACGTCTCAAAGCGCTTCACAGAATGTACTGTATAAAGTGTACTGACTAGGTGCTGTATTGCAGAGTGAACATCACCTTCATCGACCGCTCGGACCGGAGGATCCCGGTCAGGGGGAAGGTGGGCGATAACGTGCTGTATCTGGCTCAAGACAACGGCATCGAGTTGGAAGGTGCGAGAGTCTCAGGTGGACTGTGGTTTCAGTGTGGGCCCTTTAAGTGCTCTGGAGGGCGCTATATAAATGCAAATTGTTCAGTGCATGTTTTGCCCGGCCGGGTGTCTGACAAATGCGGAAACCCATCACCGTTGCTTAAGAGTCTCCAAGCCAAGCTGAGAATTCCAAGCCTCCCACCTACACGTGGAAATCCCAGAGATAGATTGTCCGAAGATTGGCTTGTCCAGCCAGCGCCGACCAGTGAGGAGCAAACACTGTGTAACGGCCCTTCTCTCTCTCTCCAGTGTAACAGCCTCTCTCTCTCTCTCTCTCCCCCTGTGTGTGCAGGAGCCTGTGAGGCCTCGCTGGCCTGCTCCACTTGCCACGTGTATGTGAATGAAGACTGTTACGATAAGCTCCCTACGCCGGATGAAAGGTACGTCTCTGCTTGTGAGCGGCGCTGTTCCAACGATACGGCAGCCTGTCCTCTGGAGAGAAATAGTATCCGAGAGGAGCGACCGGCTCATGTGCATTTTATATTCTCGATCAGTGCGATTGGGTGTCAGTGTGTGTGTCAGTGAGTGTCTGTGGTGTGTCAATGAGTGTCTGTGGATGTCGGTGGGTGTCTGTGTGTGTGTGTCAGTGAGTGTGTGTGGGTGTGTTTATATGTATTTGTCAGTGTGTGTATTTGTGTGAGTGTGTGTATGGGGACCTGTCACTAAGCTGACCCTTCTCCCCCACAGGGAGGATGATATGCTGGATATGGCGCCGTTACTGCAGATGACCTCTCGGCTGGGCTGTCAGATCATCCTCACGCGAGAGCTGGAGGGCATGGAGCTACGGCTGCCTAAAGCCACAAGGAACTTTTACGTGGATGGACATGTGCCCAAACCTCACTGAGCGCACACACACACTGAGCGCACACACCAGCCTACACTCCCTACAGCCTCGCAGCGCATTACTTCAGGGGCAGCATCGCAGACGCATTTTATTCCCATCGCTGTGTTGATTTAGGCCGCGGCCCGTTTCATCCCGTGATTTGGGGGCAAGATGGCCTGAGAGCTGGAGAAGGTGGGCGATAACGTGTTGTATGTGGCTCAAGACAACGGCGTTGAGTTGCGGGTGATGGGTCCTCGTGTTTGTGGCTTTGCTTTGATGTGTACGCCGATGGGCCTGGACACGGAGCCGGCTGGGTGGGGCGGAGCAGGACACAGCCTGATGTCTGCAATTCCCTCATCGCGTCAGACTAGGGCTCGGTCTCTTGCCAGAGTCGCTAAGCTCTCACGGTGCAGGCCGACACTCCAGTGCAGTGTACCGGGGGGGGGGGGGGGGGTTGGGTGGGAGACATCGCATCGCACGACCTCTCCTCTCGCGGTTTCCCGGCCAAAGGCAGCCCTCCAGGTGAAAGCGATCATCCAGTCATGGACGCACGGACGGACGGTGTGTCACAGCTTTGCCGACAGAAAAGGCGGTCGAGCTGAGCCTCTGACGGTCAAACTAACGCGAGGCTTATTGTACTGAATCGGCAAGTGGACGGCGTTACCCGCCCGGGGTATGTCGTTGGGTGAATATATATATATATATGTGTACATTGTGGGCATTGCTTTGTTGTGGGGACAACTTCACCTTAAAATACGTGTGTGGGGTGGGGGGTGTTCCGGGGCGGGGGGGTTGGGGGGTGTTCTGGAGTGGGGGGTGTTCCGGGGTGGGGGGGGGGGTGTTCCGGGTGGGGGGGGGGGGGGTGTTCCGGGGTGGGGGGGGGGGGGGGGGGGGTGGCGGTTCCGGGGTGGGTGGTGTTCCGGGGTGGGGGGGAGGGGGTGACACTGCTCTGTAGACAACCCCAATGGAGTCGACCATTGAGAGCCAATCGTGGCTTTGCATCGCTTCCCCACCCCATCCCTGTCCCTGGTGCCCCGCCCACCCTCCATGGCTCCTCCCACACACCCAGTGGCCCCGCCCATATGCACTGACTCCTCCTCCATCCGATTGGCCCCTCCCATCACAGCTGCTGTGTTCCCACACACACATCGCGTGAGCCTCACTGACCAGAACCGGCGAAGCGCGTTCCCGCTCTCAGCCCTCTCCCCCCACCGCGCGCGTGGGGTTGTGTGGTGACTGTGTGTGTGTGGGGGGGGGGGGTTGTGTGGTGACTGTGTGTGTGTGGGGGGCTTGTGTAGTGACTGTGTGTGTCTGTGTGGGGTGGGGTGTAGTGACTGTGTGTGTGGGGGGGTGTAGTGACTGTGTGTGTGTTGGGGGGGGTGTAGTGACTGTGTGTGTGGGGTGTTGTGTGGTGACTGTGTGTGTGGGGGGGGGGGTCGTGACTGTGTGTTGGGGGGGGTGTAGTGACTGTGTGTGTGTGAGGGGTGTAGTGACTGTGTGTGTGTGGGAGGTGTAGTGACTGTGTGTGTGGGAGGGGTGTAGTGACTGTGTGTGTGGGGGGGGGGTGTAGTGACTGTGTGTGTGTGGGGGGGGGTGTAGTGACTGTGTGTGTGTGTGGGCGGGGGTGTAGTGACTGTGTGTGTGGGGGGGGTGTTGTGTGGTGACTGTGTGTGTGTGTGTGTGGGGGGGGTGTAGTGACTGTGTGTGTGTGTGGGGGGGGTGTAGTGACTGTGTGTGTGTGTGGGGGGGGTGTAGTGACTGTGTGTGTGTGTGTGGGCAGGTGTAGTGACTGTGTGTGTGTGGGGGGGGTGTAGTGACTGTGTGTGTGTGGGGGGGGTGTAGTGACTGTGTGTGTGTGAGGGGGGGTGTAGTGACTGTGTGTCTGAGGGGGGGGGGGGTGTAGTGACTGTGTGTCTGAGAGGGGGGGGGGGGTGTAGTGACTGTGTGTGTGGGTGTGTAGTGACTGTGTGTGTGGGGGGGGTGTAGTGACTGTGTGTGTGTGTGTGGGGGGGGGTGTAGTGACTGTGTGTGTGTGTGGGGTGTAGTGACTGTGTGTGGGGGGGGGAGTGTAGTGACTGTGTGTGAGGGGGTGTTGTGTGGTGACTGTGTGTGTGTGTGTGGGGGGGGTGTAGTGACTGTGTGTGGGGGAGGTGTAGTGACTGTGTGTGTGTGTGTGTGTGAGAGGTGTAGTGACTGTGTGTGTGTGAGGAGATGTAGTGACTGTGTGGTGTGGGGGGGTGTAGTGACTGTGTGTGTGGGGTGTTGTGTGGTGACTGTGTGTGTGTGTGGGGGGGGGGTGTAGTGACTGTGTGTGTGTGTATAAGACTCCTCCCGCTGCCCCTTGTGAAGAGGATTGTGTGAGAGTGGCCCTGACCGGGAGCGCTGTGTGTAAGTGTCAGTCTCTGCCCTGAGTTACAGGTTTATTGCTGTTTAGTGACAATAGTGACCTCAGGTCAGTGTTGGGAGGACCTCCCCTTAAAAACTGGTCACTTAAGTTATTTTTCTCGCCCCTGTGTGTCCTGAGGCACACAGCCGCAGGGAAATCTTTACATTAAAACATATCCACTTTAACTTTTCTCTGCTGGTATCCCTGCCTTTTTAATTAGCCCTTAAAAAATAACAGTAAAGAACAATCTTGGTCGCTCGTTCCACGACTGTTTGGGGGGTCGCTGCTGAGCGCAGTGCACTTGGCGGCCGCATTTCGCCCGCAGGCTATACGCCGTCGGTCCACTTTGGGAATATCCGGCGAAGCGCTTGGAGGCGTCCGGGATCGGGCCCCGTGGCAAACGCTTGGATTATTTTTGTTTTATTATTTTGACCTCGGCTTTACAATAAATATAAAATAAACCAATAACGCAGACGTTTCCACCGGAAACTGAGCCCAGTGTTGGGTTAGAGAGAGCTTTACAGTCAGTCAATCCATGCGATGAAGCAATCAGTGTTTTGGTCTCCTTATTTAAGGAAGGACGTACTTGCCTTTGGAGGGGGCGCAGCGTAGATTTACTCGGTTAGTACCAGGGATGGAGGGGATGAGTCACGAGGATAGGCTGACGAATTTGGGCCAATATTCTCTGGAATATAGAAGAATTAGAGGGGATCTTACAGAAACCTGTAAGATCATCAAAGGATATGATAGAGTAGACAGTGGGAGATTGTGTCCCCGGTCGGAGAAACTAAAACCGGGGCTCACAACCTCAAAATCAGAGGACAGCCCTTTCACACTGAGTTGAGGAAGAACTTCTTCACACAAAGGGTAGTGAATGTATGGAACTCACTACCCCAAAGGGCTGTTGACGCTCAGTCCTTGAACATATTCAAGACTGAGATAGATTTCTTATTGCAAACGGGATTAAGGGATATGGGGATTGGGGGGGAGGGGGAGGCTGGGGTTGGGGGGGATCTGGGTATAAGGCAGGGTCAGGTTATTAGCTGGAGTTGGATTAGAAGATCAGCCATGATTGAATGGCGGGGCAGAGGCTCGAAGGGCCGAATGGCCTCTCCTGCTCCTACATGTTATGTTAGTGTTGGGTGTAGTAAATGGCTGCCCCCGTTCCCCCGCCCCTATTGATTATTTAGCCCCCTCGAATGGGATGGGGAGCCCAGTGCCTCCCCCGGCCCTCACCCCCCCGGAGAGGAGCGGCCAGGAGGAAACAGCAACAGCCCAGGAAGAGCGCGGAGAGACAGGACAGCATCTTCAGGGGCGTCACCGTGAACATGAGAAGACACCAGGGCAGCCTCCACATCACCGCCAGCTACAGGTATCATAGCCAGCTTCACGTAGCGTATTGGCTCGCTCGCTCGCTCGCCTCGCAAGGCGGAGGACCCGAGTTCGATTCGGGGGCGGGACGGGTCAGGGCGAAACCTTAGGCAAGTTTCCTTACTGTACACGCGCGCGCACGGACGTCTCTGTTTACCGAGCAGTAAGAACCGGGTTGTTAGTCAATTGCCGATCGCTTTGCGGGTAATCATTTTTTCCCCTTCCGCCCAAAAGAAATGTGGTCTTTCATCCACAATGGTTTGTGGGTCTGCGCTGTGTGCAATTGGCTGCCGCGTTTTGCCCAGACAATATACAGTCACTACACTTTGCGGTATATCCTGTGAAGCGCGTTGAGACGTCTCGAAAACATGATAAGGGGCTATGACAAATGGAAGGATTATTATTATAATTATCCTGTTAGACCCCACGCAGGTTCACACACACACACATATTTTTGCTCCCTTCGGCTCTTGTGTTTCTCCCAGTGGGCGCTTCTGTCGAAAGCTCCGGCGCTCTGAACCCGACCGGACGCAAACCAGTCAGCGCCCAACACCGGCACAACTCAGTGGCTGCCGGAGCGTTAAGGAAAAGACTGGTTCTTCCCAAGTTTCCCCCCCACGCACCCCAAGGGGACTCCTGATGAGCTGTCGTCCCACAGGTGAGTGGGGGAGAGGGGGAGAGTGTCTCCCGAAGTCCTGGTCACTAATCATCCTGGACTGACTGGTCAATTATGTAGAGGGTGGGGCAGGCCCTAGGGGGAGGGGTCTCAGCCTGGGGGGAGCGTCCTAACTTGGTGGGGGAGGAAACCCAGACCTGGGGATAAGGGTCCTAACCCGTGATGGAGGGTCCTAACTCTAGTTAGGAGGATTGTAGCTGAGGTGTCTGGCACCTGTTTGGTTTTGCAGAGAGAAAGCAATGCGCTTCGTGTCAGACCCGCCAGACTCCCCTGTGGCGGCAAACTGGGGACGGAACCACCCTTTGCAATGCTTGTGGCATCAGGTAAGAGGCAGCCGGGGGCTGGGATGGTGGTGGGGGCGGGGGGTTAGATTCCCAGGTGGGTCAGGACAAAACTTTGGGCAAGTTTCCTTACTCCACACACACAGACAAACGCACACACACGCGCGCGCCTCTGTTTACCTTGCAGTAAATCGGAACCTGGTTGCTAATCGATTGGCAATCGCTTTCCGGGGGTAACAATCCCTTCCGCCCCCCCCCCCCCGACCCACCCCACACCAGGGCACAAAAAAATTGGTCACTGAATCCACGACTGTTTGTGGGACGTCACTGTGTGCAATTGGCTGCCGCGTTTCGCCCACAAAATGCACAGTCACTTCACTTTACAGTATATCCTATGAAGTGCTTTGAGACGTCTCAATGAGGTGATGAGGATTGTTGTTATTATTCTATCGTAAAGGCCAGTGCGCTGAGTGTTTGCTGAGGACAGGTCTGGCTGTGGGTATAAAGTTACCGAGAGGCTTGTATCACGCTGCTCAGGTATAAGAAGTATCAGACCCACTGTGACAGCTGCTGGTATGTGCCGCGGAGAGAGAGTGAAGCCATCCTGTGGTGCCCTCACTGCTGGGAGCCCCTCCATCTCCCAATGGCTCCCATGAAAAGCGGAAACAATAGAAATTCCAGAATGTCTTGAAGACGCGGAAAACGATGAGAGAGGAAGCGAATGAGCACCTGTGTCTATAGGGGTTTAAACAGTTTCCCCTGTCTGTAAGGGGTTAAACTGTTCCCCCTGTCTGTGAGGTTTAATCTATTTCCCTGTCTGTGAGAGGTTAATCCCCTCCCTGTGTGTCTCAGCAGGGGTTAATCTCCCGTGTGTGTGTCCCCCCCCACCCCCACCAGTTTGGAACAAACACTCTGATCGACGCCTCCGATGTAACTTTAAAAACTAAAGTCAGTCAGTTTCTTGTTTTCTTTTTTCCCCAAAAATATTTTGGGCCGAGGAACTGTAGTGACTGTGAGTCTGGAGTTTTCTCTTGAAAGTGTAAGATTTACTTCCAAACACAGGGAGAGAGCGGTCGAGGGGGACGTCCTCCCGACATGAAAGGCGCTGTATGAATTTAATTTGGTATTGTATTGTATTGCTGTTTCCCCTCCCAATAAAATTGATTGCTCGCTCAACCACTGTTCGTGGGACGCTGCTGTGCGCAACTGGCTGCCACGTTTCGCCCACAAAATGCACTGTCACTACACTTGACAGCTTTGAGATATCTCGACGACGTGATAAGGTGCAAATGCAAGGCTTGGTACCAGCTCAACCCACACACAGCTCGGCCATTGACATCGCTGTCTGGCCAAGCTTTCCCGCTGCCTGTCCAGCTCGGACCCCCCTCCCCGTTAGTTAGGGCTTTGGCTGTGGGGTTACCAGGAGCTGAGGGGGAGGATTCCCTGTCCCCATGGACTGGTCGGCCCTCCCAGGTCCTGCCCATGAGCCGGGCCGGGCTGTGCTGCCATCAGCAGTGAGTGCCCCCGGGACACTGCGGCCCCTCCTGGCTCAGGAACCGGGGACTAGAGACCGTCGCGGAGGCCTGGCTCCATTCCCACATTCCGTTGCCCGGCCGGTCACCTTGGGGCCAGACCTCGCTCACATTCCCCCAAGTTGGTCGTTCGACACCCGACAAGCGCAGGTTCGAGCCCTCACGAGGTGGGTGACAGGTACCAGGAACTCCCTGCGCTTCATGGTGGGCAACACATTCTCCGCAGGAAATGCGTGAGAGCATCGCCACCATCTTCCTGCCCACAGCTCGACCACATGTCCCTTCCCCGTGAGTGAATGGTTCAGCTAATTGGAGGTGTGGAGGGATGGGGGGTGGGAGTGAGAGAGGGAGGGACAGGGCGAGTGGAGAGAGGGAGGAACGGGGGTTAGTGAGTGAGAGATGGAGAATGAGTGAGTGAGTAATGGAGAGTGAGTGAGAGAGTGGTGGAGAATGAGTGAGCGATGGAGAGTGAGTGAGAGATGGAGAGTGAGGAGAGATGGAGAGAGTGAGGAGAGATGGAGAGTGAGTGAGTGAGTGAGAGATGGAGAGTGAGTGAGTGAGAGATGGAGAGAGAGAGTGATGGAGAGTGAGTGAGTGAGAGATGGAGAGTGAGTGAGAGATGGAGAGTGAGTGAGAGATGGAGAGTGAGTGAGTGAGAGAGAGATGGAGAGTGAGTGAGAGAGTGAGTGAGTGAGAGATGGAGAGTGAGTGAGTGAGAGATGGAGAGTGAGTGAGTGAGAGATGGAGTGAGTGAGAGATGGAGAGAGAGAGTGATGGAGAGTGAGTGAGTGGTGAGAGAGCGCCTCCCGGGCGGCGGTGGCGCTGTGCGGTGCTGTGTGGGGGGGGGAGGGCCCCTCCTGCCGGTGGTGGCGCTGTGCTGTGCGGTGCTGTGTGGGGGGGAGGGCCCCTCCTGCCGGCGGTGGCGCTGTGTGGGGCTGTGCGGTGTGGGGGGAGGGCCCCTCCTGCCGGCGGTGGCGCTGTGCGGTGCTGTGTGGGGGGGGGAGGGCCCCTCCTGCCGGCGGTGGCGCTGTGTGGGGCTGTGCTGTGCTGTGTGGGGCGGTGTGGGGGGAGGGCCCCTCCTGCCGGCGGTGGCGCTGTGTGGGGCTGTGCGGTGTGGGGGGAGGGCCCCTCCTGCCGGCGGTGGCGCTGTGCTGTGTGGGGCGGTGTGGGGGGAGGGCCCCTCCTGCCGGCGGTGCTGTGTCGGCGCCGCTCGTTGTCGGTTGTGGTATCTTTGTATCACAGAGGAGAGGAAAATGGCCACAATGTTCGTGGGGGAGAGGGCGGCGCTGGACCTCCTGCCCGAGAGCGTCTTAGTCCACATCCTCTCCTATCTCAGCACCAGAGACCTACTCCGCATCAGCAGGTACCGCACTCCCTGTACACACTCCCCGAGCACACACTCCCTGTACACACTCCCCCTGTACACACTCCTCCCTGTACACACCCACCGTACACAACCCCTGTACACACCCCCTATACACCTATACACACACCGTGTACACCAGGCAGCCTGTGCACCTCTACACACACACCCTATACACACCCTCTGTACACACACGTATACACCAGACACCATGTACACTACACACATACCATATACACACGCACCGTATACACCAGACACCATGTACACCTACACACATACTATATATACACACACACACACCGTATATACACCGTATACACATTGACCATTTACACCCCATATACACCTCTGCACACACCGTATACACCTCCATACACACGCTATATACACACACCATACACACCTCTACACACATACCAGGCACCATATATACACACACACCAAATACAAACATACCACCATACACACACACCCACACACACACACACCCTCAGGAGCCACACACCTACACACTCACCTAAACACAGCCCCACACACCCTCCCCACATACCCTACACACACATCATATAGTATACACACACACACACACACACACCCCTCAACACACTCACCTACACACACACACACCTATACACCAGTAGGTTTCACTGGAGGAGAGACACACACAAAGGGAAATGAACTGACACTGAGAGAGAGACACTGATAGAGGAGACATGACACTGAGAGTGAGACAGAGACACACACACACCAACGCAGCCATCGAGACAAATACTGAGACAGAGAAAGACTGACAGAGGAGACAGACAGATGGACACACAGACATAGACACTGAGACAGAGACATGTCTATCTGTGTCACAGAGAGACAAACACACACACAAACATTGAGACAGACACTGAGAGACAGACACACACACACACGCGGATGGACAGACACACAGACAGAGAGAGAGAGAGACATTGAGACACAGACAGATAGTGAGATGGGTTTGAATGGTCAGTCGGAGGCAGTGAGTGGGAGGAGGGTCATTGATGCTGTTTCAAACGGTCAAACTGTGGCTGTCAGTGAATGAATTCACATCCCAGATTGTGGGGGGGAGGTTGTCATGTCTTACTTCTCAGTGATAATGCAGGTTCCCCCCCAACACCTCACTGCCCCCCACTCCCAAATACACACACTCCCCCCCCCCACACACACACACACACACACTCCCCCCACTACCACACACACACTCCCCCCAGACACACACGCATATACTCCCCCCACCACAAGCATACATTCCCCACATCCACACACACTCCCACCCACCTCACACACTCTCCGCCCCCCACCCCCACACACACACTCATTTCCCCCAACACATACACCCGCGCCCACACACTCCCACCCCCTCCCACTGCCACACACACTCCCACACACACACACTCATTCCCCCCACACGCATATGCACATTCACACACAGACCCCCCTCCCCACCCCACACACACACAGCACCAAAGCCAGCGGCTGAGCTCAATTTCTGCCCCAGTCCTGGGACACACCTGTACTGAGCAGCTCACTTATTTGCACAGTTACTTGAGGAGAAATGAACATTCTGTGGGGTTGGAGGGGGGGAAAAGGAGAACTACTCTACATCTCATTCTGGTGGGGGGGGGGGGGGATCGCTATTTATTGCCCAGAGAAGGTGGTGATCGTGGGGCGATCTCAATAGCAATGCCCCATTGTTTTCACCCAGTGATGATCTAATAGAATGGCGGAACAGGCTCGAGGGGCTGAATGGCCTTCTCCTGTACCTGTGTCCCTGTAACAGGTTGTATTTATGCAAGTGTCCCTCGCGCAGGAGAGCGTGTCCGAGGTTTATACTGAAGAAAGACACATCTGCTTCTGTCTGAATGTCTGTCTGTCTGGCAGAGTGTGCAAGCGGTGGAGGAGACTGGCTTACGACAAAGGGCTGTGGAAAGATGTCGACTTGACCCCCTACAAGGTAAAGGAGGACCCGTGGAGTGTCCCTGCGTGTATGTGGGGGGTGGGTGGGGTGGGGGGAGGGAGTGTTTGTGTGTGTGTTTTTGTGGGGCAGTGAGTGTGTGTGTGTGTGTGTGGGAGGGGGAGTGTGTGTGAGTGTATAGATCCCGTTGGTAGCAACAAAAACTTGCCTCCTTCGAGGCCCGTCTCAAGAACCTCCTCTTCGACCGCGCCTTCGGTCACACTCTTACTCCAACCCTCCCTGCCCTCCACCCCCTCCTGATCCCACGCAACCCCCCCCACCTTTAGCTCGGGTCCATGTCTCTGACTGTCCAGCGCCTGTGGACGTCCTCCTGACATGAACGACAGGCGCTGTGTAAATGTCATGTGTTGTTGTTGTACCTGTGCTGGTCACTGCAGTAACCAGGGTCTCTCTCTCTCTCTATGTCTCTCTCTCTCCGTCCGACGCCCCCCGACAGGTGAACTCTCGGATCCTGTGGCACCTGGTCCGGCATTACCTGGGGGGCACCCTGCGGAGCCTGAGACTGAAGGGGGTCCTGCACTCGGTCAGGAAGCACGAGTCGTTGACCGAGGCTTTGCTGCTGGAGCTCGGCAAGCGTTGCCCCGGCCTGAACGCCCTGCGTCTGATCGAGATGAACCTGCGTGGGATCAGCTACGAGTGTCTGCCTCCCTCGCTGCTCACCCTGGAGCTGACCCACTGCGAGATCCCGCTGCATTGGTTCCGGGTGGCTCCAGGGGCTTCCTCTTCCTCCACCTCCTCCTCTTCCTCCTCTGGCAGCGTGGGGAGCGGGGGCGGGGGCTTGGGGGGCCGGGCCCCACCTCCGCGCATCGAGAACCTGGAGGTGGATAGCGTCCCCAACTTCTCCGACCAACACCTCCAAAGCCTGGCCGCCAGGACCACCCTCAAGACGCTGCTGCTGTCGGAGGCGTACCGGGTAACGGACGGGGGGATCGAGCGGTCGGCCGAGCGGCTCTCGGAGGTGGTGCGCCTCAGGCTGTACGGCTGCAATATCTCGGACGGTGCCCTGCGGCATGTGGGCCGACACCTGACCCAGCTGCGGGCCCTGGACCTGACCAAGTTCTGCTCCATGACGGACGCCGGGCTGGCCTGCCTGGTGGGCCTCAAGTCGCTGCAGTCACTGTGCGTGGAGTACTGTTACCAGCTGAGCGTGGACCAGCTGGTGAGCGTGTGCGCCGGCCTGCCCTCGCTCACCAAGCTCAACCTCAACGGCAACCGCTACTCGGAGGAGGAGCTACAGAAGATACGCCAGAGTTTGCCCAACTGCACCGTCACCAACGAGCTGCAGGAGACAGACTCCATACCCAAATACTGACCCCCCCCCCACCTCTGCCACCACCTCGTCTCAGCCTCCGAGACCCTACCCCACCGCCCGCCCGAGAGAGAGAGAGAGATCGAGGGAGAAGGAGACCAAGATTTCATCAGACCAAACCACTCTACCGGCTGAGACTGGGTGGAATTTGGCAACCTTGGGAGTGGGGCGAGGGGGTGAGGGGGGGTGGCTGAGGGTGATCTACTGTTGGGGGCTGATTAATGGACACATGTAAGTCACGGGGTGGGGGGGGGGAAGAGGGTTCAGACTCCCCCGTCCCCGTCCCCCCCCACCTCACTCCCCACACCTGCTATATATGTTGAGCTCCCAGAGCTTGTGTTCAGCCGTAGGTTTGAAACCTCTCTCCCCGCCCCCTTCCCCTCCCCCCCCCTTCCCCCCAACCATCTCTCCCTCCCCTACCCCCTCCACTGAGCCCGATCCCACAGGTAAATAGACATCAAGACCGACCGGCTTTGGTTCTCCCGAGGAGAGTAAGCACCTTGGTGGATGTGGGCGGGTGACCGAGCAGGTGACTGCTGGCACAGACCGGCACAGTGACCGAGAGGCACTGTGTGTGGGTGTATGTGTGTGTGTGTCTGAGGTTGTGTGAAAGATGATCAAGTCTCACATCCTCAGACCCCCGTCCAGGTTTCCTGCTTCACATCAGCCTCACTCGGGAAGAACCCAGAGAGAGAGAGAGAGAAAGAACGGTCCATGGAGTGATTCCCTCCAGTGTTAGCCACTCTGTAAATCAACCTCCCCATCCTCTTACTCTCTCCCCTCCAGATGCTCTGTATCTTACTCCACAAATGTACAGTGTATAGCTCCTAAAGAGGCTCCCAACTGGTTATACTGAATGTGTGAGTGTGTGTGTGTGAGTGAGTGAGTGAGTGTGTGCGCGTGCGTGTGTGTCTGCCACACAGAGCAGACCTCCACTGTTTGAATAGCGGTGCGTCAAGACATTAAAAAGCAGCGTAATAAATTAAAACCTGCCTCTCTTTCTTAAGGAGACTCTGAACGTTCAAAACTCGTAGGAAAACGGTTTCCTGTTTTCAAAGCTGACATTTAACCAAACAGGAAGCAGATTAAATCATGTCTGTGCTTTCACCTCTCACCGGGTAAGCTTTGGTGTGGGTTGTGCGTTTGAACTTCCCCATTCTCTCCCCCTCCAAATGCGAGGAGGACTCTGAGCTCACAGGCGAGGCTGACACTCCAGCGCAGCGCTGTGGGGGTGGGGGGGTGGGGAGGGAGAGAGAACGCTGCATTATCCAAGGCGCTATCCTTCGGATGAGACGTTAAGCTTGGGGGGGGGGGGGGGGGTGCAAAGGCAGGTAATTGAGGGAGAGATCAGTCATGAATAGGCTTGAGGACGGTCCCATGTTAGTGCCCTATTTGTGTGGACGTTAAAGATTTTGTGTCGCTGTTGGGGAAAAGAGAGGGGAGTTTCTCCCTCAACCCCCCTCACCTCCACCACCCCTGTGTCCCGGCTGGAAATTGCTCCCCCACCCACCGAATAAATCACCTATTTGCTTCGTGGCTGAAAAAAGACACACGGTCACTACACTGTACTAGGTAATTGTTTGGGGAGGACAAGTTTGCAGGGCTATGGGAGCGAGCGAGCGGCGGCACCGGGGTGGGGGGGGGGAGTGGGATTCATTTGGAAAAGCTCTTTTCAAAGAGCCGTCACAGACCCGATGGGCCGAATGGCCTCCTCCTGTGCTCTGTGATGCTGTGATGCCCTGTGTTGCCGTGGAAGCCACAGCGAGAGAGACGTTCCAGGTGTGGGGTCGAGGCCCTGAGCTGGAGGGGGGGAGGGGAGCGGAGGGGGTATCATTTGGTTCACTTTGATAGCACTGCTGCAAATTGATGTGGACTTTTTTGACTGTAAAATAAAAATGTAACCAGTGGCTGCACTTCCCCCCTCCCGCCAGCGGGGGGCGCTGTGGCCGTGGCCGGGGCTGCACTTCCCCCCTCCCGCCAGCGGGAGGCGCTGTAACGGGAGGCGGTGGCGGCGCCTGATTCCACGGTCGGGTTCGCTCCGCTCTCCAGTGGCGGCGGCGGCGGTTGGGGGACCTGTGAGCGAGGACAGAAACGGATAAGAAACGGTTAACGGCGGGAGGGCAGTAGGAGAGCGAGAGGGGCGACGCCGTTTGTTTAACCGGACGGCGCGGCGGTTTGGGGGGGGGCGGGGTTCCTCCCCCCCCCCCCGGGCACTTGACGGGTGAGCGTGAGGGGGAAACACGACAGGAAAGAGCGGGGCTTCGGGCCTAGCCGGCGGGGGGGCGGGACCAAGGCGGGCTGTCAATCACCTGACTCGCTGCTTTGCCCCCATTGGTTGCGGGGCGCTGCCGGTCAGGCGACCTGATTGGCGGGCGCGGCCGTCTGTCATGCGGATCGTGCCTGTGATTGGCTGCTGTGGGTGTCAATCAAGCCCACCCCAGGCCCCGCCCCCCACCCCCTTCCTCATTAAGAGGAGTAACATCAGGTCGAAGGCTTTGGCTTCAGAGACCGAATGGTATTAGTACCTAATAATTATAATAACAGTCGTTGCATTTGATGTGGGGCCTCGTCACGTCGGTTCGAGGCGCCTCAGAGCGCTTCGCCGGGTAACACTGTAAAATGTCTCGTCGAGAGCACCTCGGGAACGTAGGGGCAAGGGGGAGGCCATCCAGCCCTTCCAGCCTGTTCCGCCGCTTCAATTGGATCGCGGCTGATCTGCACCTCCACTAATCCTTCCAATTCCAGTTTCCCGCTTTCTCCCCCACCCCCCCCCCACCCCGTGTCCCTCAGTACCCCTGAGCTGCCAAAAATCTGCCCCCCTCGCTCTTGGAAGGGGGCGGACGGATGGCCTTTGTGGGACGTCCTCCCGACGCGAAGGGCACTCGCTACGCAAATGCCATTTGTTGTTGTGGTGGTGGTGGGTGGTGGGTGACTGTGCATTTTGTGCGGGCGAAACGCGGCAGCCACTTGCTGTGCGACGTCCCGCAAATAGTCGTGGATTGAGTGACCAAATTCTCCCCCCACTCCCCTCCCGCCCCGGAAGGCGATCCTCCAATCGACATGACAACTGGGTTCCTATTACTGCTGCGTAAACAGAGGAGGGTGTGTGTGGAGTGAGGAAACTTACCTAAGGTTTCACTCCGCCTGGTTTCGACTTCACCTTTTCCCCCTCCGCCTGAGGCCGCCTCCTTTTGGATGACAGCAGTAACCACAAATTACAGTTGGATAGTGCCTTTCGCGTCGAGAGGGCGTCCGTGCCAAGGTGTTGAAATACCTTTTAAGGTCGGCAACACCCGCCCTGGCCACGAATTCTCCAGATAGAACCGGTCGTTCCCTTTGGCAGCGTCAGTCAGTGGGACGTCGCTGCTGCTCCTCAACTTTCTCACTTCACGGGACAATTGCTCTCTGTCGATGATCTCACAATGGCCTCCGCCATCACTCCCACTTGTTGATTTACTAACGTGAACAATGTGTGTCTGTCTGAATGATGGGCCCTTCCCCCCCCCCACCCCCTCCCCAGCACCTGGTGGGTACAGTTGCCATGTGCTGGACAGACAGTGGTGAAAGCAGGTTGGATGGCCGAAACGCTCTCATTGAGCCTTGTGCAGCAGGGCTTTAGTTTTCCCACACTGTGCTGATCTCCAACCGGGCAGCGCTCGGGCCTACACTTGTCATTGGGTTAGACGATACCTGAGCCAGGGTTGCCCCAACGTTGGCTGTGCGGTGGCGCTCTCTCTCCCTCTCTCTCGGGTGTCTGTGTGAGGACAGGTTCAGGGCTGTGTTGCCCAGTAACCTGTTGGCACTTGCTGCATTTGACAGTCCCTGGGTGGGTTTGACACTCAACAACAGTTAACATTTGGACAGCACCTTTCATGCCAGGAGGACGTCCTAAGGTGTTAGACAGCCAGTGATTTCCACCCGAGCTGGGGCTTGGGATCAGGAGGGCAGGGAGGGTGTAGGGGACCGAAGGGGGGGTGATAGGGTTTAATCCTGAGACGTGGGGCTGGGTCACATCACCCAGGCTGGTCAGCATTTACAATGACAACAACAACTACTTGCAATTACACAGTGCCCCTCACACAGGGTAGTGTCCCAGGGCACTTGACAGTGGCGGAGTCTGGCCTTGAGCCAGGGGGAGAAGGAGGGGAGGTGGGAGGTGACCGTCGTAAGTACGATCGACCTGAAGATGGGGGAAGGCAGGAAGGGGGCAGATTTACAGCATGTTCCTTCACCATCTCTGCCTCCCTCCCACCCCCAGCAGATTTTCACCTTGTGACTCGATGGCCGTGAGGACTGGAGGCAGTGGCTGCCGATGGTTTGTGTTACGGTGACGGACTCGGGACCCAATGAATTCCGTTTCGCCCTCCACGGCTCAGTACATCCAGAGCCAGGATGAGGGGCAAACCTCGGACCCCAGGAAGGTGCTGGTGCCGGGGGTTGGAGAGAGGAGCCTCGGCTGGAACGGACACTGCGGCACAGCGGAGAAGCCGGCCGCCAGCGAGGAGCCCGATGAGGTGGACAAGCTCAAAGCCAAGCTGATGTCAGCCTGGAACAACGTCAAATACGGTAGGAGCTGATTGTTCACACGGGATTGTTTCCAGCGCCTTGGGACGTCTTCCTGACGTGGAAGACACTGTACAAGAGTAATTTGTTGTTATAGTTAGTGCAGGTTCAGCATCAGGAGCCTCTGACAGGACCAAACCTATAGGAACAGGAGGAGGCCATTCAGCTCCTCGAGCCTGTTCTGCTATTCCAGAAGATCGTGGCTGATCTGTACCTCAGGTCCAATGACCCAGCCTTTGCCCCATATCCCTTGATCCCCTGACCTAACAAACATCTCTCCACATCAGTCTGGAAAATGCGAATGGATCCAGCCATAATCCACAGCCTTTTGGGGGCGGGAGAGAGAGAGAGAGAGAGAGAGTTCCAGATTTCCACTAGCCTTTGGGTGAAAAATTGATCTCACTCGTAAATGGCCTGGCTCTAACCGCAGTATGTGTCTGCCTGTGTCTGGCTCTGTTTGTGTGTCTGACTCTGTGTATGTTTGTATCTCTCTGTCTCTCTCTGCAGGTTGGGTGGTGAAAGGAAAGACAAACTTCAGCAAAACGTCTCCCATCTACCTGCTGGGAAGGCATTACTGTTTCGATTCAGCAGGTAAAGTGTCGAGTGCTCCGAGACCCTGCCCCGTGTGAGTGCGCTATATAAATGCAAGTTCTTGTACAATATGGTACAAAATGACATTTTATGCGGCGCCTTTCATGTTGGAAGGACATCCCAAGGCGCTGGACAGTCAGGGATTTGGACCTGAGCTGGTGGGGGGGGAGCGAGATGGCTGGTGGGGTAGGAGGGTAGGAGGGTGGCCGAAGGTGTGGTCGAAGAGGAGGGTCTCAAGACGTGCCTTGAAGGAGGCAAAGGAGGGGGTGGGTTGTAGATTGTTTTGTGTGTGTGTTATAAAGCGATGGCAACTAATTTTTATACATCACTCTCTCTCTCTCTGTGTCTCAGTGTCAGATTTAATGTTGAAGGTCCCCCCGGGAGAAAACCAGACCCGGCCGATGCCTGCTGTGTCCTTGTTCAGGAAGGACTTTGCCTCCCGGATTTGGCTGACGTACCGACGGGAGTTCCCCCCACTGGAGGGCTCTGTGTGGACCACCGACTGCGGCTGGGGCTGTATGCTGCGTAGTGGCCAGATGCTACTAGCTCAGGGTCTCCTGGTGCACCTGCTGTCCCGAAGTACGTTCCCCACCACCCCCTCCTTTCTTCCTGCCCCTCATTCCCAGCTCACTCTCCCCCCTCCCTCCCTCCCTCCCTCCTCCCCTTGTGTTCCCGCCCCCACTCTCTCCCCCCTCCTCCTCTTACAGTCACTGCAGTTTACAGCGTGTCCTGTGAGGCGCTTTGAGACGTTGATACCAAGAGAGGGGCTGTGACTGTGGATGACTGTGTGTGTGTTGCTGGTTACAGACTGGACCTGGCCGGATGCCTTACTCAGCGCCGAGACTGAGTCCGAGCCCAAGTCCCCGTCGAAGGCCAGGACGGGCATAGTGTCGTGGCCAGTCATTCCCGAGGTCCTCAGCTCCCAGCAGGAGCGAGGAGGCGGAGGAGGGCGAGCCGGAGGCCCACGGGCTGCGCCTGCCTCGAGCCAGGCCCGGAGGCCGGTCAGCGTCACAACTCCGGGACGGGAAGAGAGGGAGCACAGGAGGGTGGTGGCCTGGTTCGGTGATCACCCCAAGGCCGCCTTCGGTGTGCACCAGCTGGTCGCCTACGGCAAGAGCTCAGGGAAGAAGGCCGGGGACTGGTACGGGCCGTCCATTGTGGCTCATATAATCCGGTCAGTGCTCACACCGCCCTGTCACGCGTGTCGCTGTCCTGTCCTGCGCGTAGCTCGCCTCCTCCCTGTGTGGGTAACGTGTAACTCAACTCCTCGCCGTGCTGTGTAACCCCTCTCTCTATTTCACCCACAAAACACACAGTTACTAGACTTTACAGTGTATGCTGTGAAGCGCTTTCAGAGGTATATAAAATGCAGCAATTATTATTATTATAACATTTATTGTAACACTTCCCTTCCACGTGGGCAACGTGTAACTCCTTGTATGTGTAACCTCTCTCTCCCTCTCTCTGTCTCCCTCTCTGTCTTTCTCTCTCTGTCTGTCTTTCTCTCTCTCTCTCTCTCCCTCTCTGTCGCTCCCTCTCTCTCAGGAAGGCTGTGACTAAAGTAGAGGAGGCTGAAGGCCTGGATATAGCTGTGTACGTGGCTCAGGACTGTACAGGTGAGTGTGCACTCACTGCCGGAACCTGCTCCTCACTGTCACTGAGCTCAGAGACTATTGAAACCCCAGGCCCCTTTGTTGACCGTGTTTTCCTCCCGTCGGGCAGTGTACAAGGGAGACGTGATGAACGTGTGCTCGGGACAGCCTGGCCTGGCCTGGAAGTCAGTCATTATCCTGGTTCCAGCTCGCTTGGGAGGAGAGACGCTGAACCCAGTCTACATGGAGTGTGTGAAGGTAAAAGGATCTTGGAGCCCTGTAGCTCAGTGGTTAGAGCGCTCGCCTCGCAAGCGAGAGGACCTGGGTTTGATTCCCAGGCGGGTCAGGGCAAAACACTGGGCAAATGTCCTTACTCCACACACCTCTGTTTACCGAGCAGTAAGTAGGAAGCTGGTTGTTAGTCGATAAAATATAATAATAATAATTTGGTCACTTCAATTGGCTGCCATGTTTCGCCCACAAAATACACAGTCCCTCCACTTTACAGTGTGTTCTGTGAAGCGCTTTGATACGTCTCGAAGACGTGATAAGGCACTGTATCAAATGCGAGGATTACTATTATTATTATAATTCTAAAAGACCTTGTGTGTGCGTAGGGGGTTGCAGGCCTCTCCCCTCTTTTTCTCTCTCTCTCTCGCCGGCTCCCCTGTGTGGTCAGCTGCACTGTCCCCTCTCTCTTTGTACCACCCCCTGGAACTCCCTCTGCCTCGTTCCCCCTCAACTCGCCTCCTTCAAGGCCCATCTCAAGACCCTCCTCTTCGACTGCGCCTGCGGTCACCCTCCTACCGCTAACCCTCCCCGCCCTCCACCCCTCCTGATCCCAACCCTCAGCTTGGGTCCAAATCCCTGACTGTCTGTAACACCTGAGGACATCCTCCTGATGTGAAAGGCGCTGTGTAAATGTCATTTGTTGTTGTTGTTGTTGAGTGGGTGACGTGTCTGCCTGTTACAGGAAGTGCTGAGGCTGGAGTGTTGTGTGGGGATTATCGGGGGGAAACCAAAACATTCGCTGTACTTCATCGGGTTCCAAGGTGGGTGTCAAGCTCTCTTTAGACGCTGCCCTGCGTGGAGGGGGTTATATAGGTGCAAGTTGTTGTTGCTGGCGGGCTCGCGGGTGGGCTCCAGGTCGCTCAGGGACCCCCAGGGCCTCAAATTCCCCCCGCTCTTAGTTTGAAAGCTGCTTTCACCGCTTTGTTTTATACACAAAAAAATAAAAATTTTAAAGGTAATGTAAGAATTTCTCCAGTTGTGTAAATTTAAAGACAAAATGGTCTCCGAGGAGCAGGACCCCTGCTTACACACAGCCCCCCCCCACCCCCACACACACACACACACGCGCACCCACAAACACACATACACACACATGGTCATACACGTACGTATACACCAGTACCCACACACGGAAACCCCTACACACACGCCTGTGCACACACACCTACACAAACAACACACACACATGCACTCCCACGGACGCTGGATGACTGATGCTTTCACTTTACAGATGATTTCCTCCTCTACTTGGACCCTCATTACTGCCAGCCTGTGGTCGATGTCACGAAGCCCGGCTTCCCTCTGGAGGTAAGGAGAGCCTGGGAGAGAGAGAGCGTGAGCTGTGTGGGTGTATGTGTCTCTATACTGAGCTGTGTCTTTGTCTGTACTGAGCTATGCGTGTGTGTGTCTGTACTGAGCTGAGTGTGTGTGTGTCTGTACTGAGCTGTGCGTGTGTGTGTCTGCACTGAGCTGTGTGTATGTCTATGAGCTGTGAGTCTCTCTCATTTCTCCGCAGTCCTTTCATTGTTTCTCTCCACGGAAAATGGCTTTCAGTAAAATGGATCCGAGCTGCACCATTGGCTTCTATGCAAAAACCAGAGACGACTTCCTGGATCTGTGTAAACACGTCACTGCGGTGAGTGTCTCACTCCCAGTGTGGGAGGTGTGAAGGTGTGCTAGAGTGTGGGTGTGGTGGGGTGTGTATGTGAGGGTGTGTGTGTGCGTGTGTGTGGGGGTGAGGGTGGGTGTGTGAGGCTGTGTGTTAGTGTGTGTGAGGCTGTGTGTTAGTGTGTGTGAGGCTGTGTGTTAGTGTGTGTGAGGCTGTGTGTTGGTGTGTGTGAGGCTGTGTGTGTTAGGGGAGGTGAGGGTGTGTGAAGCTGTGTGTGGGTGTGAGGTGGTGTCTAGCTCGCTGCCTGTGCTGTGTCCTGATGCCTGTGTTCTCTTTCTCTCTCTCCCCCCAGTTGCTGGGCTCTACGCATGGGGAGAAATACCCCATCTTTACCTTTGCTGAGGGCTGTGCTCAGGACTATGCTCTGGACGAGGTGAGGGTGGACTCCCCTGACCCCACTGCCCTGATCTCCAGGTCCCGTCACACCAGCACTGGAACAGACGAGTTTGTCTTCCTGTGACCAGAGATGGCTCCTGCTCAGCGCTGGGTCCACCTGCCCACCACAAGGAATTAAAGCAGCCCCCCCCCCCCCACACACACACATACGATTGTACACAGAGCTTTCTTTCTCCCCCACCCCCTTTTTCTTTACTATGTGCCCCATTAACAATTTCTCCCCGAGGGTCAGTGTTGCTGTCCCTTGCAGAGGTGTGAGACGCTTTGGATTAAGGTGCAGTGTGTGTGGGGGCTGGGGGTGGGGGGAGGATTACTGTCCCTGTTTGGGTGGGGGGGAACGATAAAGATCTCCTGCAGCGCTGTGGGGAAAAGTGATGGGACATTTCTCCTGGTGTCCTGGCTGACAATCCCCCCTCTCCCCGGATAAAATCTCTTCCACCTCAGGTCCCAGCTGTTTGTTCGATGCCGCTGTGTGCGAATTGGCTGCTGACTTCAACTCCAAACCCAGTCGCTACAACACTTGACGTTTAAGGCAAGGTGACATTAGGCGCTCAATCAGATCATTATTTTATTACTGTTTGCGTAGCTAATGGTGGGAGACGAGGTGGGGTACAGTCCTCGCTCTCTCATACTACTGATGTCCGCGTGTGTGCGCGAGTCTGGACACAAATCTGCTTCCTTCTAAATATTGCCGACTGTTGACAGACACGGCTGTTTGTGGGTACGCCGATGGGCACAATCGGCTGCCCCATCGCTCCCACAAAGTACACAGTCGCCCCACTTTACTGTGTCTGCTGTCAAGCGCTTTGAGACGTCTCAACGACGTGATAAGGTGCAAATGCAAGGACTGCTGTATTGATAATCGCTCCCTGCCAATCACATACACCAAACCCCGGGGGGGGGGGGGTGCGGGTGTGGGAGGGCTGGGGGTTTGTATTGTATTGTTACTACAACGAAAAGTGTAAACACTGAAGAGTTGAGGGTTTGGCCACCTGTTTTGGACACTGGCTATGTCATAAGATTAAAAATACTGCACTAATGGGGGCGGTGTGTGTGTGTATGGGGGGACGGGGCGTGGGCTGTCATTTTAAGATGTGCAGAAATCCCGGGCGGGGGGGGGTCCGGGGGGAGGGGGAGATCACACTAATCCGGGAATCAGCCCAACAGCCCACAGGGTCAAGGTCTGGGCTGCCCACAATCAGAAGCTTCCCCTCCCTCTGCTGAGGCCTTGGGAATCCCACAGCAGTGAGCGCGAGGTGGGGGTGCGGGGACGGGGGCACAGAGTGAGACTTCTGCTGTTGTTATTGTGTCTCCATGAGAGGAGCTAAAATTCAGAGGACAGTCTTACCCTGTGGTTCCCAGCGAGCCCCCTGTGACATAGGGTTATGGGCTCCAAGGTAAGGGTAGGGCTTATTCTCTAGGCTAGGGGTTGGGTTAGGGTTTGGCTGTCATGGGTATGGTTACAGGTAATGGTAGGGGTTTGGGCACTTAAGCTAGGGTTGGGGTTTGTTCTCGAGGCCGGGGGAGTTGGTGCAACTATTTATTTTGGAGTGATGTGGTGTGATGTGATGTCTGGGGTCTGAAACTCCCCCTCTTCCCCACAGCGCTCGGTCCGTGTACATATTGTGAATATGAAGTGTAAATCCACATTGATTCCAATAAACGTTTCCAATTTCACCTCTTCACGAAGGGCCTGAGTCACGCCATGGTTTGGGGGGAGAGAGAGAGAGAGAGGGGGGGAGAGGGGGAGAGGTCCCCAGGCAGGTTTGGGTAGAAGGATCTCGATTGCCAGCTGCCCCGCTTCCCAACGCTTCCCAAGCTGGTGTCCGCCACCCTCCGCCACCCCACCTCAAACCCCAGCCTCTCCCACACCCCAACCCTCTGCCCCCCCCCCCCCCCACCACCGACACACACAACCTCTCCCCCCGCCCCCGCAACCCCAACACCTCGGTGCCCTCCACTGCTGGCTCTGACACCTGTGAGCAGGTAGTAAGAGAGCAAGAGCCGCCCTCTCACTTCCCATCTTTATTAAGCCGCTGGCTGCCTCAGTCCCGCTGGGTGGGGCGGGGCGGGGCTGGAGATGGAGGCGGGGCCAGGTAGCAGGGGGCGGGGGCTTGTCTCCGGCTCGTCCCGGTCACCAAGTGTCCGTCTGTGAGGAAAGAGAGAGTGGACAGTGTGATACAGTAACGGCTGGTCCAGGGCTCTCCTGCGCTGGTTTAACAAGCGGATACACACAGTGATGCTCTTACCTGTCCCAGGTGTGACCTGGAGGCTCACAGTGAGGAATGGCCTCAGGAGGGGGAGGGGGCGGGGGGAGCGGGGAATGACACAGAGGGACTGACGCCTGACACGAGGGTGGGGGGTGGCGGGCGGGTAACTCACGTCGGAATCCGAGACGTTGGAGAGCTGTTCTCCATTAACTCCTTACGGCCGCACACAATGGTTCTTGCTGTGAAACCAGACAGGGACGGTTAGCTCAGCAGCCGGGAGCTGTGTGCACGGTGCCGTCTCTCCTCTGTTTGCTGTGTGCGCCTGTTTGCTGTATACGCTGTGTGCTGTGCGCGGTTTGCTGTGTGCGCTGTTTGCTGTGTGTGCTGTGTGCGCTGTTTGCTGTGTGTGCTGTATGTTTGCTGTATACGCTGGTGTTGCTGTTGTGTGCGCTGTTCTGTGTTGCTGTATACGCTGTGTGCTGTTCCTGTGTGCTGTAACGCTGTGTGTGGCGCTGTGCTGTGTGCTGATGCTGTTGTTTTGCTGTGTGTGTCTGTATCGCTTGTTGTCGCTGTCTGTTGGCTGTTGTTGTGTTCTGTGTGCTGTATACCTGTGTCTGTTCGTTGTGCTGTGTGCGCTGTTTGCTGTGTGTGCTGTATACGCTGTGTGCTGTATACGCTGTGTGTGCTGTATACGCTGTGTGCTGTGTGCGCTGTTTGCTGTGTGTGCTGTATACGCTGTGTGCTGTGTGCGCTGTTTGCTGTATACACTGGATCCCTATCGCCGAACAGATCGATTTCAAGATCCTCTCATCATTCATTTTCAAATCCCTTCATGCCCTGACACCTCCCTCCCTCACTCTCCGACCCGCTTACCCCCCCCCCCCCAAAACCCACCGCCCGCTGCCTCCGCTCGCCCGGCTCCAGCCTCCTGCCTGGCCCTGGCCCTCGTGCCTTCCGTTCCACCATCGGCAGCCGTGCTTTCAGCCGCTACGCCCCGAAACTCTGGGACACGCTCTTCCTCGATCTCACCGCCTCGCCCCTTTCCTTCCCTATCTCCCGGTCGCGCCTGAGGACCTTCCTCCGCGTGAGGGGGCGCCGTGTGAAATGCAAGTTGTTGCGGTGCGTGACGCCCGGTGCTGCCCCACCCCTGGGGACAGTCTGACCTTTCTTGGTCTTGGACACGGCGCTGCTCTGCTTGTTGAAGTGACACAGGTTTTGGATCTGCTCCTGCATGTCCTGCATGGCGAGTCTGGGAGAGAGAGAGAGAGAGAGAGGCTGTTAGTTAGCTGCCCACCCCCACCCCCTCGCCTGCCCTCCCACCCCCCCCCTCCCCTCCCCGCCTTCCTCGTCTGTCCTCCCCTCCCCTCCACACCACCTACTTGATGTCTTTCAGCTCCTCCTCGGGCTCTACTGACTGCACTTGTCGGCATCTCTGTATTAACCTCTCTAGAATCTGCAACAAACCAACAGCGGTCAGTGACACAGACACTGCCGCTCACCCCCCACACCTCCCCCCTCCCCCCCCACACACACACACACACACACACACGCTCCCCCCCCCCACCCCCCCCTCCCCTCCCCCACAGTGTCGCACCTGGTTATATTTCTTCTGATTTTGACGGAGCATTTTACAGTCCGTCAGACTGGTTAACAGGTCGTCCTCCTGAACACCTGTAACCCACAGAACACACAGTCACTACACTTTACAGCGTATCAGTGTCAGTCAGGTCACTGCAGCCCCTCCCCCCCCGGGCTGCAAAGCCCGCCCCGGTCTGCAAGCTCCTCCCTTAAGCTCCAAGCCCCTCCCCCACGCTGAAAGCCCCTCCCCCAGCGCGGACACTGACTGAGTTTCCGGTTGATCTGTTCTATCTCTTTCCGCAACGACTCGCACTCCTCCCACAGGAACTTTTTGCTGGAGGAGAGAGGGAGAGGGAGAGGGAGGGAGAGAGAGGGAGAGGGAGGGAGAGGGAGAGGGGGGAGAGGGAGAGGGAGGGAGAGGGGGGGAGATGGTGTTAACACCTTCCTCGCTGTAAACTGAGATCGCTCTCTCGCCGGCCGCTCTCTCGCTCGCTCGCTCACTCACTCGCTCCTCACCTCTCGTGGATCTCGGAGGCGAGCTCCTGGCTCTGGGTGGGGGTCTCGCCGCAGCACTGGGCCTCCGGGGCTGCACACTCCCCGCTCTTCCCCAGGTCCACCATCACCTCCTTCTTCCACTCCTCCAGCTTCCTGTCGATGATCAGACACACCCTCTCCTCCTCGATGTTGCCGCACATGTTCAGCCGCCTGACCTCCGCTGAGCACAGTAACAAGCGTCATCCAAACAGCAGAGCACCCCCCCCTCCACCCCCCCACCTCCCCCCGCCATCGACTGTGCGTTTTGGGTGGAGTCCTGTAGGGTAGCGGTTACAAGCGAGAGGACCCGGGTTCAATTCCCAGGCGGGAGGGCAAAACCTTCAGCAAGTTTCTTTACTCCCCACACACGCCCTGTACCCATAAAAATAAAATAATAAAACTCAAATAGCTTCACGTCAGACGTCCAAAGCGTTCACAACAATGAAAAATTGACTGTATATTCGAACGCGCAACAATTGCCACAGCAATCCACAAACATCATGGATGAAAATGACCAATTTATTTTTTTTTTTGAGGATTATTATTACCTGTGTGATAAGGAAACTGCCAGTTTCACCTCTGCTTTGACTCGTCCACTTGCGCGATGCTCAACCTGATACAGACCAGAATCCCCCAAATTACAAGTAGGAACCCGGTTGACAAGTCGATCTGGGGGGGTTTAATAATACTAATAATAACAATGCCTCCCCAAAAAATTAACTCATGTGGTCACTCAATCCCGAGTTCCCATTACCTTCCAGGAGCCGGATCTGCTGCTGATGGTGGCTGCGTTCTTTTGCCAGGAGGCTGACCGTTTGGTTCAGAGACTCAATGGTCTGAAGACAGATGGACACAGACGAGAGTGTGGGAGCCGAACTGGTACTGACTCCGCAAGACACGTCCTCCCCCCACCGACCCGCCCGCCCGCCCCTCTGGAGTGTTGTTTGTTAAATCGGGGAATCAAGAGATATGGGGCAAAGGCGGGTAATTGGAGTTGAGGTACAGATCAGCCATAGATTGGCGGAGCAGACTCGAGGGGCTGAATGGCATCCTCCTGTTCCTATGTTTCCCCCACGCATCCCGAGTTGGACATGTTACGGTCGTGTGTTAAGCGCGGGGCTGTAGCGTGTTAGGAAAGCTATGCGGCAGCGTGTTAGACGTGTGTTCCGTGTTAAACAGGTGTCACCGTACCCGTGTCTGGACCTCGATGTGGAACTTGATGACCTCCAGCTCGTCCCCCACATGTTTGGTTTCGGCCGGGGCGGGGCAGTGGGTCTCGCTGAAATTCCGCACTTTGTTAAACGCATTCTCTGGAAAACCCCAAACGTGGTCTCAGCCTGCGATCAACTACCCCGCAACCCCGAAACATTAGCCCCTGTACAGCGACAGACTGCCTACAGCACAAGGTAGGTTACAGCAGACACCTCCCCACTGGGGCTCTCTCCTCTAATCCCATTCCCTGCTCTCTCTCTCTCTCTCTCTCCCCATCGTGTCTGTGCTGGTGCTCGCTCCCCCACCGGACTCTGTAATCCCATTCCCTCCCCCACCCCTACCCCCACCTCACCCCCCCCCCGTGCCCACGCTGGGAGACCATTGGGAGCGATTGTCGGTGTAATCCCACCTTTCTGATGACAGCCTCCAAATTTCAGAGTCTGCTGCAAGGAAAGAGAATAATATCAGAGGAAATTCACTCATATTTGTGAACTGGCAGAAATTGCTGGGACGTTAACCTCCACCACAGTCTTCACGTGCAGGTCTGGACAGTGAGCTGTGGCGGGGGTGTGAGGCTGGAGGGGGGGGGGCAAAGAAACACAACTCAATCCTGTCCCCCACACACGGGCACCTCCAGCCGAGGGGGAAGGAAGGAGGGGCTCTGGATATTGCCCACCAGAGGCTTTCCTCCTTAACTGAGTCCCTCACTACTCTGTCTGGCTCCTTTAAAGTATGCAGTAAAACTCGCAGAAGTCTGATCCGTATAAATAATAATAATAATAATCCTTGTATTTGATAGAGCTCCTTAATCGTATAACCTCCTAAATCGCACATCCGCCCAAGTTCCCGTTCCAGAGTTTATATTCAATTGGCTGCGGCATTTCGCCCACAAGATACACAGTCACTTTACAGTATATTCTGTGAAGTGCATTGAGACGTCTCGACGACGTGATAAGGCGCTGTATCAAATGCAAGGATTAATATTATTATATGCAAGTTTGACATAACTCATAGTTTGCAGAAGTCGTATTAAATGCATGGTCGGTCCCAGGACTTATGTGAGGTTTACTTGATTCCCTCCCAAAGAGTCAGTGGTCCCTGTAATAATAATAATAATCCTTGCATTTAATACAGCGGCTGATCAAGTCCTTGAGTCTCAGAGCGGATATACTGTAAAGTGTAGTGACCGTGTGTTTTGTGGGCAAAATACACCTGTGTGTGCTGGGTAACACTTACCAATGTATCTCCTTCACTGTCTGAAACTATTCGAGACATTAGTGAAATGTCAGTGTTCATATCCAAACTATAATCAATCTGTAGACACAGAGAACAGATCACACATGTCACCATTTAACAGCTACAGTGAGAAATCTCACTCTAAACTAACATGAAGTCTCCAACAACAACATTACCTTCGAATAGCGATGGACTTTCTATATTAGTAGTGAAATAAACAGTTACATCAGACATTGAGTTAACACAAGAGACCTGGGTTTGATTCCCGGGCAGAGCGAAAAACCTTGGCCAAGTTTCCTTACTCCACACGCCCGATAATAAACCCTCAAGAAAAAAAAATAATAAATTGGTCACTTCAATCCACGACTGTTTGTGGGACACTGCTGTGTGCAATTGGCTGCTGCGTTTCGCCCACAAATGTACAAATGTACAAACAATTCGCTATACAGTTTATTCTTTGAGCCGTCTCAAAGACCTGAAAAAGCGCTATATCAAATGCAAGGATTATTATCAGTTTACATTTTGTTATAATGATATTATTCAATACTGTTAGAGTAAATGGTTACATTTATATTACTGAAGCAAATAGTTTGTATTTACACTATGGAAATAAGTGGTTACATTTATGCTATGGAAACACTTTACATTTATATCAATATTTTTGAAAGTTTACATTGAATAGTAGTAACAATTATTATTATTTACAAAATAAGTGTTTTTCCTTGGCATCATTGTTGAATTAAGTGGTGACGTGTTTGTGGAAGGCTGCAGCTCAGTTGTTAGAGCGCTCGTCTCGCAAGCGAGAGGACCCGGGTTCGATTCCCATCGGGCAGGTTTCCTCACTCCGCACACTGGCCTCTGTTTACCATCAGTAAGTAGGAACCCGGTTGTTGGTCGATTGGCGGATAATAATCCCTCCAAAAAGAAATAATAATAATAATTTATTTACCTCAATCCACTACTGTCTGGGCGCTTTGCCTGCCCGCAAAACACACACAGTCACTACACTTTACAGTGTATCCTGTGAAGCACTTTGAGACGCTTCAAAGACGTGAAAACTCAAGAATTATTATTGCAACGACAGTAAGTTGCATTGATACAGCGCCGTGCATCCGGGGTAGCGTCCCGGAGCGCGTCAATATTATTATTAATATTCAGTGTTATTATTTACACTGAAGTAACAGAAGTGCAAAAAATTGGACCACAGGTAGTTTTGAGATGGAAAGATATTTCGAGGTGATGTGCAATAAAACGCGTTTGCTTGTACCTGTTGGTCGGTGCAGATGGACTGAGCTGAAGTGTTGGGCTGTGAGCGCACAGACAGTGCAGTGCGGCTTTGTTACACGTGGGCACCCGTAACCCGGCGCCGCCGCTCCCGCCCTCCTTCCCACCTCCCGTTGGCCTGATCGGCTGTCAATCAGAAATCCACGCTCGCCATTGGACGGGAGGCCGTCAATGCGGGGCTCAGTGAAGTGGGCGTGAACCAGGACTGAGATCCCGCCCCCTCTCCTGTCGCTGATTGGTTCTATCGCCCCTCCCGCCTCCCAATCAATCAGGCTATTGCGCTACCCCATTGGCTGCTGGACCTGTCAGTCACAGCCGGGTGGGAGAAGGCAGTTGGTGCTCGGGTCTGCAGGTGAGTGCCGAGCGCCCCTTTAACACTTTGGCCGACACTTATCCCACCAGCGCCACACAAGGCGCCAGAGGCACGTGACACAGACGACTTAAAGGCCAGGTGACACAGGTGACCCTGGCGGCCCGCGGGCCAGGTAAAGACTTAAAAAGTTTCTTTTTTGGTTTGGGGTTTGGTCAAGGGTTCGGAGGTCATCCCACCCAAAGGCCGGGAAATAGCTCTGGATGTTGTACAACCCGAGGTCAGAGGTCACGTCCTCACTTCAAGGGGTGAAGAGGTCGCTGCGGAACATGCACAGTCACTACACTTGGCAGGGATGCCCCCCTGCGGTGAGTGGCTGGCGTGTGGAAGGATAGCGTGCGTGCCTGAGCCCAGACACCACTAGTCAGAGCATTTGTGTGTGTTGGGGGGAGGTCCCTTTCCATCCCTATCAACCCCTGCCCCCACCCCCACCCCCACCACCCCCCCGCCTACAGTCGACTCCCCAACCCAACGCTAGGTATGAAGCAAAACTGTACCCAAGTCAAGGAATTGTCAGTGAGTGACACTGACAGCAGCGACACCCTCCCCTCCTCTCCCCCTCCCCATTACTCATTTCTCCTCTCAGACGTGGACAAACCGGTTCCACATTCCGAGGATTCCCAGGTTTGGGTTTTGTGTCTGGGCTCCCCAGCTCTGACAGGAAAAGGAGAGAGAGAGAGAGAAAGGGAGGCCATTCAGCCCATCAAGCCAGTTCCACCAGTTTATTGGCCTCGGAGAACACACAAGTCACACGGGAGGGGAGGCACGCGCATCTCAGGCTTGCCGCCTCTGCTGACGTTGAGTTGGAGAAAGTTGTCCCTTGTCCAGGACTTGATGTCGGACATCAGTAGTCCTGGAGTTGAGGGTGGAGGCAGAGAGATAGAGTTGGGTGTCATCTGCATACGTGTGGAAATTTACCCCATGTCTGAGGATGATGTCATCAAGGGGGAGCGTGTAGAGGGTGAACAGGACGGAGCCCTGAGGAACTCTGCACAAGAACGGTGCGGAGGCTGGAGGAGAAGTCTTTTGCTCTCTCCTCCTCCTCTGTATCTTCTCTCTCCCACCGCTTCCCTCCTCTCTGTCTCTCTGTCTCACTATCTCTCCCCTCTCCACTGACATCAAGGTTTTGTGTTACCACGGGAGGGAGAGGAAGAGAGAGAGAGGGAGAGAGAGAGAGGGAGAGTAAGGAAGAGAGGGAGGGAGGAAGCTTTAGCATATGCCAAGCCAGTGAGTCACAGTTATCTCTGCCTGTCAGCACGTTCCTTCCTGCCCCAGTCTGACACTCTTTATTTCAGACCCAGGAAAGAGGTAATTCCTTCCCCTCGGAGAGAAGCCTCTTCTCTAGAAGACCCAGCCTCGTGCCCCCCTACCCCCCCGAGACCCCCGAGAGGAGACAACGATGCCCACCGAAGGGGAGCCCACCCAGCTGGTTAAACTGACCCATTTGACCTTCCTCTCCACCATGTGGGGGGCACAGATTTGGATGACATTCGTGGCAGGTGAGAAGATGTGGGAGTAGATGAGTTAATTGGTTGTTAGTCGACTCGCGGATCACTTTTCAGGGGGTAATAATCGCTTCAAAATAATAATGATCAGCCACTGGGACACCGCTGGGCGCAATCAGCTGCCGCGCTTCGCTCAGAAAGTACACAGTCACTACACTTCACGGTGTATTCTGTGCAGCGCTTTGAGACGTCTCGAAGACGCGATAAGACACCAACTCAGATGCAAAGATTTATTATTTTATACGCAAACAACAACATTTAGACAGCGCCTCTCACGTGGGGCAGCGTCCCAGAGCGCTTGACAGTGGCGGAGGCTGACCCCAAGCCGGTGGGGGGGTGGGGGGGGGGGGGGGTGAGAGGGTGTGGGCTGGGGGAGAAGTTGGGAGGTGCCCAAAAAAAGGAAGGCCTTTATGCAGGATTTGAAAGTGGGGAGGGAGGCAGGGAGGGGGCGAGGCCGAGGGGGGGATTGAGGGAGGGAGTTCAAGAGTTTCAGGGTGTAGTGGCTGATGGCACGGCCACCGGCGGTGGAGCTGAGGGAGGGGCGAGGGACGGACAGGAGGTCCGGCCGTGAGACACGATGTGGGTGTTGTTTCTCTGCAGCGTGTGTTTGTGGTGGTGTGTTCTCTCCGCTGTATTTGGCTGTTTTGTGGCCCCCTCAGGCACCGTACTCAGGAGGAACGTCCCCAGGCACACGTTTGGTTTGGTGCAGAGTAAACTCTTCCCCTACTATCTGTTCGGGGTCTTGGGGGGCTCCTTCCTCAGCCTGGCCCTGTACGCAGTCTACCACCCCAGAGAGATGCTCAGCCCAGCCGAGAGCCTGCAGGTAATTCAATGCCTCCCATCTCACCTCGCTCGCTCTCTCTCACTCTCACGCTCTCTACCAGTCCTCTCTCTCTCACTCTCCCCCTCTTCTCTCTCCTTCCTCCCTCTCTCTCTCTCTCTCTCTCTGTCTCTCTCCCTCCTCTCTCTCTTTCCTCTTCCTCTCACTCTCTCTCTCCCTCCCTCCTCTCTCTTCAAGGCACGACTCAAGACCCTCCTTTTTTCGACCGTGCTTTCAGCCGCCGTCCTCTGCCCTCCCTCATCCCAACCCTGCGCCCCCCAAACCCTCACCCCCCACCCCCCCGATGCTCGGATCCTGATCCCCGACTGTTCAGCGCCCTGGGACGTCCTCCCGACGTGAAAGGCGCTTTACAAATGTGATGTTGCTGTTGTTGTTGTTGTGGTCACCCGGAGTCTGGGGAGAAGGGAATCACGGTTGCTTCGTGCCCCCAGGTGGCATCCCTGTTTGTCTGCGTGCTGTGTGCCGGGCTGAACGCCCAGTGGTTTGGGCAGAGCACCAGCTCCTTGATGTTCAAGATGTACAAGATTGAGAAGGAGCACGGACTGGGCGAGGAGGTGGGCGTCACCAGGGGCAACCCGGAGTACCAGCGTCTCCGAGACACCAACCCCAACTACCAGGATCTCAGCCACCGTTTCGTCAACTATCACATCGCCTCCGTCCTCTGCAACCTCGTCTGCCTCGTCTGCACTGGCATCAACCTGGTCTGCACCGCAACCAACCTCCAGACCTTCTAGCAAACACCCCCCCTCCATCACTCGCTCCCTCCCTCCCTCTCCCCCGCTCCCTCCCTCCCTCCCTCTCCCCCGCTCCCTCCCTCCCTCCCTCTCCCCCGCTCCCTCCCTCCCTCCCTCTCCCCCGCTCCCTCCCTCCCTCCCTCTCCCCCGCTCCCTCCCTCCTCCCTCTCCCCCGCTCCCTCCCTCCCTCCCTCCCTCCCTCTGGCTCTGGCTCTGACCTGGGAGTGTGGACGCACAGTGTAGAGGAGCTTTACCGTGATTCTAATCTGCTATTACTTACATTCCAGAATGAAAGGTTTGAAATGAAATATAAGTAAATAAAGAAACTGTTGAATTTTCAGTGAAATTGTGTTGGGTGAAATTGGTGAGGTTCCCCCCCCCCACCCCCCCCCCACCACTCCCGCTGTGACGGTGGCAAAGTCCAGCCTGGTTTGTGGGTGACAACTGCAGATCCACAACTCCGGGGGTGGGGTCAGTGGTCAGTGACCCATCGCCCACACAGTTACTTCACTTACACTGGTGAAAGACTGGTGGAAGGATCCCAAAGGCCACTGTGTCACAGTTATATAAAAGGATCAAATTGTTATATAAATGTGAGGATTATGTGTGCAGTCCTGTGGCTCAGGGGTTAGAGCCCCCGCCTCGCAAGCGAGAGGACCCGGGTTTGATTCCCGGGCGGGTCAGGTCGGGGCCAGACCTTGGGCAAGTTTCCTTACTCCCCCCCCCCCCCCCCACACACACACACAGCCTCTGGTTAGGAACCCGGTTGTCAGTCGATTGTCAGATCGCTTTCTGGGGATAATAACCCCTTTGGAAAATAATAACAACAATGATAGTCTACGACAATGTCGTAATAATACCTTCGCAGTTGACGCAGCGCCTTATCACGTCTTCGAGACGGCTCAAAGCGCTTCACAGGACACGCTGTAAGGTGTAGTGACTGTGTCATTATTGGGTGAAACCCGGCAGCCGGTGGCGCCCAGCGACGTCCCCACGGAGGGACCAAAATGTATTCGATTTAATTTTTTTGAAGGGTTTATTACCCCCGAAAAACAGGGATCTGCCCCATCGGCTCTGAGCCGCGTTCCGCCCACTGCTGTACCGGGAAGTCACACAATAACAATGACTTCTCTGATGTACAGTTTAGGGATTGACCGGAGGGCGGAGGGGGGGGGGAGGGGGGGAGGGGGGGGGAGGGGGGAGGGGGGAGGGGGGAGGGGGGGGGGGGGAGGGGGCGGAGGGGGGGAGGGGGGGGGAGGGGGGGCAGAGGGGGGGAGGGGGGAGGGCGGAGGGGGGGAGGGGGGGGCAGAGGGGGGAGGGAGGGGGGGCAGAGGGGGGGAGGGGGGGAGGGGGGGGCACTGCCGTTTGCTGGTCACGTGCTGAGTGGGGAACACCCCCCGGGGCGGAGCTCGGGGTCCGGTTACAGGTTCAGGTGTGGCCACAGAGGGGGAGAGACAGAGGAGAGGGGGAGAGAGACAGAGGGAGAGGGAGATAGAGAGAGAGAGAGAGGGACAGAGAGTGAGAGAGAGGGACAGAGAGAGGGAGAGAGGGACAGAGAGAGAGGGACCTGGGGCTCTGGTGTGTGTGTGAGAGAGAGGGAGACAGAGAGAGGGGGAGACCTGTCGCCGGTGTGAGGGGGAGAGGGGGAGACTCGGGACCGGGGAGAGGGGGAGAGGGGGAGACTCGGGACCGGGGAGAGGGGGAGAGGGGGAGACTCGGGACCGGTGGACACAGACACCGTCTCCTCTCGGTATCTGCGGCTGAAAAATTCCCCCAAAAAACTTCTCTCCGACTTTTCTCAAACGTTTCACTTCGCTGTTCGGTGAGTTATTAATCGCTGAAAACTCTCCACTGCGCTGTTCCCAAACCCCGAACCGCAGCTCCAATCAGTTACACTCAGTATTATTAGTATTATTATTAGTATTATTATTAGTATTATTATTAGTATTATTTTTATGATTGAACTAAAAACTCTCTCCTCTTAAAACAAAGTGAGTCCGGGATTCCCGCTCAGGGCTGAGACTGTGCTGTTCCCTCTGAGCACTGCGCGGCTCTTCAATGTGTGTTCAGAGGGAGAGAGAGAGAGAGAGAGAGAAGGTGATAGTGTGTGTGTGAGAGAGAGAGAAACTGAGAGAGAGAGAGAGAGAGAGAATGTGATAGTGTGAGAGAGAGAGAGAGAGAGAGAAGGTGATAGTGTGTGTGTGAGAGAGAGAGAAACTGAGAGAGAGAGAGAGAGAGAGAGAAGGTGATAGTGAGAGAGAGAGAGGAGGTGATGTGTGTGTGTGGAGGTGAGAGAGACAGAGGGTGTGAGGGAGAGAGAGAGAATGTGAGAGAGAGAGAGAGAGAGAGAGAGAGCCGCAAAACCTCTTTAATTCGGGTTTGTTGGGGCGGAAGAGATTATTGATCTGTTCTCTTATCTGTTTCTCTGCTTTGCTGAATAATAATAATAATAATCCTCGCACTTGATATAGCGCCTCTCCCACCTCCTGCCCCCCCCCCCCCCCCCCCCGGTCAGCTGTCCCCCCACCCCCCCCCCCGGTCAGCCCCCCCCCCCCCCCCCCGGGTCAGCTGTCCCCCCCCCCACCCTCCTGAGACGGTAACCCCCCGAGACGTTCCCCGGGTGAAGGCCACTGTCCCGACTGAGCGGTCGGTGAGACTCGGGATTGTGTCTTTATCGTATCTCCCCTCATCCCTCCATCCCTCCTGATCCCCTCCCCATACAAACCTGTCCGCTCCCTCCGCTCAGCGGCCTCCAGCCGGCTCCACCTCCCCCACCCCCAACCCCCCACCTTCACCTCCCCCAACCCCCACCACCCCCCAACCCCCCTCCCCAACCGCCACCTTCACCTCCCCAACCCCCACCTCCACCTCCCCAACCCCACCTCCACCTCCCCACCCCCACCCCGATGTGAAAGGCGCTCTATAACTGTCATTTTGTTGTTGTTGTTGTTGCCCCAATTCATACCCACAAAAAGTTGCCTCTTTTTCCCCAGAACATTGGCCGGGAATTGGCTGCGGAGTGAGGGGCCGATCCCATTATGTTCCTGGGCGATCGGGAGCAGTGACGGGACCCTGGGGCTCTGAGGCCAGAGGCTGGGAATGGGTAAGATGGGGGGGGGGGGGGAGGCGTGTGTGGGGAGAGGGAGAGGCAATTGGGGGTAAAAGGGGTATGTGTGTGTGCACTATGTGTTTGTGTGCGCGTTTGTGCTTTGAACACTTTGAGACGTCCTCCTGATGTGAAAGGTGTTGTACGAGGATATTTTGTCGTTGTTGCTGTTGTTGTTGTCGGTGTGTGTGTCGGTCGCTGTGTGTGTTTGTGGGGTGGGGGGAAGGGGGAGGGAGACGGTTGCTCTTTTGTTAGAGCGAGAGTGAGAGAGAGGAGGTCGTGCCCGGAACAACTGGGGGACGTGATGTGCTCCGAGAGGCTCAAGCTCTGCTGAACAAGGACACACTGTACCCCAAGATACCACGGGGGGGGGGGGGGGGAGAGGAGAGAGGGAGAGAGAGAGGGAGAGAGAGAGCAGGACTGCCCGGTGTCAGGCTTTTACCCAACGACAACTTGCACTTATACAGCGCCCTTCACACAGAGTTTACAGATCGGCTGAAACAGGCTGGATGGGCTGAATGGCCTCCCTTTGCGCACACGCTGGCGAAGACAGAGCGAGGCCAGGGGTTGGGGGTGGGGGTGGGGGGGGTGCGAGGCGGGCGCTGGGGGAGGGGAGGGCGGCGTGGAGGTAGGATGGACCTTGTTGCTGTTGGCAGAGGGAATGGGGGCCGCGCTGACCCAGTGGGAGAGAGAGAGAGAGAGAGGCCGTGCTCGGGTGGAGCCAGAGAGAGAGAGAGAGAGAGAGAGAGTTATTTGGTTGAATGTTTCCTTATTGTTTTCGTGACTCGAATCCGGTCAGTTTGTGGCTGAGCCTCTGACCTGGAGCTCGTTCCAAGTCCCACGTGACGGACTTTGAGCTCAGTGTCCGGGCTGGCACACGCACACGCACTCGCACACGCATGGGCTGGGCACCACCCTTCAACCCAAACCTTCAACCCCGGCTCCTCGTCCACACCTGTGGCCGATTGGGAAAGAGAAGGGAGTGTTTCTCTCTCTCTCTCTCTCTCTCTCTCTCCTTCCCTCCCCGTGTCCTGGACGGCAATCTCCCAGCTCAGTAAATTCGTCAGTTGCTTTCCCAGTGGGGGCGTCGCTGTGTTCACAGATTATCTGCCGCCCTCACCCACAAAACACACAGTCACTACATGGGCAGTAATTACTGTGAAGCACTTTGAGATGGCGCTATATAAACCCCCCCCAGATCGTTCTCTCTCTTTGTATCGCTGTGTTTCTGCAGTGAGTTTGTGAGGGAGTTTGACGAGCGACATGTTACATGTTACTGGTTAATTATTACCAGTGACTTAGTCACCGAGAGTGACTTTCCGTGTTACTGTAAACCAGACACTGAACGTTCAAACATTACTCACAGGGTCATGACATCCTGCGGGAGATTAAACATCAACCAGCCCCGGCCCGACTGTGACAGCACAGCCCCCCAACCCCAACCCCAGCCCCAAACACCAGCCCCCGAATCCAGACCCCCACCCCAGCCCCCAACCCCAGCCCCCCAACCCCAGCCCCCAACCCCAGCCCCCCAACCCCAGCCCCCCAACCCCAGCCCCCAACCCCAGCCCCCACCCGAGCCTGGGCTTGGCCGTGTGTGAAAAGGCCAAGTCCCGCTCCATTCTCTTCTATTTTCTTTCACCCAAAGGCTAATAGGAATCTCTCTCTCCCTCCCCCAAAAGGCTGTGGATTATGGGATCAGGGGATTTGGGGATTTGGGGATCAGGGGATATGGAGAACAGGGGATACGGAGCAATTGGAGTTAGTTGAGGTACAGATTAGCCCAGATCTGATAGAACAGGCTTGAGGGGTTAGTGATAAATGATAAGTGATAAATTCCATCTGTTTCCCCACAGCGATGATCACAGTCACTTCACCTAACAACAACATCACAGCAACTCAGGAGCCCGGAACCAATGTAAGTCAAGTTATTCCTGAGGGATAACAGTGCGGTCCGGCTCGGCGTTCCGGTGTGGCGCCCGAGTGGTGGGGGGGAGGGGTGAGGGGAGCGAGCTGGAGGGTTCCTAACGCAATGTTGAGGGTGCAGAGAGTCGGTCAGTGTGTGTGGGTGTGCGTGTATGAGTGGGTGAGTGTGTGTGTTTGTACGTGTGTGTGTGTGTGTGTACGTATGAGTGCGCGTGTGGTGGGTGTGGGTGTGTGGATGGGTGTGTGTGTATTAGCTTGTGTATGAGTGGGTGTGTGTGGGTGTGTGTGAGTGGATGTGTGTGTATGAGTTTGTGTGTGTGTGGGTGGGTGTGTGTGAGTAGGTGTGTGTGTGAGTGGGTGTGTGTGTATGAGTTTGTGTGTGGGTATGTGTGTGTGAGTGTGTGTATGAGTTTGTGTGTGAGTGGGTGTGTGTGTGTGAGTGGGTGTGTGTTTGTGTGTGAGTGGGTGTGTGTGAGTGGGTGTGTGTGTATGAGTTTGTGTGGGTGTGTGTGTGTTTGTGTGTGAGTGGGTGTGTGTGTGTGAGTTTGTGTGGGTGTGTGTGTGACCTCGTTCCCGGGTGTGAACGTCTCGTGTCTCTGCAGATTGCCGCCATCGTGGCCCCCTGTGTGATTGGGGGGGTCCTCATCATCATCGTCGTCCTGACCATCATCATCCTCAAGGTGAAAGAGAAACGCCGGGAAGAGGGGACCTACAACCCGAGTGGGCAGGAGCAGCAGGGCCCGCGGGCAGGGCAGCCTGGCACCGGCCTCAAGCTGCCACCGGAGGAGAGGCTCATCTAGAGGCCGTCAACCACCACCCGGCAACCAGTGCCTACAGCCTGGCCACCATGGCCCACGGTCTGGCAACTGGCAAACATGACTGTCCAAGTGCCCACCAGCGACTGGTGACCAGACATTAGTGACCACCACCCCACCCATTGACCCGCGACCAGCACTGGACACACCGTCGCTCCCGCTGCCCCCCCCACCGGTGTTCCACGACTCTCCATAGGTGCTGCCTGACCTGCTGCGTGTTCCCAGCGACTTCTGTTTTTGGGAGGAACTTGTCCTGTCTGTGGGTGGGGGGGAGAGGAGGTGGGGGTGGGTGGGGTGGCGGAGGGGGGTGGGGGGAAGCTGTGCTCTCACACAGTAATTTCCCCGGGATTTTTTTTAAGATTTGCTGTCTCCTAAGTTCTGGAACAGTGGGTCCCGTTCTGTCTGCTGACGACTGATCTCGAAAGGGGGTGGGAGAGGGAGGGCACAAAGGCCTTCACCCCCGAAGCCCACAACCCCATCACACCCTCCACCACCCCCCCACCCCCCACCCCAACCCCGTCGTCGCCGCTACAGGGATTTGAATGAAAGACCACACGTGGCCTGTAACATTATTATTAAAAAAACTTTTATTTCCATCGCGGTGGAAAAGCAACAGGAAAAAACAGAAGCAAATGATTGTGATGGAATTATTGGGGTTACCTCAACCCCCTCCCCCCCCCCCCCCCCACTCCTCCCCACCCCCTCAACCCTGACTGGGTGGGTGGGGGAAGGGGGAAGCAGAGGAGGGCTTACTGTACCCTCACTCGCACCCCACTCCCCTCTCCCCCTCTCCCAGTCCGGGCTGAGGCTGGGGTTTAAGGGGGTGAACCCACACTTAGTCGAGCAGCGCCATCGCCGCCTGCTGCTGAGCTGCAGTAGTGCGGGGAGGAGGTAACCGGGGTTCCCTGGTCTCCGCAAACGGGGTGGGAGGGAGGAGAGGGTGGGGGAAAAGGTGGCGAGTCTCCCCCCCCCCCCCACCCAACCACCCAGTGAAGGCGACCGGGTCGAGTCGAGTGGTCTTCGCAGTGTTTAGATTTTTAAACAAAAAGAAAATATATTAAAAAAATCCCAACAACAGCAACTTTGGTTTTATACAGAGCCCGTGCACGCCGGGGTGGGGGGGGCAGTGCACCCCAGCCCCAGCCGAGGGTGTGTCTCCTCGTGAAATCCCCCCCGAAGGGAAAGGAGGCCAATACATAGTCTCTGGGCAGGGAGATCCCCCCTTGTGCCCCCACCCCGTGCCCCCACCCCGCCCGGGAGGGTTTGGTGTAAATTTCAGCCCTCGAATCGCTTCTTAAGCTCGGAGACCTTCCGAGGGGGAGGAGTGTTATCGGGGTCTGGGTCTGGCTGGGGGCTGGGGGCCCGCGGAGGTGTCCCATTCGGGGCCAGGGTCCCGGGGAGACTCTGCCCGGCCAGGGGGGAGGGGGGGGCAGATCCCAGCAAAGCCGGGGACGTGGTCGGTCGGAGTTTGACCCTCAGGGCCTCGGGCCGGTTGGCCACCGCCTGCCCCCGGGGGGTTTGTGTGCCGCTGTTTGTGCTCCCCACCTCCTGCACCGTCAGCGCCCCCCTCCCTCGCGCGCTCTCCGCCACCTCTCGGCTCCGCTCGGTCTCCCCAGCGCTCAGCATAGGCGTCGCCCCCTCACAACCTGGGGGAGACATGGGGAGGGGCTGGGCTGGCTGGGGGAGGGGCTGAGTGGGCTGGGGGAGGGGCTGAGTGGGCTGGGGGAGGGGCTGAGTGGGCTGGGGGAGGGGCTGAGTGGGCTGGGGGAGGGTCTCGCTGGACTGGCCCTGTGTTTGCCCGGAGCCCCCCCCACTCCCCTCCGGTGCCGGCTCCTCACTGTCGGGACGGGGGGCCGGCTCCAGGGGCCCGGGTTCGGAGTCGCTGGGGGCCAGTGTGGAGCCGTGTCCCACCAGATCCCCGTGCACTTGTCCCCGCTCCGCGGGGGAGTGGTGGGGGGGGTCTCCGTCGCTCCGGGCCCTCCCGCGGGGGGCTGGCAGGATTCCGGGCTCTCCTCTGGAATGGAGCTGGGGAGAGGCCGGCCATCGCTGAGGTCCTGGGAGCTGGATCCGGGGGAGATGTGCTCGAGGGAGGAGAAGGAGTTCACCCAATCCCTGCCGAACCCCTGAGGCCGCTCCATGGCCCTGACCTGCCCACAGCAAACACTGGTCAGCAAACAACAACAACAACAGCAGCAGCTTGTGTTTATGTGGTGGTCTTGGGGGCCAGTGCGGAACACAACACACTCACAGCGAGGGTGGGTGGCTGTCTGTGTTTGGGGGTAGTGTCTGGGGGTGTTTGGGGCGATCTGTCTGTGTTTGGCAGTAGTGTCTGGGGGGTGCGCGTGTGTTGGGGGGGGGGTGGGTGGGTGTATCTGGTTTGAGGAGCGTTGTGTTATATGTGTGATGTGTGTATGTGAAGGGGAAGTGTCTGTGTGGGGGGCGGGGGGGTGGGAGGCAGGTGTAACGTGGCGTCTGGCTGGAGTGGGGTATATTGGGGTGGGGTGTATGTGTGTGACTTGGGGTGTAGGGTGGGAGTGTATGTACGTACGTGTGTGTGTGTGTGTGTGTGTGTGTGCGAATGATGTGTGTCTGGGAGCGACTCACCACACAGATGTCCTCGACCGAGTCCCGGCTGAAGCAGTCCAGGCTGCGGCTGGCGTACAGGACTCCGCGCTCGTGTGAGCTTCGTGTGCTCAGCGTCTCGAAGATCTCCCCGAGCAGGTCCATGTCTTCCTCCTCCTCCAGCTCCTCCTCCTCCCTCTCCTCCTCCCCCTCCTCCTCCCCCGCCTCCAGCGATGGGACGTCTGTCACATCCACACTGCCCCCCTCCCTGCAAATAGCACTCACTGTCACCATCACCACACAGCCACGTACGTCACTGCTGTCAATCACGAACAAACAGTCACACACTCGTTTAGGACGGATATCAAGGCCTTTGCAGAGGGAGCAGAGATTTACAGGATGGTGCCAGGGATGAGGGACTTTAGTTACGTGCAGAGACTAAGAGAAGCCGGGATTGCTCTCCTTAAGAGCAGAGAAGGGGAGATTTTATAGAGGGTTCAAAATGATGAGGGGGTTTTGATAAGAGTAGAGAGGGGAGAAACTGTTTCCTCCGGCAGGTGGGTCGGTGACCAGGGCACATGGATTTAAGATAACTGGCCAAAGACCCAGAGGGGAGATGAGGAGACATTTTTTATACACACACACAGCGTTGTTACGGTCTGAAAGGGTCGGTGGAAACAACTTTTTATTTCCATTGCAGTGGAAAAGCAACACAAACAAACGGAAGCAAATAATTGTGATGATTGATTGGGGTTCGTTCAACACCGTTCCTCTCCCACTCAAAAATCCAATCCCTCAGCCCTGACTGGGAGAGGGGAGAGGTGGGGTGATGGTGGGGGGGGGGAGGGAAGAGGCTGACTTTCAAACGGGAATTGGATAGGTACTTTGAAGAGGAAAAAACTAGCGAGGATATGGGGAGAGCGCAGGGGGAGTGGGACCGGGTTGGAGAGCTCTTCCAAAGAGCAGACACAGGCACAGGCACGATGGCCGAATGGCCTCCTTCTGTGCTGCAATATTCTATGTTCGTCTGAACCGAAACAGCCCATCAGAACCACTCCCTGGGAATAAACTTCTCTTTTAAACAGAAACGCGTCCTATTCTGCCGGTGTTAAACCACTGAACACATCTCCTTCTGCCGCTAATAAACCAGTAAACACCCATCAGTACATCGGTGCAGTCACACTTACCCTCACACACAGTCACACTCAGGTCAGTCGCAGTCAGTAGCACTCGGTTACAGTCAGTAATATTTACACTCAGTCCCTCACGGTCACAGTCAGAGACGGTCACACACAGTGACAATCCGTGACAGCCCCAGGGAAACCCTCAGCAAGTCTGGATACTGCGGGGAGTGTGTGGGGACAGAGGGTGAGGGGGTGGGGGGTGGGAGGAGAGGATATGGGGGGGGGCTTTACGGAGAGGAAGGAAAGCGTTGTGTACCTGAGAGGGGGGGGCCGCTGGAAGCCCTCCACGTTGGTGTAGCGCCGTGCTGGTCGACGGGGTCGAGACTGGAGAGAGAGAGAGAGAGACACGGTTACTGCCAAGTGGAGAGAGAGAGAGTGAGAGAGAGGTGGTTACTCACGTTGTGGTGGTTTTCGTCCACAAAATCACAGTCACTACACTTGACCGTGATAAGACGCTGTATCAAATGCGAGGATTATTATATTATTATTATCGCTGTGATTACCTGACCAAAGTGCTGTGTGATGGGCAGGCGGCTCTGTAAACAGTCTGACTGTATCCGCCGCTGCATCCCCCCGGCCCCCCCCTCACACCTCAGTGAGCCTCCGCGCTGCACCCCCCGCTCCAGGTCCTGCAGAGAGATCGCCAACGTCAGTTGTCTGTCAGCCCACAAACCCCCCCCCCCCCCCCACACACAGTCAGTCTGACAGCCATCAGCCCTCCTAACCCTCCCTCCCCCCCACCAGCAAGTGGAGGGGGGGAGCTGTCATGGAGCATCAGCCAGGAGTGAGTGTGAGTGAGTGTGAGTGAGTGTGGGTGACTGTGAGTGGGTGTGAGTGACTGTGATTGAGTGAGTGAGTGTGAGAAGCCAAGAGTGAGTGTGAGTGAGTGTGAGAAGAAGCAGGAGTGAATGTGGAAAGCTAGGAGTGAGTGAGTGAGTGTGAGTGGATGACTGAGTAAGAGTGAGTAAGAGTGAATGAGTGTGAATGAGTAAGAGTGGGTGAGTGTGAGGGTGTGGGTGTGAGTATGAGTGAGTGAGTGGGTGTGAGTGAGTGGGTGAGTGAGTGAGTGAGTGAGTGTGAGTGAGCGAGTGAGTGAGCGTTGGGCTATGTGGTGTCTGTCACCTTGTGTTTCAGTCGGTTTTTCATCTCCTTCAGCCCCAGCTTGGCTTGTCCTTTAGCCTGAGATAAGAGATCAGAGGGTCAGCCACACAGACAGCCCCGCCCCGCCCCACCCCAGCCAGGCCCCTCCTCAGCCAGGCCCCACCCAGGCAGGCCCCGCCCCAACCTGACCAGGCTGCATGCCCAAGCCTCCCCACCGCCCCCCCCCCACCGCCTCCCCCCGCCCACCGCGCTGCCCCATCACTCACGTATTTGTAGATGTTCCTGACGGCGGGGTGCGATCGGGACCGGACCGTGTGCATCAAAGCCCCCCCTCCCTTCTGTAATACACACCCCACAGCAGTCAAACCCTCCACATCCCCCATAACCCCCTCACACAAGCAGCTCACGTCCACCCACACACCCTCATACAATCCACTGATGCCACCCCCCCACTTCACCCCACCACCACCACACAATCTCCCTCCATGCCCTCTGTCCCTCGCTGTCTCTCTCGCTCACTCTTTCCCTCTCTCTCACTCGCAGTCTCTCTCTCTCTCTCACTCTTCTGTACCTTAACGTGTTGCAGCCAGTTCTGGTAGGACTTGGACCAGCCTGAGAACAGACACAGAGAATCAGAGAGCGACAGACAGAGAGCGACAGACAGAGATTGAGACGGAGAGCGAGAGTCAGAGTGACAGAGAGCGACAGACAGAGAGCAACAGACAGAGATTGAGACGGAGAGCGAGAGTCAGAGTGACAGACAGAGAGTGACAGACAGACAGCGAGAGACAGAGATTGAGAGACAGAGAGCGAGAGTCAGAGTGACAGACAGACAGAGTGGGAGATGCTGTGAAGGGATCAGGTCTCTCACCGGAGGAGAAGCCACACAGATGAATCTCTTCCTCAAACACGTCCGTCAGCCCTTTCCCCTCATTCAGCTTCTCCAGGCGGCTCTCTATAAACTGCAGTCAGAGAGAGAGAGAGAGGTGTGAGTGGGGAGCAGGTGTGAGCGAGTGTGAGTGAGCGTGAGCGGGTGTGAGCGAGCGTGAGCAGGTGTGAGGGACTGTGATCGAGTGTGGGTGTGAGTGAGTGTGGATGTGAGGGGGTATGGGTGTAGGTGTGAACGAGTGTGAGCGAGTGTGAGTGGGTGTGAGTGGGTGTGAGTGGGTGTGACCGGGTGTGGGTGTGAGCGAGTGTGAGGGAACGTGTCTCTGACCTGTTTGAAGAGCTGCAGGTGGACGGCGTTTTGTAGAAACTGCCTCATGGAGCTGCTTCTGTGGTTTATGAACGTTTCCTCACAGAACGTTATAGGTTCATCCTGTAACCAGCAAAGTCACTGCCATTACTGCCCTCTCACCCCCCTCACTGCCCACTCCTCACTGCCCCCCCCCACTGCCCTCCTCACACCCCCTTAGCGAGAGATGCAACCCCCTCCCCACACTCGGTTTAATGCCTCCTGTGTCAGCACTTACGGGGTTAAATCGGAGTGCGTCCTGGTAGCCCCCGAACAGAGCGGCCTGGGCACGGAGGAAAGCCCGAGCCACCCCCTCCCCTGTGGTCCCTGATTGTTTCCTCAGCTTCATCTTCAGCCCCGAGACCTGCAGCCAGAGAGAGAGAGAGAGAGAGCGAGACCGTGAGAGACAGAGAGAGAGAGAGAGACAGTGAGAGAGAGAGGGACAGAAACAGTGAGAGAGAGAGAGACAGAGCCAGTGAGGGAGCGACAGAGGGAACGAGAGAGTCTCCAAACCCAACTGAGAATTCCAGGCCTCCCACCCACTTCCACATGGAAATCCCAGAGAGAGAGGTGGTTGGAATGGAATGCGCTCTCCCTCTCTCCCTCTCTCCGGAGGGAATTACCTAATTCCGGAGAGTACTAGGCGCAGGTATAAGGCTTGTGGTGGGGGGGGGGAGAGCCCAGAGTGTGCGTTGGGGTAACTGCTGGAGTCTAACCAGCTAAACCCACACCGAGCTCGGCCACTGATATTTCCGTCGGTCTGGCCACTGCTTCCCACCGCTTGCCCGGCTAGGACCACCCTATCCGTTAGGGGCTTTGGCTTGCGGGGTTAAGGGGGGGGAGGGACTGAGCTGGGGTCGCAGGGATGCCTGCTGGGTGGGGTCCCGGTGTTATCTATTGGGCCCCCCGGTGACCCCCACCCTCCCCCCCAGGGTCACTCACCACGTCGGCCGGTAACTTCTCCAGGTCATTGAAGGGCGACTCCAGTGTGTTGGTGTCCACGTTCAGGATCACCACCTCCTCCAGGGCTCGGCTCTTCACGTGCTGATAATAATAATAATATATAATAATAATAATCCTTGCATTTGATATAGCGCTCTGCACGTCGGGAGGACGTCCCAAAGCGCTTCACAGAACACACTGTAAAGTGAATTGACTGTATGTTTGTGGGCGAACGCGGCAGCCAATTGCGCACAACAATGTCCCACAAAGTGTCGTAGATTGAAAATGACCGATTTATTATTGTTTTTGGTTTTTGGAGGGATTATTATTAGGCTCTGTGTGGAGTAAGGAAACTTGCCCGAGGTTTCGCCCTCTGCCGGGATTGAACTCAGGTCTCTCACTTGCAAAGCGAGTGCTCTAACCACTGAGCTACAGATAATTCCTCACATTTGATACCTTGTCACGTCTTCGAGACGTCTCAAAAGAATGGATATTTCAGAGGAAGCTTTGCCTTGACGTACAGTGTAAAGAGAAAGACCGGGTTTAGAAGTGAGACACACACACACTCACACAGTGAGACACACACACACAGTGTGAGACACACACACACAGTGTCAGACACACATATACAGTGTCAGACACACACACACACACACAGTGTGAGACACACACACAGTGTGAGACACACACACACAGTGTGAGACACACACACAGTGTCAGACACACATATACAGTGTCAGACACACACACACAGTGTGAGACACACACACACACAGTGTGAGACACACACACACACAGTGTGAGACACACACACACACACAGTGTGAGACACACACACACAGTGTGAGACACACACACACAGTGTCAGACACACATATACAGTGTCAGACACACACACACACACACAGTGTGAGACACACACACAGTGTGAGACACACACACACAGTGTGAGACACACACACACAGTGTCAGACACACATATACAGTGTCAGACACACACACAGTGTGAGACACACACACACACAGTGTGAGACACACACACACACAGTGTGAGACACACACACACACAGTGTGAGACACACACACAGTGTGAGACACACACACAGTGTCAGACACACACATACAGTGTCAGACACACATATACACACACAGTGTCAGACACACATATACACACACACACACAGTGTAGGACACACCCACACACGTCGACATGGCCAGTACACAGGGAGACAGCGAGAGAGAGAGCAAGAGAGACGGGGAGACAGTGAAATGGGGGGACACTCACCTCCATCAGGCTGGAGTGCACCCCGACCAGGTAAGGCATTGGAGCGCTGCAACACAAGGGACACGGGATGAGGCCGTGACAGACAGTACAGTGTTACAGTGTACGGTGTCTTTCACGTCTGGAGGACGTCCCAAGGCTCTGGACGTGGGGACAAGCCCGAGAGTGGGGTTTGCTGCTCAGACTCACCAGCAGTAATCAAGGAGGTGGGGGGGCAGCACAGGGATGTAGATGTGCTGCCAGTACATGGGGTAGAGCATGGAGGCCGAGCCGTGTACACAGGCCGTTAACTGTAACACATCAACATAGCGTCAAACACTGGGTTAACACGGCGTCAGCACGGGTTTAACTGGGGTTAACACAACCACAACAACAGCTCGCATTTACACAGAGGCCCTCACGCAGGAGCGTCCCAGAGCACCAGACAGTGACGGTACCACATTGAGCCGATGCGAGCGAGTGAGCGAGTGAGCGAGGGAGGGAGGGAGTGAGCGAGGGAAGGAGGGAGGGAGGGAGGGAGGGAGGGAGGAGGGAGCGAGGGAGGGAGCGAGTGAGCGAGCGAGGGAGGGAGGGAGGGAGCAAGGGAGTGAGCGAGGGAGGGAGGGAGTGAGTGAGTGAGCGAGGGAGGGAGGGAGGGAGGGAGGGAGGGAGCGAGGGAGGGAGGGAGTGAGAGAGAGAGAGAGCCCCACCGTGCTGAGCTTGGTGCTGGTGATGATGATACGCCGCTCACACAGGAGACTGGCAAACAGCAGCAGCAGATTATTCACATTCACGGCCACCACATACTCTGTCAGGTTCCTCTGTGAGAGAGAGAGAGAGAGAGAGAGAGAGAGACGCAGGTCAGAGTCACAGCACTCAGCTCACCCCTGAAATTAATGGCTGCCGCGTTTCGCCCACAAATATACAGTCACTACACTTTACAGTGTCTCCTGTGAAGCGCTTTGAGATGTCTCGAAGACGTGATAAGACGCTGTGTCAAATGACAGGATTATTATTATTATTATTATTACACAGGGCTGTACACAGGGCTCGGGGCTGTACTCACGTTCTCTGGGATGGTGGGCAAACTCCCAGTATCCGGGGCAACAAAGTAGGAAAGCTGGAAAAGTCAGAAAAGACGTTCTTCACACGGACAGGAAATTACCAACACAGTGAGCAGTGCAGTGCCTGTCACACACACACTCACACCGCCTGTCACACACACACTCACACAGTCTCACTCTCTCACACACACACTCATGCCACTTGTCACACTCACGCACACTCACGCCGCCTGTCTCACACAAACACACACACACAGTCTCTCACACTCTCTCACACACACACTCACTCACACCGCCTGTCACTCTCACACAGTCTGTCACACTCTCTCACACACTCACTCACTTACACCGCCTGTCTCATACACACACACATAGTTTCTCACACACACACAGTCTCTGTCACACACACACACCGCCTGTCACACGCCCACATTCAGTCTCTGTCACCCGCGCACACACACAGCGAATGATGTGCTATTTTGGGTGATGTTCAGATTGCAGCCCCCGGCGGTGGGGGGTGGGGGGTTTTGGCGCCCACACTGTTAAGAGCGAGAGCCAGCGGGCACCATGGGTTTCACACCAGCAGTGGGCACATTAGAGAAGGGTTAGTGCCCGAGACTGAGACAATCCCAAGACGGGGCTGGTTACTGGGTTAGGAGGTTGGGGGCCGGGCTGGTTACTGGGTTAGGAGGTTGGGGCCGGGCTGGTTACTGGGTTAGGAGGTTGGGGGCCGGGCTGGTTACTGGGTTAGGAGGTTGGGGGCCGGGCTGGTTACTGGGTTAGGAGGTTGGGGGCCGGGCTGGTTACTGGGTTAGGAGGTTGGGGGCCGGGCTGGTTACTGGGTTAGGAGGTTGGGGGCCGGGCTGGTTACTGGGTTAGGAGGTTGGGGGCCGGGCTGGTTACTGGGTTAGGAGGTTGGGGGCCGGGCTGGTTACTGGGTTAGGAGGCTGAGTCCTGGCAAAGCCGGAGCTGGTTATCGGGTGATTCCCGACTCACCCCTGACGTGCCGGGTGTCGGGGGGCTTCGCTGCTCTCTCAGGGACCGTCTTGTGGTCACTTGTAGCTGCTGGTTTTACAACAACAACAACTTGCATTTATATAGCGCCCTCACGTGGGATAGCGTCCTGGGACACTTTAAGAAGCATCAGGAAGTTACGGTGTTTCCTCTGACTCTGTGATTCCCGTCCGGCTTTGCTGATGGGCTGGGGGCGGGCGGGTGGGGGGGGGGCGGGGGCGGGCGGGCAGGTGGGGGGGCGGGCGGGCTGGGGGGCGGGCGGCCGGGCGGGGCTGGGCGGGCGGGTGGGGGCAGGCGGGCGGGTGGGGGCAGGCGGGCGGGCGGGGTGGGGGGGGTGATGGGAAATCGCCACAACATCATTATTTCATACAAAAAAATAAAATGAATAATAATAATAATAATTTCGTCCACAAAATATTCAGTCATTTTGTAGGTGAACGCAGTCTGTGAGAGAGAGAGAGAGAGAGAGAGGGGACGGGGAGTGACTTACAAAGCCCAGGTTGAGGGTGGAACCGGCTGGGACGGGTGCCTGTGTGTACAGAGCCCCCAGGAACTCCTTCACATCGCTCTCCTACAGAGAGAGAGAGACACACACAGAGAGACGCATGACACACACGACAGAAAATAACCCACGCGTGCGCGATTGCGTGTGGCGTGTCAGCGAGGGCCTGGCTTTGGCGACTCACCTGTCCCTTCGCGAGGTAATCAGCCACGCTGTTCAGCACCTTGTAGAAGACTTCAAACCAGGGCAGGAAACTATAAAAGACCCACGTTAAACACACGCTGGCCCACGTCAGCACACGCCAAACACACGCTGGCCCGCGTCAGCACGCGCCAAACACACGCTGGCCCACGTCAACAGATGCTAGACATAGTTGGCTTATGTCAGCACACGCCAAACACACACTGGCCCACGTCAGCACACGCTAAACACACGCTGGCCCACGTCAGCACACACTAAGGACATGCCACATGCGGTACCTGAGGACACAGATGCAGCTCTTGCCGCCGCCGGCCAGACGACAGAAGCCAAATCGCTGGATCCCGTCCAAGTCCGTCAGAGCGAAGGTGAATTGCTGGACCACAGTATTCTCTCGCACCCTGAGCAGTGAGGCCGTTAGCTACACCGGCAACTTCACCCCCCCCCCGTCCACTCACATACCCCCCCCCATTCCCTCGCCCCCACCAACACTCCCCAACCCCCCAGCCTACCCTCCCCGATCACCTCGCCCACCCCCCACCACCAACACTCCCCCCATTCCCTCACCCCCACCAACCGCCCTCACGCCAACCCACACCCCCAACCCCTCGCCAACCCCCCCCACGCCCTCGCCATCTAACACCTGCCATCCCCCCCCCACGCCCTCGCCATCTGACACCTGCCACCCCCCCCCACGCCCCACGCCCTCCTCGCCCCAACATAACACCTGCAAACAGCCGCCCCAATAATCCTCCCCCTCAGTCCAACCCCCAGCAACACCCTAACCCCACGCCAGCACCTGCCCTGCTCCCCCCTCGCCCCAGAGAGATGCCTTTGTTGCCGTTTCCAGTCATTTCCCGGCCATTCGCTGGGAGTTGGGACACCGCTCCCAATCCATAAATACCTGATTTCCCTGTTTATTATTATTATTATTGTGGTTATTATTATTGTTGTTGTTGTTGTTATTATTACCGTTCCACATCAAAGGGGAAGCAGAACTTGGGCAGAGTCTGGAGAGATTCCTGAAACAGAGCCACATGGCTATCACACCATCAGCTTTGAGCTGTACTGAGTCTCTCTCACACACACATGTACACACACATACATACACACACATACATGTACACACACAGACACGCACACACGCGCAATGTATACGCCCACAGACAAACAGGCACATACATACATCCGTATACACACACATACACACGTATACACACACACTTACACACATGTATACAGATACAGACACATGTATAAACACACACACACACACACACACACAGGTACAGGTGCAGCAGAAAGCAGTGAATGGTTCCTACCGGTTCATTGTAATCTTCAGGGAACTGGCGCAGGATTTGAGGATCTGAGAGAGAGAGAGAGAGAGGCTGGTGACTGTCCGGGACCCGGGGCAGCCTCACCCTTCCCCAACCCGCTCCCCCTCCCCAACCCCCTCTCTGCAAACCCCTCTCCCCCACCCCTCAGCCGCTCCGGGTGTGATAGTGACACCGAGACAGTGACTGGAACTGTAGCCAAACTGAGCTCAGTACAGGATGTGGCTTTGTACAGAGAGAGAATCTCCCCCCCACCCCCCCACCCCGCGCACACCTTGCACACCCCCCCCACCCCCTCCGCCCGCCCACACACACCTCCACCACAACAACAACAACAAATGACATTTGTACAGTGTTTTGGGGGGATTGCCGGGTAAGGGCAGACAGGCAGGCGGGAGGGAATGGGGGGGGTGGCCGGGCGGGTGGGTGAAAGGTGTGCATGTGTGTGTGTGTGGGGGGGGGGGGGGCCGCGGGGGCGGAGGGGAAGAGGTGTGCGGTGGGTGGGTGGGAGGGAGTGCTGGGGGGGGGGAAGGAGTGGGGGGGGGGAGGGAGGGAGTGCTGTGGGGGGGTGGGGGGGGAAGCTGTTGCTGTGGTCGAGCAGTTACTAAACGTAACAGGAAATCAGCTTTTAGTGTCAGCCTCGCGAGTAGACACTTCCTGTCTCTCCTGACGCTAAATACTGTACAATCTGCAGGTGCCGGGCACACTGCCTCTCCCCCACCCTCCCTCCCTCCTCCCTCCCTCCCCGTAACCCCTCCACTCCCTCCCTCCCTCCCCGTAACACCCCCCACTCCACTCCCTCCACGAGCCAACCTTCGCCCTCGGGATATGACGGGCGAGGTGATGGTTTTGGGGGGGGGGGTGGGGGCCTGAGGAGAGCGATGCTGATCATTAACAAACACTAAACAAAAGGCCAAACACTGCAGATGCTGGAAATCTGAAAGAAATAAACACTCAGCAGGTCAGGCAGCGTCTACGGAGAGACAGAGAGATGTATCTCTCCATAGATGCTGCCTGATCTGCTGAGTGTTCCGAGCCATGTTTTTTTTACTGGAGAACGTGAACAAATCACTCAGTTCCACTCAGGGTGGTTTGTCTCTCACCAGCATTGGAAGATCTCGGACACAAAGCCTCGAAAAACCATTCGAATATCCTCCCGGACTTCCCCTGAAATAATAATAATAATAATAATAATAATTCTCGCATTTGATACAGAGCCTTATCACGTCTTCGAGACATCTCAAAGCGCTTCACAGAATAGACTGTAGAGTGTGTTTTGTGGGCGAAACGCAGCAGCCAATTGTGCACAGCAGCGTCTCACAAACAGCCGTGGATCGAGTGACCAATTTATTATTATTTTTTGAAGGGATTATTACCCCCCAGGAAAGCGATCGGCCAATCGACTAATAACCGGGTTCCTACTTACTGCCGGTAACCAGAGGCGCCTGTGTGTGTGTGTGTGTGTGTGTGTGGAATAAGGAAATTTGCCCAACATTTCGCCCTGACCTGACCCACCCGGGACTCGCTTTGCGCTGGTTCAGTAACACACAACGTGGGGCTGACAAGCAGAGAAGAGGAACAGACTGGAGAAACGTCTGACACAGAGCCAGGAGAAGGAGAAGTGAAAGACACCTGAGGAGAGGTACATCCTACAGCAGAGAGAGAGAGAGAGAGAGAGAAGCATGTGGTCAGGCAGCATCTATGGGGAGATGGAAAGCAAGTTAACGTCAACTCGCTTTCCATCTCTCCTGACCTGCTGCGTGAGTGTTCCCAGCCACTTCTGTTTTTATTTCAGATTCCAGCATCTGTAGTATTTTGCCTGAAACACACCTGAGGTGAGATACAGCCATAGTAGAGAGAGAGAGGGAGAGAGAGGAAGGAAGTTTGTGGCCAGGGTGTCCAGTGGGGGAGCGAGCACCAGAGCAGACACGATGGAGAGAGAAAGTGAGAGAGCAGGGAATGAATGGGGTTCGAGCCCCAGCACAGACACCCTGAGCTGAACGCCACGCTCTGTGCTGTACACCTGTGCTATGTGTGATCGTTGTCGGAGAGGAACAGACTAGGCTGCAGTTACAATACCAACTACTGACAGCTTTCAGTCTGAGGTCCCGTCTCATTCAGATGGTGATTACCTTCTGTGCAGATCTACATACAGACACATACAGACCTACACACACCGGCACAGTTACACTCACACAGAGACACACAGATATACTCACACACAGACCCACACATAGATACGCTCACATACAGACACACAGTTACACTTACACACACAGACAGACAGACACCCACTGAAATACACTCTGTTTAGTGATGAGCTGAGCACCTTCTCCAGAGGTCAATGTCAACTGGAACATCACTTCTCTTCAATCCCACGTATTACATCACAGATTCTGGTTACAGTTGTTTCAGGTCACAACGGAAACGGAGGCTAAAACAGGCAGAGACAGAGCAGTGATCACTGAGAGAGAGACAGAGGCAGAAGAGAGAGAGAGATTGAGACAGACAAAACGTGCGAGAGATACAGAGCCAGGGAGAGGTGAGAGAGACAGAGACAGAGAGAGATTGAGAGAGGCAGAGAGAGTGGACGAGCGGCAGATAAGAGAGGGACAGACAGTGAGATAGACAGAAAGATACAGAAAGAAGAAATAGATGTCTCTGGGTTGTTACTTGAGCCAAGTTAGACTCTCTTACTTAATCCTGGATCCCATGGTTACTACATGACCAGCGATTACACAGTGGGACCCTCCAGGGCTGGGCTTTATCGATCGGCTTTCGGGGCGATATTGCAGCTCTCTAGTCGATGCTGCACATTCACTCTTTCCGCTGTTCTCTGAATATAGGAAGTTCAGTCTGTGACATGCAAATCAGCCCTCGTCTGACTATATATAGTGAGCCCAACAGACTGAGGTAGGGACAAAATCTTATGATGCGCTTTATGACCCACCTTTCCTGCTACGTTCTGAGGCTCAGCAGTGCTGTTTAGGGGCTTAGGTTAGGATCGTTTCTAGAAATCAAATCAGAAAGTGAAGCATTTGGTAGAGTTTTATAGGGGGTTCAGGAGTAGAGGGACCTGGGTGGGGGGGTTCACGTACACAGCTCTCTGAAGGTGGCAGGACAGGTTGATGGAGCTGTTCCTTGTGGCTTTATAGACAGAGGCGTAGAGTACAGAAACAAGGCAGCTCTGCTAAACCTTTATGAGTCACTAGTTAGGCCTCAGCTGGAGTATTGTGTCTAATTCTGGGCACCGCACTTTAGGAAGGATGTCAAGGCCTTGGAGAGGGAGCAGAGGAGATTTGCCAGAATGGTACCAGGGTTGAGGGACTTTAGTTACATGGAGAGACTAAGAGAAGCCGGGATTGTTCTCCTTAGAGCAGGTGCCTGTAATGCGGCCAACAGGAAGGGTGCTTAAGGGAGGGTAAGGGACCCCATCCTTTCGGTTCAGGCGTTCAACCGAGAACCGTTCTGTTGAGGCAGACGTTAAATATTCTGCAAACACTTTCGGAACAGAGAAGGGAGTTTCTTCTGGTGTCCTGGCCAAGCTTGGCTGTAGGTGGGAGCTTGCTGCGTATAAAGTGTATAAAGCGACTGAGCTTACAGTCACTACACCTGGCAGCAATCTGAGATGCTCATGGGTGTGGTGGGCAGGACGCACTGTGCCACTTTGCGCTGCCCCCTAGTGGTTGCCCACGTCCATTGATTGAGATTGACTGTGCCGTGTGGTATGGTGGCAGTTCAGTGACTGGGGGCTGCTCGTGCTCTGCACACTTCTCTCACCGAATCCTCTCTGGCTTTGCTGAAGGTGCTAACTCATGCCCGGGCTGGAGCCTCGCAGCCTGATTGTGGCCTGGATCTGTCACAATGCGGTTTAAAATAGTTGTTAAAAGAAACAGAGGGAGAGGTGAGAAGAAATGTTTCCACACCGCGAGTTTTCGGATCCTGAATGCATTGCCTGAAAGGCTGGTGGAAGCCAATTCGATAACAGGTTTTAAGCGAGAGGAGGCTAATTATTTGGTCAGGACAAGTTTGCCGGGCTATGGGGAGAGCGCGGGGGAGTGGGATTGAATTGAATAGCTCTTTTCAAAGAGCCGACACGGACACGATGGACCGAATGGCCTCCTCCTGTGCTGTATAATTCTATGAATACCCCTGGCCATGTTCAGATGGTTTCCCCCGGAAAACACAGTCACTCCACTTGATGGTACATCCTGTGAAGCGCTTTGAGACGTCTCGAAGACACAATAAGGCGCTACATCAAATCCAAGGATTATTATAATTATTATTATTACACGAGAGCAAAATACCCGTTACAGCTGCGTTTGCAACTAAAGAATCCAATATGGAATGTAGATTGACACCCAGACAAACACACAGACAGACATCTCATCTTTATCTATACTCAGCTGGGAGGACTCCTGTGGGAGGACTCCTGTCAAAGCTACACTAACCAAAGGGGTTTACCGTGTGATCCGGCAGGTCCTCGAGCATAGATGTATGTCTTTAGAGGGGTGTGTGCTTCCCTCTGCGGCTATTTTGTTGCAGACACCAATCATGCCTCATATTCTGGGGCTTAATTAAAGCATTTTTTCAAAATATAACTCATCAACGACAGGAGATCCCTGAAAAAAAATACCCATGACACTTCCACATGCAAGACCTTTCTGATGAGGTATACATCATGTCTCTAAGTCAATCGGTTATTGTGTCATTGGCGGATAAATAGACATTTTTATTAGTGTAGATGATACTATGAGGGTCCGGTAACTTAGTGGTTAGAGCACTCACCTCGCAAGCCAGGGGTGCTGGGTTCGATTTCCGGATGGGTTGGGGTGAAATGTTGGGCAAGTTTCCTCACTCCACGGACATGCCTCTGTTTACCTATAAATAAATAGGAACTCGGTTGTTAGTCGATTGGCGGATCGCTTTTTTGGGGGTAAAAAAACCTTTTAAAAAAAATTGGTCACTCAATCCATGACTGTTTGTGGGGACGCTGATGTGTGCGATTGGCCTTTTGCCCACAAAATATAGTCACTCCACTTTACAGTATAACCTGTGAAGTGCTTTGAGACGTCTCGAAGACGTGATGAGGCGCTGTGTCAAATGCGAGGATTATTATTATTATGATGATGATGAGGCGAGAATTCCTGTTTACAGCCAGGCTGTGAGGGGCTCAGGGACCCCCCCCCAAACTCATCCTCTGCGAGATCAGCAATTTTATTCCCTCTGCAGGGATTGGGGTGGGGACTGCTGCAGCCAAGCCTTTGTTATTTGATGTAGCTCCTGAATGGGGAGGGTGTGTGGATGTGTCTGCATTCCTGAGACACAGGGCAGATGGTCCAAGACGGATTTAACAGCAATTTAAGCTGGTAAATTGCCTGTCGACAGGAGGTGTGCTGGAAGGAGTGGAGGCACTGTTGTTTGCTACAGAGATGGGGAAGAACCTTTTCCCCCGTCCAGCCCTCCTCGTCTCACAGTGCCGAGTGCTCGGCTTAATCCAAAGGCAAAACTGCCCTTGAAACCAGCAATTTACTAGCTGTGGGAAAGACCGCACAGTCACCTGCCAAATGTTCAGGCAACATTTAAAAGCTTCTTTTTTTAAAAAAAACGCCGTGGCAAAGCCGGTGAGCGGTGAAACACGAGAAGGCGTTAAAGAGTGAGGGCGTGCATCCCACCCACAGAGCGAGAGGGGAGCTTGAAATCGATCCGTTCTGCGATAGGGAGCGCGACGCAGGCGGGGACAGGAGCTTCTGCCGTCTTGGGGAAGGGGTGGGATATTACTATTCGGGGACAGGGTTTATCGCCCCGTCCGCAGCCCTTGATTAGCCTGACACAGACAGTGCTTCTTACAGCAAAAGCACAGCATATCAGAACAGAACGTGAACTCAGTTGCTTTCTCCCCCCCCCACCACACCACAATCCCACCCCCACCCCCACCTCTCTCTCTCTCTTGTGCTGCACAGTCAGCTGTGGGCTGCCAGCTGCCAGGATCTTTTGTGTTTCGCTTTGCCAGCATCAAACATGGCAGCCGCGCCTCGGTCACAGACGCCGCAGTGCGCAAGCGCTCGCCCCACCCACCCCCCCGCACGTGACGAGCGACAGGCGCAGGCGCGGGCTGGGAGGCTTGGCCCTATCGGGTCCGCCCCGCTGTCTATATAAACGCACAGCGCCGCGGCATCATCCGCATTGAGAGCCAACGCGGGGTACAGGGTCCGGAGCTGAGGAGCAGCAGCAGCTCAGACACACACCCACACACCGAGACAGACGCAGAAACAAAGCGAAAAAGAACTCATTCATTTTTTTAAGTGAAAAGAAAGAGAAATCAGTGCCAAAAAAAAAAAAATGCGTGAAATTGTCCATCTACAGGCGGGTCAGTGCGGGAACCAGATCGGAGCCAAGGTGAGCAGGGTCCAGGGGGTCTGCACACAGGGACATGTGTGTGTGTATATATATATATATGTTTATATATATATATATAAATAGATAAAACAATTATATATATATGTGTGTGTGTATATATATATAAGAAAGTAAAAACCAAAACAGCTGAGCATCTCTGAGGATGTGAATCCCCTCCCTCCCTCCCTCCCTCCCTCCCTCCGGCTCTGGAAATGCGGATAAACGGTCAGTGAGCCCGGAGAGAGAGTGCTGGGGGGGAGGAGGGGGTCGCCCACACCCGGCGGGTGGGAGTGGGTGAGTGAGTGAATGGCACGTGGAGGCTTTGCTACTGCATTGATTTGGGGGGGAAATCCTTGTGCGTTTAAAGCAGACAGACACTGGGGGGGGGTGTCGGGGTGGGGGGGGGTAAGCGGTGGCTTTGTATTGTGCTTTTAAAGAAACTCCCCCTGGAGTGGGGGGTGGGGGGGAGAGAGGGTATTCTATGAATTGCATCAACCCTCCCGTCTGGCCACGGAATCCCGGGCAAAGCAACAGCTGGACATGGTATAGCGGAACTGAAAACTGTG